GCGCGTCGGACGGGCCAAGGCCCCGATTGGGCCCTGTTTGAGTTCTTCAAGGATACGATCAAACCGTATAGGGACATCATGGACGATTTTGCGAGCCCAGTCATTCAGAGAGCGATACGGGAGTGGGAGAGTAAGAAAGATAAGAAGGACGAAGAACACAACACGTTGTTGGAGAGTTTGCTCGATCAGACACAAGGTTCGTTTTGGGGCTCTTGTCGGTCGGAGACGATGCAGGCAAGCTGACGAATTACTGCAATAGACCTTCAAATCTTGAAAGACGAGGTATGGCGTTTGCTTTTAAAATCGAGTAGCCGCTGATCTTCGGCGCTGAACTCACAGCTCGCGAATCTCCTCGTGGCCGGACGCGACACGGTATGTTCCTTCATTTTGTCCCGCCAGCTATGTAGTACTCATATTTCTCATGCAGACGATGGCCCTCCTTACCTTCTCCGCGTACATGATTGCCGAACACCCTCAGCTCGAACAACGTCTTCGCCAGGAAATCTATGAGAAAGTCGGTCCTACAGGTAGGCCAACGTATGAGAACATGCGCGAGATGCGCTTCATGCGAGCCTTCCTCAACGGTACGATCGTCGCTCCCTCCATTCACGCGTTGTTCTATATCTGAATTTGTGAGTGTAGAGGTTCTGAGGCTTTACCCCTCCGTTCCGATTAATATGAGGTGCGTGCTAAGTTCGAAATGACTTCGAGAGTCCAGGGACCAACTTTCAAATCCAATTGATACTACTAGGAGGAACACCAGGCCTGTTGTCGTACCCAGTAAGAAGCCAGATCAACCTCCGATATATATTCCTGCATACACGACGTGCGTGTTTTAAGAAATTGGTGCAGAGGGTGTCAGCTAACCCCAACCTTTTATTAGATGTATGTACGCTGTGGTCAACATGCAGCGACGAACAGACCTCTGGGGCCCCGACGCGCACACATTCGACCCCGACCGCTTCCTCGATGAGAGGCTGCACAAATACCTAACCCCGAACCCGTTCATCTTCTGTCCTTTCAACGCCGGGCCGAGGATCTGTCTCGGGCAGCAGTTCGCATACCACGAAGCGACGTTCCTCCTCGTCCGCCTCCTGCAACGGTTCAAAGAATTCAAGATTGACAAGGAAGTGACCAGGCCGCCGCCAGCGGCGTGGGCGTCCGCGAAGGACAGGAAGAGCGTGGAGAGCATTCATTTGATGTCGCATTTGACGATGTTCGTCCCAGGTGGGCTTTGGCTCAGGATGAAGGAAATCCAACCTAGCGACTTTTGAATGAGTTGAGTTTTTAATACGCACCCTTTCCTGAAGCGCTCCTATTAATTTGCAAATACTCCACTCCAGTTCCTCCCACCTTCTTTTATATCTTGAAGTTTGCCGTATTTAACAATATATTTATTCGTCAACATTATTGGGTATAAATGACAGATGAAGCGCTGGAGACAAAGGAGGACATGCTAGATACAACCCTGTGGCCTTCACATATTTATCCTATACCACATCCCTCCCCTTGCGCCACACTGCCCATACGCGATGTCAACCAAGTCCTCACCCTTCCTGAACTCCTGTGTCGCCTTACAATGACTACACGTCAAGACCACCAAAGCGCCCTTCGCCGATGTCTTTGGCGCATTATACGGATAAATAGACCCACATCCACTGCACTGCGCCGGCAGTGCCTGCCCAAATGGCTTCCTCGTGATGTGGGTCCACACATACCTCGCTGCGCCGTGCTTCTGGAAGACAACAATGTCATTGTACTGACCAAGGTTATCCTGCTCGTTGATGGTGCCATCGAGGCCGGGTCGCATGTAGACGTGGAAGCCGAGGTGTAGGGCGAGAATGAATTCATGTGTGGAGCAAGCCGGGAGGTTAGGTTGGGTGAAAGCAGCGATCTGAGCGAAGTATTGCCTGGTGAATATCTCTAAGCGTTGAGCGTCGGGCAAGAGGGAGAGATTTACCTTGATGCGAGGTCTTTGAGGAAGGTAAACCTCTCGGCGTTGGAGAGAATGTCAGTCCGGGTAAGTAGGGTCAGCATGTTTTTTGAGGTGCTTGCCATGGTTGGGCTGAGCAATGCACAAAATTCGTCTAGGAATACCTTCTGGAACAGCTGTACTTCATCGTTAGCAAGTTCTCGAAGAGGTTTGATCAACTTACTTCTTTCAAAGATTTGCTATCCTCGATGAGGATGACCTGCGTGCCCCGATATCCTGATGGAGACTTGTCGGCCAGGAAAATGGCAAACCGTTGGAAGCTGGCAGCGATTCAATTTTTACGCGAAGGTCGTCAATAAGCGATGACCTACCGCTTCAAGGAGCCTATCCTCAGCTCAGAAACAAGGCGTTCCTCGTAGGAGTCCGCAAAAGCTGTTGTCGAGAAGTTGAAGTCGATATCGACGTATGCTATATTACCTTGCAGGTAAGGGTGGAGGTGATCGAACACCATCCTTGCCGGAAGGTCATGAGGTGAGACCTTGGAAGGGCGGATTGACATGATAACGAGGGGTTCTGTGCATGACATCGACAGAAGCTGCCGCTGGGTGGCCAGCCCTCGGAATGGGACAATATGATCACCAATCTTGAACATGATCTGAGACGAGTAGATTTATAGAATAGATGGAGCGCACTTTATACGGCCGTATTTTGCGCTGTTTCCCGGTACTATCACTCTTGTGACAGTACGGGCAGATGAACTGGCCACCAGCCTGCTCAATTTCCTCTGGTAGAGAAATACATTCTGAACACACGACACGGTTGCATGTGTCGCACATTATGAAGCTTTCCCCGTTTCTGCATACTGTACAGAGCTGATGTCCACTTAGTTAGCTAGAAGACGAGGAAGAATTGAAATGAACGCACATTTTGGTCTTGATCGTCCTCAAGAATTGGCTTCCCTGCCACAACCACAGTAAGAACTTCTGTCGGAATCTCTGGACTCTCTTCCACTGAGATGTTATATGTGGACTTGTGAGGGCCTAACGCAGGTTGGCTTCCGTTCTCTTCACCGGTTAGCCAACCTTTCCGTCGGAGGCGGGGTGAAGCATTGGTGTCCAGGGCAGTGGGATCCGGATCCAGGAGGGTGGAGACCCAAATCTGGTGCAAGCATAGAAACTCCAGCGCGTGGCATTCCACACGAAACTCTGGTTAAAGAAAGTTGGAGACTATTCGGTGCAGAATTGGTGTAGAAGCAATAATGACACGACGCGTAGAACGTTAGCCTGCGTGCAAAGTTGCCACGGATTTGCAAATGATTTTTGTCTTGTAAATTGTGGTCCTTGGTTGCGAATATCGAGGTATTACCTCGGAAGGTGTCAACGAAGAGTAATAGGACGTCAAAGGTTCACTGCTTCTGTCGGCAAACACGGCATAAGTATTGGGTATATGTCGGAGATTGAATATTCCAGACCTCCCAGCAGACGCGAGCCCTGAGCTCAGTCTACACACCCTTGTATCCAACGATTCCCTTGCCTTACGTTTCCGGTATTTCTTCCTACCCTTTCAAAGGTGCAAGTTGTCAGTTCTGAGTGCCATCATTAAGTAGGTTCCCAAAATTCACTTGATCGTCGTCGCCTCACCCTCGATTTATCTAGATCCCATAAGAGCTGCGATTGCGCAGCTCATTGCGTCGCACACTGAAGCGAGCGGGACCCTGATCTCCGACGCATCCGTGTTGGGCACGCGCGTACTGACTTCCGTCGTGGTTCCTCGACGTCCTCGACGTCGGCTTTGCAAAATTCGTCTAGCTTTTGCCCGACCAACGAGGCACCATCGCGGGATTGGTGTTATTATTACGAAGAGGGCGGTCTATTCTTCTCGGCAAGATATACGGTATTGATCGGCTGCTCTTCTATTCGTCTGGGGAGAGTGGTGCTTACAACTCTCGCGTGCACCACCCTGAAAAATGCATCACTCCATACCTGTTCGATGGACCAGAACACGCAATAATTCACTTCCCGAGAAACGACACTAAACGCTATAAAACCTGGCCTGAACAGCTTCGTCGTCATCACATACCCAATGTTCTTCAGACGTTTCTCAGCTCTCTTAATTTGCACATCACTGGCGGCACACGTCGGAGCAGCATTATTCTCTGACCCCTCTTCGACGGTGGTCAAGCTTTCCTACGGCTCCTTCGAAGGAAAAACTACAGGAAACCTGATCGAATTTTTTGGCATACCATTCGCTGCTCCTCCGTAAGCCGATGTTTATCCTTGCTCTGTGATTTTTCATCGTTGTTTACCCCTACTCCCAGTGTGGGCGACCTCAGGTTTGCCCCTCCGGCGAAGCCAAAGCCCTTCAAAGGAGTCCGTCAGGCGACTGCCTTTGCCCCAGCGTGTCCTCAGCAGATATTCGATCTCGATATTCCAGGCCTTGTGGTTCCGGAGAATGTCTCTGAAGATTGTTCGTTTTCTTATTCTAATTCTATTTTCAGTTCTGCTTGACTGAAATACCGTTAGGCCTATACCTTAATGTCATCAAGCCCGCTATTATCCCACCTGGGAAGAAGCTTCCTGTCCTTTTTGTAAGTCTCATGAAGCTCAATGTCTTCACTGCACTGATTGGCATTTCCAGTACATCTACGGAGGTGAAATTCTGTACACATTCGGTCCAGGACATGATTTGAATTACAAACCTTCTGACAGGCGGATTCGAAGTTGGCGACACGAGCCAGATAGTCGGAGACACCTTGGTCAACCGTTCCATTGCCCTCGGGGAGCCGATTGTCTACGTAACTGCGTCGTATCGCATCAACGGTGCGTTCGACGTCTGACTTCTGCAGAATATCAGTTTTCATTACATGAACCTCGTTCTCCTTAGCTTTCGGGTTCCTGGGCGGAAAAGAGGTCAAAGACGCAGGTATTGCGAACGCGGGCCTACTCGATCGTAAGTGGCGTGGCTCTTCCTCGGGTTCGAAGCTCACGATTTGGCAGAACGATTTGCGCTTGAGTGGGTCCAGAAGTATGTCAGCTCGTTCGGAGGAGATGCAAATCAGGTTACTATGTAAGACTTTATGACTTTCTTCCATTCCTTCTCGTCGCTCACATATTCTCTTGTAGCTGGGGTATCAGTGCTGGCGGTATCTCTGTAGGATTACAGATGCTCCTGAACGACGGAAACACCCAAGGGCTATTCCACCGGGCATCCATGGTACGTCTCCCATCTCCCTTCCCACCACCCACTCTCACCCAAAACCAAACCTCCTCTAGGGCTCAGGCTCTCCCGGCGTTCTCCCCAACGTCCTCAAGCAGCAAGAATACTTCGACAGCCTCGTCGCCGACACTAACTGCACCACCGCGCCGAACCGCTTGAAGTGCCTCAGAGACGCGCCGTTCGATGATCTGATGAAAGCGATCAACAGGACGCCGAACTTGTTCTCGTTTCAAAGCGTCAGGATCGCGTGGCAACCGATGGTAGATGGGAAGACGATTGTGCGAGACCCGCAGATTTCTTTGCAATTGGGCAAGTTTGCAAAGGTCAGCCGTTTCGATGCCTTTATTTCCGTATCAGCAAGGCTAAAGGGAGGTATTGTAGATCCCTACTATTGCGGGTACAAGCGAGGATGAGGGGACGTGAGCGGCATACGACAACCATACCTATGGAATTAATAACCTTCACCTTCGCAGGATCTTCTCACTGTCGACGACCAATCTAACGTGAGCATTTACATTTCCTGAAAACTGAGAACGCGAGTTCATGTACTGGACATTGCGCAGGACCAACACCCAATTCCTCGATTACGCGAAGTCCAAGTGAGCGAATATGCTAGTTCTGTCTCAGCGGCTCACATCTGACTGGACACCCTAGCTTCTTCCCGAGGATCTCGGACTCTGACTTGAAAGCTCTGGAGACTCTCTATCCTGACGACATCACTCAGGTATATATACCGCCGTGATTGCTATTCAAACATCTCTTCTTAATCTTTCCAATGTCAGGGATCTCCATTCAACACCGGAACGGAGAACGCCATCACGTTTGTGTCTTCTATTTCTTTTTTCTACGTAGAAATGACCTGAGCATCCTCGGTGCAGGCCACAATTCAAGCGACTTTCGTCCCTACAAGGAGACCTCGTGTTCCAATCTCCACGCAGGACTTTCTCCCAGATCGCGTCGAAGACACAGCCCGTCTACGGCTACAGTACGCCTCAGTCCGGTGCAGTTGTTTCCTTCATATCGTCTAACCAAACGTGTAGGATTCAAGCGTGCCGGGCCTGCCCCACTAGGCTCACTCCATGGTGGTGACCTCACAGAATGGATCGGGAACACAGCTGGTCTCATTGGCGCCGACGCTATCAGTACGTATTTCTCTCCATTCCTACACGCCCTTCACTCACTTATCTTGCGCTCGAACAGTATACTTTACGCGGACCGGAAATCCGAACGCACCGAAGAACTCGATCAGCCTGCTCAAGGACGCCAAGTGGCCCTTGTACGACTCGTCCGTTCAGAACCCACCCCTCTTCACGTTTGTCGACCCCTTGCCGTCGGTCAACATCACTTTTGACACGGATCGTATTGAGCCCATGAAGTTGATCAGCAAGCTCTCGTTCAATGAGATCGGTAACCGAGGAGTTTGATAGAGGAGGCCCAGCTGTCGATTCAAAGTAGCATTTCGTACCGAGCGTTATCCCCCTGGTTTTGCACCTTAACGCGCACCTCGTGGCAATACCATTCTATATTCTACGTTCGCACATCGCACTGAATCCCCCCTTGCTTTTCATCGTCACAGGCGAGTGACTGACTCTGGGTGTGCGCGTTTGTGAGCGATTGAGACTTCGGACCAAGTACTTGTTTGTGTGGCACCAGTCCGTATTCTCCGGACGTAAGCTATTCCTTTCAAAGGTTTTCATATCGCAGCTGTTCCTAAGAGGATGATAACGACAATGGCGCAGCCGGCCAGGGCTGTTGTCGTCGAAAGGTTGGCAGATGGGAAGTCAAATGGCCATTGGTCACCGGACTTGGTGGAATGGGACTGGCCAATAGCCATCAAGCTCACGTACGCCACACTCGATCATGATGATGTAAGGCCGATCGCGTAGGGCTGCAGAATGCTGCAGTCTTTTTGTGCCTTCGAATTTAACGCCACCAGTGATGCATTTCCTCCACCACTGAATTCTTTTTTGATCATGAAAGTTCCGGCACGCGTCAACTTTGACAGAATGCTGATGTTGAAAGCCACCATCATGTTCGGCGAATTCAACGAGAGGGATTCAAGGAGTCTCGCCGTCATCAACAGTGCCGAGAGTCGAGGACTGACGGTTGCGGTCAGAGGTGTCCTGGTGGGCGTCAGGTACTGTACGGTGCAGTATACAGGTGTGTCATCATTTTGTGCTGCACTGCTAACCTACTTGAGAATAATTGAAAATATAAAGACCTGCGTGGCCTCAGATGTTTCTCGAAGCACTGAAGACGGTCTCTTCCTCCTGAAGAACGATCCCGCCCACTAGACCTATTCGATGGCTCTTACCAAAGCTGACTTTATTCGGCTATACAAGGCCAATATTATCCCTCTGAGAGTAGTAGGCAAGTTTTCCAGACGTAACTGACTCCAATCATATGTCTATCACTTATATTCTTCAGTTGCGTCCCTTGTATGGGTTATTCACGATTACTGTGAGTTGCCCAGTTGAATTCTCACTCTTCTGGGCGATGTCGACTGGTAGAAATCTAGTTGGCGACTTTTAGCCCTCTGCACGTGATACCAAGACATTACATAACACATCAAATTCGTGAACCAGTTCATCTCAAACTGTGGCCTGGATGGACTTAGAGAAATTTTGCGAAGTCAAAATTCCAAACACAAGTACTACTGATATTCGTGATTTTCACTGCAATGTTGAAGGGCAAGCATAGTAAGAGAACCTGATATTGTGAAGTATATAGAGGTATATATATGGCGTGAGCACTGGGACTCTACAACGACAGCTGCCACAAGTGTCAGTGCTGCCATTACCACTGCCATGACCCCTACAGCTACAAGAGCTGGTCATCTCCTTCGATTCTGACATCCCAGCATATCAGCTAAGGGGTGCCCGATGGCACAAGCGGGGCGTACGATGAAGGCGACGACGCGAGACGACGCGCGGTGGCGGCAGGTAGAGGTGGCAGGCAGAGGGACCTCATCGTGCTTGTGGCATGGTCCGTGTTGGCAGGAGAGAGGGGCGATGCGAGATGGGCGTAATGCGGGAGAGCGGCCGTGGCGTGGTCACTGCTCGCGATGGGGACGACGATGCGAAGATGGTGGTAGGAGGGAAAGGGAGATTGATTTGTTGATGCCAACGCGTGAGAGGCAAATGGTTCGCGAACCACCAACGGTTATGTAATGAACCATATCACGTGCAGAGGGCTAAAAGTCAAAAGCTTAGAAATCTTCAGTTGTGACACTCGAGGACGAGGTATGTAGTCACTACGTGCCTTCTGCTATCAATTCTGAAACATCCCTACTAGGTTCGCTACATTTGGGTAAGTGTCAACTAAATTTCATCCGTTCTTCGAATTTCGAGCCTCACCCAGAATACCCAGCGACAAAAGCCGAGCTTGGGGAGATTCATGTTCTTCTGGGTGACTACGTATGCCTCTCCCGCCGGGAAATTTCAGCTAACCCACATGGTCTAGATTCGGTACTACACCATTTTCCTCGTCGCTTTTGACGTTCTTCAAATCCATACCTTTGCCATTCCTGGAGTCGCGTCGAATAAACTGAGATACTCCCCCTTGGACTATCGACGAATAACAATACAGCCGATTTTCCTTGTTTGCAGGTGTGTTGCAGCTGATCCAGTAACTCGTCTCGCAGGGGCAATCAGTCTCTGGTCCGTCGAAATCATTATGCAGATTCGGATATACGCTCTCTTCAACCGATCCAAGAAGGTGAACATGCGCCCCTACGCTGTAATCTCTATTGACTACATCGCGTGCCATAGATTGTTGTATTTAATGGAGTTTTGTTCATCGCCTCAATTGGAATATTCTTATGGGTAATGATAGTCAATGCAATGAAGCGTGGACGGGCGATCGCCGCTGCCGTCCGCTTTCCTCTCCCTGGTTGCCCAGTCATCAACGGAGGAACAGGATGGGCATTGTGGATTGCTCGTGAGTTTCATGTAATCCATTTCCTTTCCCAGTTCTCCACTTACGCAGAACTTTGACAGCCACCGTCTATGAATTCATTTTATTCCCTTTCATCGTATACAAGGCCGCGGTCTCGAAATCAATGCGGATGAGACTGAACCGTCGCATATCACTAACAGCAGCCCTGTTGCAGGAAAATACCCTTTACTTCTTCAGGTATGCAAGTAACTTCTTCCTTGCGTGGACGGCTGTCTGATATTGCATCATGTAGTATCGCGTGTCTTCTCATATTCAACAACCTCATGGTCGTAGTGAGTCTATATCCGGTTCTTTTGGGACCTTGTCAAGGCTTCTGATACACCTCGAAATGGATAGGGAGCGACTCGTATCCCGTGATTTGGATTTGGGTATACCACCTACTCCTCGCCGAATGATCCTGAATATCACTGAGTGTTCGCCATCGACAGACCTTTCCACGCCGCTATCGGGATTGTGACCTGCCGAATGCTCATACATTTGAGGAAGTTTACCTTGGATGCGATGGATGGAGACATCACTATAAACACTTCAGAATCGAAGAAACGGTCCCGTGGAGCAAGCATTGCATTCAACCATACTGTTTCCACCCAGTCAAACCTCAATTTGTGGTAAGTTTCCTTGGTCCGCTGACAGCATATGGACTGACATAAATTATTCTTAGAATCGGAATTTACGCTTTCAAGTTTGGTATTCAGAATTAAAGTAATAAACTCCTACTGTCATATGTGTAGTCATAATGCATCCCCTATAGCCCTTTAGGCGCCTACGATCCGATCCCGGCCCGGGCTTTAGCGCTGGTCCGTCTTCTACACTTCCAAATCCGATGACGCATCGTTGCCGAGGAGGGCTTGCTGCTGACTATTTATAAATTCACTAATGCATTAAAAGCCAGTACTTCCGGAGAGCAATTCAGCCCAATCTTCCTTTGAGATATCGCTCTCCGTCTCGACCTCCGACGCCAAATCATCTTCGCTCTCGCTATCATCTGACACTGGTACATACGCACCGTCCTCAGAGTCCGACTCGTTCTTATCAGACTCCCTAGGATAGGAAGCTGACAGGTCCAACGAGCCTTTTTTCAGTAGCTGCTCTACACAAGGCCACTCGCCGTCACGAAAGCTGGACGCGAACTGGTCATCGCACCGCCATCCAGAGCGGCCTGCATCCCACTGAGGGCGGAGCCAGTAGATGTAGTTAACAGCATGGATGAGCTGGCTCGGATAGAAATTGATGGCAAAGGACTCGTCGGGCGTCCGTACGGCTTCAGGGGGAAAGATTTGCAGCCACTCATACGAGACATGGGGCAGGCAGGACAGCACCCGCGAGCCACGTAGCCCAGGGAGATCTCCGTGGAGAAGTGATATGTTTGACAATCCGCCGGTATCAGGAATCGCATTGGGGGGATGGCAGAAGTCGAGCCATTGCAGCTTGGGATGACTGAAGTGCTCCAACCAAGCCTTGTTCTTCGCGACGAAAGAGAGTGGCATCAGAAAGCGCTCGAGGTGCGGGGAGATTTTTTTTAGATGGAGCAGACGGTAGAAGAACGTGTCTTGGAGACGGAGTGAGAAACTGGGATGCAGGTTTAGGAAGACCAGCCTGGCGCCGTGGCGCTCAAGAAAGGCGATAACAGCATCGCCTACCCCCTCGTCCATGCCACCCACCGTCAGCTGACACAAGGTAATTTTTGAGAGACCAGGGAAATCGAACTGACGGCGAAGGAAGTTGATATCGTGTCCTCTGCGATTTCCGGGGTTAAGCTTGCATTCCAGCACTAAAGACGACAGGCGTGAAAGTGATATCGGCGAATCTGGGACAAGTTCAGGAACTGTTTCCGGCATTTGGAGCCACAAGGAGGTAAGTGTGGTTCTCGTTTCATTCAAGAGTGACTTGATCGTCTCCCATGAAGCAACACTCGACAATTGGAGTCGGCTGACGGACTGAGGAGGCATCGGGATGACAGCTTGTTGTGGAAGGGGGATCAATGATGTGCAGGCAAATTTCTCTAGTCGAGGACAGAGGAAGAAAAGGGTGGTGAGGTACTTCGTAAACTGGTTCAGGAAAACTTCGGGCACGTAGCAAAGGATGTTCAAAGCCTTGACGAGACCGCCGTATTTATATGGCGAATTTCGAATGGTCCCTACCAGCGTCAGGAACTGATGGACGCGCCGAATACAAATGTCTTCGTAAAGGAAAGGAAGGGCCACACTGTGCCACGATCGACAGACCGTGACAATGCTTTTCTTCAGTCGTAAAGCGACAGACCAGGAAGAATCGTATCCCAGGGATAGCGAAGGATCGAGTAGCCAGTTCGGTGGGATTGCGCGTTCAAATATAGAGTACCAGATTTCGGGAGGTAGCTCCGGTGTAAATGTCGATGGCTATAGATCAATGTCAGGACGTGCTCTCGCTATTATGGCTCTCTGGACATACTTGAGCCTTATGGTCGCCATCCGTCAAGATATCTCTTGTCTTCCACCCTTCCATCTTCAGTGTTGCCAAATCGTGCTTCATTACGCTCTCGTAGTCAATTTGTGTCTCTTCGTCATCCCCACTCGAGGGATTACTACTGGTCTTTGGAAGTTCGGATGGATGTCAGATGAGTGTCAATGAAGAGGAAGCAAGCACGTACATCCTCAAGGTCGTCTATCTCCTCCAATTTCCGTTGCTTCCGTTCAATTTTCTTCAACAATGTGGCTCTCTCCAGGCTGAGCCTCGCGATCTCCTCTCGCATTTTGCCTAGTGTCTGACGCATTTCGTCCTCGCTCATGGCGCCGATGGCTTCGTCACTGAGGAAAGGTGTCGGTGAATCCATTTTGTTCACCAATGGAATTTGCGCAAAGGCAGAGGCGATGTGGTGGCGAGGGAGAGACGCGAGCTTGGGGCGAGCCACAAGTGAAGCTGGCAGCTGTGGGAAAACTTGGTCGGAACACGGGCCGCAGGCTCGGCTCTCAGCAAGCAGCAGAAATCAAAACCCTTTGCGGAACGAGGGAGGAAGTCTCATGAATTCATTCTGATCTACAAACATATTTATTCAATATTCTAGACGGGACCCTTCGTTGACGAGTTCCTTTTCCCCGAAGCGTCTTCAGGCATACTACTCGCATTGATGAAAATGTGAGTATCGCCAGGGTCGACAACAACCGCTCCACTGGTCGAGCGCATCTCGAAATTGAGACTGCTCTGCGCTTGGGTTATAACTTCTCTTCCCCATGCACGACCAGTGACAACACGAAGGGCGATAAGCTGGGGAGATGTGCACTGAGGAATAATTGAGAGGTCAGTCCTTGGAATAATCTCATAGATTCGAACGAGTCGACGTACTGCGAGCTTGGCCCATACCTGCCCAAATGCACTCGAGATAGCCGTCATGCTACCAACGGCGTAGAAGGTCAAGAATAAAATGCCAACGAGGCTGTATGGAGCAGCGGATTCGATCAGCATCGAAGCAATGCCGGTGTACGTCCTGGCGCTATCTGATCCGAGGCTTTTCGATACAAACCTGCTGAGCTTAGCCAGACGTACGTGCGCAAATGAGGACAGTGATGATGAGGTTCAGAGCGATAACCAGGCTAAAGTAGGGTGTCCCAAAGTTGATATTATTTCCATGGAAGAAGTCTCGACCTGGGTTGGCGGCCAAGACGAGCTCAAGGATAGCCAGTGCTGCCAGTAGAAAAAAATGAGTGTATGATGTGGCTTTCTACAATGATTCTGGACGCACCGAAGGCGGCGAAATACATGAGGATAGGAAGCGCAATCACACAATACCTTGATCCATAGATAACGAACAATCGGTAGAGCTTGAGGAAAGCGTTATTCCCAAAAATCAAATATAACGAGGCCAATATCTCACCATGAGTGCATCGCCCAGTAATACCATCGCGACAACGGAGGTGGATCCCATAGTCTGATACCATACGGACACTTCTGCCATGTATAGGCTGGGACACCACCTGAGGCATCGCGGGGTGTGATCCACATTCTCTCTCCCTAAATAGAATTGACCGAGATATTAATGGTAAGGAGGAGGGTCAAGATTGTGCTGTAGGCGGCGAAGAACCTCCGGCTCCGAGGCGTATTATCATTACCGTCGCAGAACAGCGTATCCATCGTCATAAAATACATCACAAGATCCACACCCTGCAAGATGATAAAGAGTAAGACAACAGCTAGAAGATATTTAAAAGCGGGAAATTCACAAACCGTAGAGGACAGCACTCATGTAATTTCCAACGTAAAAAGAGTGCTCGAATTCAGGTCCAGTTAGCTCCCAAGCCATGCTGGGAGGAGGATGGCGGCCCAAGGCAAAAGATAGATTGTGAGGGCTTGCAATTCTCCCTATTGGGGTGAGCAGAGCGGATTTAAGTATCCCTCTCCACGGCAAAAGTGATTGAATCGGGCGCCAAGAAGACGGGCATTATCAGCGCGCACTCGACTTCTGCCAGAATCCGATTGATCAATTTCTTCTGACAGACAGTCGCTCAAAGCTTCGCGAGATGAGTATCACGGCACATACAGTGGGCTCGGAGGGGAGTCTGAGGCGTGGGCCTAGAAGGGCAATTCACCGAATCCGCTCGGAGTGGTGGACCATTGTACGCCATAGAAGTTTTGTCTCCTAGAGGACGGGGAATACTGGTCAGCTGTACAGTGACCCACGCGGACAGAAAAACATCAGAGAAAACATACGGAGATTCAAGAGGAAGGCGGTAAAGGATCAGATAGAAGCAGCCCGGAAATCCGTATCATGTCTATGAATTAGTTTAAAAATCACTTGCTTAGTCGAAATATGCAGATGATGCACCGAAATCGATAAAACGCACCGAGATTCTAATAGGACCATTCCCTGACCGATATTAGCCCAGCCCTCCCTCCTCCGGACCTTTCTTAGTCTGGTCAATAGAGGATAGACCTCTCGTCATCAGAGAAAGAATATCGACCTAAACTGCAAGTTTGACCAAGAAAATGGTTGATTTCAACTGCTTGTCCTCTGTTCGCAGTGTAGAATCTTTCAAATCCAACCTCTCGAGGTCGGCTTGAACGAGCGAGTTGTAGAAGACAGATACAAATTTCTTTGTTATTCGGCGATCCGCTCGTAATGAGAGTATCCGGTAAGTCGATCCGCAAGAGATTCAGGTGAAAACGGTTACATAGTGGATGAATGTTGGCATTGAAATATTGAACGTTGACGTTGAATGACGAACAAGGAAAAGGAATGTTGCTTCGGGAGGTTGTGGGAAATGCTGTCCGGCAATTGCCGAGCAGGACAATGATTGTGGCTTCGTCCGAAGTTGAAATTAAACTTCGCCTGCACTCTCATTCCCTTGCGTCGGGCTCGGTATTGAACCTGAAGCTAGACTCACCGAATTCAAGAACTCAGAAATGAGTGACATTGAGAAAGATGCACTAGTGGCCCGTCTGCAGAACCAGGTCAAGCGTCTCAAGCAGGAAATCTTTGCATTGCGAGCGGAGAATGTTCAGCTAAAGCAAGATATCCGCTCCCTACGAGGAGAAAAATTGGATGACGTGAGCTACTATCTAATCATTCGCTCTTTAAATATCGTTTCCAAACCATATCCAGGGGTTCCATCAGACGAGAGCAGAAGATGAGGACGAGATGGAAATGCATGTAAAGGAGGATGAGAGCGAGATAGACTCGGAAGACGACGAGGGAAGTGCGGACGAATATACCAAAGAGCACGACACAACAGTGGGTATTCTATACTCCTCATTCCTCCAGCGTACATTCTGCTCATATCCTTCCTTAGATCCCTTTGTACACACCCAAGCTTCCTGCAGAGATTTGGAATTCAATCTTTCAGCGAGCAATCCCCCCCAGCTGGCTCCTAGATCCTGCCCTCTCTCTCGGGCCGGATTCCTCTTGGTCGGTGGCTTTGAGATTGAAGAAGAGCATCATCGCAGTCTGCAGAACTTGGAACAGCATTGGCCTCCCGTTCCTTTATGCAGATGTTGACATTCGTCGCGTCCATCAGCTAGCAAGTCTTCTCGAGACTATTCGGAAACGTCCAGGAGAGCTTGGCCGACTGGTCAAGACTTTGAACGTTTCCTGTTACGTTCCTCAAGTGCTCGCCGGCACCTTTACGAGGTACCTCGAGGCCCTTTTCCCTCTTCTCCCTCGGATATCGACGTTCGCCTACACGTCTCCCACCGCCCTTCCTGCGGAGGCAAGCATTCCGACCTTGCCGCGATCTATCACACAGTTGAATTTAATGGGCATCACATCGTGGAACTCGGCAGTTGGCCACTTAATGGTAGCAGGGGGCACTCTGACCTCTCTGCGCCTGCGCCTCCCTCTTGCCCTCCCATCTTCCGCTCAAGAGGGAGTATTAGTGCTTCCATTCTTAACATCAATCTATCTGGAGGATGACGATGGTGCAGGCGACCTTAGAAAACTCACCCGTGTTTTCTGTCTCCCGAATCTTTCGAGTTGCACGCTATACTCTACCTGCCGACTTCGCGAGGGGGAGTCCGCAAAATCTTTTATTGACTTTCTGGCCCGTCATGGTGCGAACATCCGATTTCTGAACCTGCGTCTTCAAAACATTCGTTCGAATCGTCTCCCCGATACATTCCTCCCAAGCCTTCAACACCTTTGTCCCCGTCTCGAGCGCCTCATCATACCGATATCCACGGCTTTAGAAGCCCTCGACAATCTCATGCACCGTACCCTCAAGTGGATCGACATCAGCCGTCCATTTACTGAGTCTGTACCAGCCACTTTTAAGGACCTGATCATTATTTCCCTCCGGCGCCACAACCTACCAGCCTTACAAGGTTGTCGACTATTATCGAATTTGCCCTATGTCACAACCGAATGGATCGAAAACCTCCCTCCAGACGTCGTCAAGGACCAACAGGATGCATTCACTATCGACTTCTCCCCAAGCCAACTCCAGCACGGAGTTAATTATGTATACTGGCAACGTCAGGGCTGGAGCCTGGGCTGGGATCATCCGGATGGATTACTGCCGACTTTTCGTGATATCGGTTGGCCCGAGGTGGAGAGCAGGCGATTGGAGGACTCGTTCGAGTTTGTGCTGAAACGACCCGAGGAGGAATATTTGCAACCCGAGTTCAAAGTATGCTTTCTCGGAATGGAATTGGACGAGGAGTCGGAAGAGGGTTCAAGTGAGGACGAGTTGGCTTCGGATGGAGAATGCGAGGAAAGCCTAACGAAGGGGGACGACGCTAAAATGGATCTCGCTCCAGAGTTGTTGGGAATGGTGCCTTCATGAAAAGCAACGTGAATACTTAAGTCGCCGTGTGTTTTGTTTAGCACAGATAGACGCACACTTGGCGGTTTAACATCTGACTTGAAGTGGAGCAAATGAATGGAACGAACTATAGAACCTGGGGAGATTTTCCACATGTAAATATCAATTCCGTATCCTCTGGCCACAAAAAAATCGGGAAGTTGTCTCTGGTGCCTCTACCCCTGATGGCGCAAGCGGAACGGTCTGCCTACGTAAGCTACAAAGCTGCTTACCGTGTCAGTTTCCCTGTCCCTTCTCCCTTTTACTTACCAGCAATGTCATAGATGCAACACCGAGAACAGGTCGAATTCAATAGATGGACGTCTGAACAACAATTAGCATGAAGACAACTTGAATCACATTCCCAGTCCAATACTGGAGACTGCTGGAGACTGCGGTCTATTCCAGGTCTATTCTCTCTTCAAGGACAGTCAGTGTCCACCAAATCGGTACTTATAATTCATGGGTGCATCTGATCGAAGTCTATTCACGGATTTAATCCATTATATTGCCTGCTAAGGGACAGGAAGCTGGGGAAGCCTGTCGTGCACCATGCGCGTTTTGGCCTTCTTCTCCCATGGACGGCAGCTCCGACGCTAGTTAAAATGCCTCGAAGGGATGCATTTCTCTTCCCCGAGGCCATGCATGCGGGACGAAGGATGAGGGCGAAGTGCTTGTTATTGGGTTTATTGGCGCCAGGGGTTCTTACGCAGACATGGTACGTCGCATACATCTACACATAAGAGGGACTGCTAAGAGATCAGAATTCTTAGGTGCGGCAAAAACTACATGGCGGGTTCGCCAATCGTGCCGCCAGGCGGCCAATTCCCGCCAGTGCCGACCTCAGAGACGCCCCTGCTTGCTTTTCGATGTGCTCCTGCCATAAGGCCCTACCTCGCTGAAGATGCAACTTCCTCGGATGGAGTTGCCGTCCTAATCGACACCCCAATCACCTTCTCCCAAATCGCCAACGCAGCCCCGCTCAAGTCGTCTCTCTCGCGATCTATCTCTGTCACTGTCTCTGTGGATGGCAAGAGGCTCACAAGTGGCGTGGTTCCGCTGAACACGACGAAGGAGCTCCCGTTTTCGCTCTCCTTTCTAAAGCCTCGGGTGCAAGCGTACACTCTCACATGCACCGCAACGTTAGGAAGGCAGACGTTCAGCGCCACGGGATCTTTGAGTTATCTCCCAAGCCTGCCGCCAGGTATCGGCTCCGCGACGAAGATGGATCTGCGAATCGGTGCTTTGCTGGCACGACCTGCAGACGGCAAGGGCGGGCCTTACGCGCCTGTCTTTCCGATTGGCTTCTATACGAACTTCGGAGGGTACCTCGCGGAGGATTTTTCCATCCCTGCTACGCTGAAGGCTCAAGGGCACGTCGACCAGCTCCTTAAGTTGAATATATGCTAATAAATTCGCAGTTTCACAGTGGTACGAAATAATCTGTCGCGATATCTGGCCCTCCTCAGCTCATATGTCTTAAGGTTCATCCAATTCCGACGTTTGACAATCTTACAGCTCTGGAGATTGTCTTGGACAAGATGCAAGAGGCTGGGCTGTACCTGATGTACGACATGCGATGGTAAGCACCTCAGAAAAGCCGTGGCCAGCCCTCTTATGTTTCCTGCAGGACTTACATGAATGCCACCGCCGTTACAGAAGAAGTGAACCGCATCAAATCGCGACCCAACCTTCTTCTGTGGTACACCGGCGACGAGCCAGACGGGACCTCTGATCCACTCGATGCCACACTGAAGTCCTCGAACCTCATCCAATCGCTCGATGGAGGCGACGGGCTGGGCGGTGCAGGGTATCACCCTGTGTCGTTAGTGCTGAACTGCCAGGACTATTACTTCTCGTAGGCCCCTTGCCGTTCCTGTCCTCATCAGGACAATGATGGTCCCATTCTCAGAGAATACACACGCGGCTCGGACATCGTCATGCAAGACGCCTACCCCATCGGCATCAACGCGACATTCTCGACCGTCTGGGGCACGATCTGTACGAAAGATTATGGGGATTGCGGGTGCGTTGTATTGCTCCTGGGCATTTGGGGTGAAGTTGGCGTGGCCGGTCTGTTCGAATCTAATACATTCATTTCCCTTCCTCCCGTTATCTCATGCAGTTGTGACAATTGCCAAGGCTCGTTGGAAGACATCTCCACTCGGATGGACGAATTTAGCGAGCGCCTGTTCGTGAATGGTTGGGAGCGGACGAAGGCTGTCTGGACGGTGCCTCAGGGATTCGGGAATTCGAGGTATGTAGCCGTCAATTCAGTGAGGGTGGTGTAGATTCATTTTCGTGCCTCAGTTATTGGAACGTCTGTGTGCTTTCCCTATTTAGTTCAACCAAGACCTGATGTCCATTCTTTCAACTCAGCGGTACCCGACTGGTCAAGAATTCGTCGTTCAGAGTATTTTGGGCATAAATCATGGCACTCTAGGTACGCCTCAGGGAATTCATACAAGATCTTTGACTCATTCTGATGAACTAGGTGTTGTATCTTGGAATGATCCTACTACGCCAGACATTAAAGCATCAGCTTCGAAGCTCGCACTGGTATTACCCCAGCTGAATCCTTTCATCCTCAACCCACGAGCGACCTTCCGTCATATCACCGTCAATCGCGTTGATTTCGGCATATGGCACGTCGGCACTGACGCCCTCGTGCTGGGCACGAACATCAACTATTCGACAGCCGTGATACGGATGCGCGACCTGGGTCTGCCGCTATCGCAAGTATCTGTGGCGCAGGTCCTTGACACAGGCGCATCAGTCGATCCAGCGAGAGGCCATTTTATCTTCCAGGCCGTTGGAAGCGGTGCATTCGTGATCAAGACCAACTGAGATTTGAATGAGACGAGAAGACGAGAAGGTGCCCAGCCTGACAAGGACCATGTTACGGTACTTTCGGAGATGGGCTATTCTTGGAAATATATTGATGTGTGTTCCGCATTTTGGGAGACGGCGGACCTGCAGCACCCGAGTCAGTCGAACCCCGCACAGCCTTACTGGCATCGCTCAAGCTCATGACGGAAGATGATTTTATCTACCGTATGTGTTTATTATTAGAGTCAGTGAGAACGCATTTAACAAATCTGACGACTTTCCTGTGGGTGATATCGATACTCATGCACAAAAGATGCAACCGCACTCCCGTTGCATTCGCGCCGTACGTTTGTGCTTCCTCCGTGGTCCTCGTGTTCGATCCAAATGGTCCTGGGGGTGAACGAGAGTGAAAATTGAAGACTTCACTGCATTTCGCGCAACATTCATGAAGAATTTCTCTATGTCGCCAAAAATAAGACCTGGATCTCGTCATCCAAGGCCAGTGATCCCTATGGAGGAGAGATTCTGATGATGCCGATAATCTAATCTAGGAACAAGTAAGTAGCGTGGTTGATAGCCGTAAAAACGCCCTCGCCGAGAGCGCGCGACCCTGATGCTTATAGAGTCCAGTTCATACACACTGCAGCTGACAGATGGGCATTGTCCTCGCTTTTCTTCCTTATCCACACCGCTCCCCTCCGCCAGGACCGCCAACGACCGCCTCCCTCAGCGCTAGGCTGCAACCGGCAGGACGATGAACTCGACTACCTCAACGGCACCCAGCGACCACGCTCCGATCGACCTTGACACCACCCTTGGGGCAGCGTTCTTCGGATTTTGCGCTGGTGCCATGTGCGTTGGGGTTTCTTTTTCCCGAGGCGGATTGCGCTGACGACGCCACAGCTTGTTTGGAATCACACTACGACAAGCGTACCAATATTATACGACCAACCTTCATGATTCAATACTGCGCAAGCTGATTGTGAGTTCCTCGTTGGATCGCGCGCGACTGATGCTGAGGTCACTGTGGCGTTAGATTGCCATTGTCTGGTATGCACCCATTGTCCATCTCTTCCCTTCCCTTCTTCTTATACCGACGTCCTACAGCTTGCTGGATGCATCACATCTGGTCTTCTCAATGTACATGGTGTACTCCTTCATCATCCAGTTGTTAGGGTACTCTGAAGCTGAAGTGAAAGTACTTTGGTACGTCGGGTCACTGTGTCGCCGAGAACTCTCGTTCATTTTTCATGTATCTTGTCCAGGAGCGTTAAGGTGATCTTCTAATCTCTTCTCTTCTCTTCTCTGTCATCGGCTCATTGTCGTCACCGTCAGGCTCTCGCGACCACTCAGGTGCGTTCTGCCTGTAACCCACTTGTGAATTCTCCGACCTCATGTCTCCATTTAGACAATCCTGATCGTTTTCGTACAAGGGTAAGCCCACATCCATCTGTAATACATGCCAAGCCAAGAATATCTCGTACAGATACTATCTCTCACAAATATGGCGATGTAAGCGAAGCTTTTGCTGTTTTTATGACGTTGTGGGTGACATTTGCCTGGCTACCTGATGCAGTGTCCGGGAACGTGCTGCTAGGAAGAAAGCTTGCTGTGGCTGCACAGGTATGTCGATCAGTGGTCGCAAATGACTTGACATATGAACCGGGTCCAGGCTTTCGTGATTTTCATTGTCCTGCTTGCAATTGGTAAGTAGTTTCGTTATGTCGATTGGACGTTTTGAATTGAATTCCTTCTTCCTTTTCTCCAGTGGTTGCAATAAGTGAGTAGATGCGCTTTTCGCCGTCGATCCTGACCGACATGAAGTAGTTTTCCTTAGCCAATTGTATGTCGCCTACAACTCAAGCTTTCGATTCCTGCTGACCCTTTTTCTCAGACAAAAGGTCGCGGATATTCTTAGCTTCTCTGCTGGCTTCGAGGTGAGTTCATCATGTCCTCGTGGCCGTGCGTTTTTAAGACGGACGATGGGCAGTACGTGGTATACCTCGGGTTCGGTACTACGGCTCTCATCGACTGCGCCATTGCGGCGGCCATGTGTCTCTTGCTTCACAAGAGCAGCGCCGGTACCCTGAGGTAAGCACGGTCCAACAGCCCCTTCGAAATTTATCATTGATGCTCCGTGTCAGGAGCGAGACGGTGCTAGAGAGCCTGATTCAATATTTTATCGGCACTGGGCTTTTGACGAGGTGCGTGGTGATGTGCATAGGTTTCTTTTTCTGTGATTAATTAGACTTTAGCTTCGCTGCGATTATGGTCATTGTTTTGGTGCGTGGCACATCACGGTTCTTCCAAGGAAGACTTACGTAAGATATATTCTAGTACATTGCTCGACCTCGCACACTGCTCTATCTTGGGATGGAATTCTCGGTCACTCGGCGTGCGTTCTCTTCCGAAGCCTCTTCCAAAAAATCACACTGACCGCCTCCCACAGTGTACGCAAACTCGATACTGGCCATGTACGACCTCCGAGCCCCTGCCATTAATCCCTGACCAACTCTGATAAATTGCCTTTTCACCAGGTTCAACGCGCGTCAACGCCTCCGCGGGCGGTTCGACGAGTCGATTGAGATCAAGCTGCCCAGCAACGTCTTCTTCGGCGAGCCCGACTCAATGGCGCAAAGCCTCATCGGCGCCCCGTTCTCACCTGGCTCGCCCACAAAGTACTCACCCCATTCCGAAAGCAAGTATTCTCCGAATACAGAGTCGACAAGGTTCTCGCCGTTGCATGCGTCAGAGTGTATCTGTAATATACGAGGTATGGACATTTTTGGTGTGTTTCGGACTTGTTTTTGGGAACTAATGTGTGGATTTAGGACATAATAGGGACTTGAGCGGTTCGACGCTGCGCACATATACTGTATGAAAAGTGTAATTAGATGCGATGTTGTTGTAATGTACCATCGAAGCCAGACACTTTTTAGGAGAACTATCTTGACAATCCTAGTGTAGCGGTTTGTGTAAAGAATTACTGCTAATGGCAAAATCTCTACACATCTGCCTCTGCTGAGGTCAACAACGGCTGACGCTGTCCACGCTGTGCCCTGATACATAGACCACCCTATCCGACCTCAAAAGGGCATGCTAACAACGAGAAACCGAACAGGTCCCACCGTCATCTTGCCTAACGAGGATGCTTACAGTTAAGCAAATTGGCGCAGTTGTGCGTTTTTCAAAAAAACGTCTACGATTTTGTTGTTAGCTGTAAAACTACTGAACCAAAATTAGTGTAGATACCTATGGATAGATAACCGAGCTGACATAGACACTACGAGGTGCAACATACATATGTGGCGATTCTCATTTTAGTCGCAAAAAAAGCAACGAGGATCAATCAATCAATCGATCACGGAAGGGTCGGGGGCGCATTGCCATTTTTGGGCGAGGCGGCAACTACGCACCACCCGACCCTTCCATATGCGAATAAAACATGGAGGATGGGAGTCGATGTTCGGTGCAAGGATCCCGAATTATGTGAACGTAGAAAGTAGACCATCCAAATTACAAAAAGAACCCAAGTTTGTGGGCTTCCACAACCGGCAAGCACACTGCTATAGAGTATCTTATATGCTCGAGGCATTATAGAGTGCATGAGGTGTCCGAGCACAAGCGATAGGCCCGGATGGAGTGAGTGAAAAAATGCTGGCTGCTGACGGTTTCTAGGACTACCCTCCTGGAACTATCAAGTCGAGGGGTCGCTAATTGAGAAACCGTGTCCGGAGTAAGTAAGTGAGTGGTACTGAATTCTTTGTCACACTCGTTCGCTCTTCGAGAGCACTGAACCTCGCCCCTTTGTCAGGAGAGCTACTCCACATGCTTCATGCTGATTGCATCTTCAGCTCGTAATGCCTTTTTTTTGGTGGGGGGGGAAGAAGTTGGCCCTCAGATCCCAGTGAATTCATGCCAACATGTGACCCTTTCCGGCTCGATCTAGGAGGTCCAACGTGACTCCGGTGAGGAATCGTTGGGCATGGCCCTCCTGAGGGAGGGGTCGCGTTCACCTATGTCCATTGTTACTCGATTGGTTTACTCCTGTCAGGGCACCAAAGTAAGTAGTTCATGATTACATAAGGTGTCTAAGACTACTGGAAAAATATCAGATCCAACTCATCCAAGGCACCATCAGTGGCGTTGAGGATAAGGTCGTAGGAGCTTGTAGGAGGTGCTTTTTACAATTTCCCCAGTGATTCAGCAATTTTGAGTGAGGCTTCTCCTAGCTTCTCATCCTTGTATGTTCTTGGTGCTTCTTCGCCCAGATAATAATTGCTCGCTTCGCTCGCAATTCCGGCTAAAGGGGTGTGGCGAGGAGTAAACAAAACCAAACTTCTTGATTCGAAGAATGCCCCCGAGATTCACAGGATGCTCTAAATCTCGCTCAATTCTTCCTCGTTTTCTATAGTATTTCATATATGTGGTATTCACTCATGAATCAGTAAGATGGTCAAAAAAAATCACACATCTACAGCAAAATTTGAAGATTTTAGAAGTGTGCCACTTTTCTGGGCCGTGACTGTATACAGGTGCCATATACTCTTCTACATCACACGTATCACATTCTGCATATCATTACCCCCACTAGCACATTGTATTTGTGTTAATTTCAGTGTACGATGTTTGTCTCTGCTACTGCGAGAGACCTGAAATATGTGCTGCAAGTTGTGCAACAGATGTTTGTAAGGAGCCACATCACTGCCCACGGTAGCCACGATAGCCGTGTCGCATTCTACTTAGTAAGGCCACAACAGAGAAACGTAGATATTAAGCTATGTAACATGTATGATAATCATCATTGTGACTGTCCTTCCAGCTGGGATGGTGAGCCCGTGCAGAGCACAGGTGAACACCGCGCAGCGAGTGTCTGTCGGCCGAAGGCTGACAGTTACTCATATGATCGTTCCTGAGGACACGAGGAGGTGATGCGCCATTTTATTCTGTTATTCCATTTCGAATTCTGTGGCGTTGTGTAATTCTTGTTATGGTTGTTCTGGGTCAAGAATCAGTCACAATAGACAGGTGGAGAGTCTGTTTCGTCCCGTTTGGGCTGACATATTGCTTAAAGGGTCAATTGCTTATGGAATTATTTATTTAATCCATTCCGCTCGTGTGTGCATTAACCGGAGTTGTGGGTTTTAATGATTTAGGTGGTATTTGAGGTTGTGCTAGAGTTTGTGAGGTCTATCAACATGGGCATCGAGGATTCGGAAGAGGCAAACACATTGTTCTCCTGAACCTGTTTGTCAGTTGGGCTATTATGCGTGGCCTTAGCCTTAGACCTCTTGGACTCTTCAAATGGGTTGGCTTTAAATCTTCCCTTTGTACCCGCAGGAGCGTCACATCTCGAGGAGCTCTGGGGGTAATCCTCTTTAGAAGAAGAATAAGTTGCTATCCTTGAGAGGAGGGCATGGTGATATTCATGGATTCTGAAGGTTCTATCTCCCCCTTTCTGAGATCTTCAGCCTTGCCGATTTTGAAGGCTATGGTTCCTCCCTGTCTGAAAATTTCACCCTGGCCAAGGTGGTGGGTGGCTCCAATATTTACTTCCTTTGTGACTCTTGTAGAATCTGTTGCTTTTTTTCAAAGATTCTTGTGGGCTAGTGAGTTGTTTACATGCTTCTTTTGCTCCGCAGGTGTAGGTCCATATGTCTTTTGAGCTGGGGCCTCATCGCGACAAATATCTGGCTGGAATATCTGGCTGAAAGGGATTCATTGACTCAGCCAGAGTCGGCATCCTCCTATGAGGCAGAGTGGTTATAACATTGCCGCATGGTGGTGTGATCGATTGTGGTGCAATTCGAGGTGAAGTGGGTGGCAGCACCTCCTTTCGGAGTTGGGGGAGAGTGGCAACCAGACTTTCACTGTGACCCTGAGCAGACATCTCACCTCTAGCACTGGTTGCTACTTGCATTTCATTCTGAATTATAGGCTGAGGTGATCTATCGTTTCATGATCTCCCACGGGATGTGATCTTTGCCAGTGTCGTACTTCAGTGCTTCGGATAGGCTTGGTCCCATGAAAACACAGGTACCAGAGTGAAATTCTTGGTCAGTACCTGCCACTTTCTACCTGTGAGAGAGGATTTTCATTCCTCAAATAAATCATCTACGGATATCCTATACGACTTTTATCGAAGTACGACCATGTTGAAAGTAAGAAGAGACCTACTCCTTGCTGGAAGTGTATGAACTCGGCTTGGGGTTTCGGTTGCTGGTAGGAGAAGGCATATCAGTTCTCGGTATGCTGTTGTAGTCCCTATTTAAGCTGCTTAGGATCAGGGCTGTAGTATCTTTGTTGGGAGACATATCAAAGAGGATATTCTTCAAACGCCTTGAAGTTTGATGTCAGGGAAAAGAGAGAAGCACATTCAAAATGCCACTTGAACTGTTGAATATGTACATGTCAGGCCTAAGCCACATTATTATTGAATCTCCGATACTGGAAGGACAATGGCAGGCCACATTTCGAGTGACCCGACATGTAGCCAGCACCTCGTGGTGGTACAAATTGCCTAATAAGTCCATCAGTAAAACCTCGAGAATACGATGATCAGTTGTGAAGACCTACCGTTGTCAGGCTTCAACATTGTTTTGACTAAAACAATGTATTTGCTGCTTGCAATCAATTCACAAAAATATATCAATAAAGACACATGACTATGTTTCAAAGGATGTGATCTGACACATATGGATTAGTCAAGTCTATGACAGCTTAGTCATCATTGTAAATATGCTCCCAAAGACTTGCTATACTTTCACAATGCTTAGGTCATCTTTCTTACAGGCTGACTCAGACACTTACTAAGTTTTACATCCAAAACACTGTTGCATAAGTGCCAAGAACATAAACTCTATGTGCTTCCCAATATTGAGCCTCAAACTGAGTCTTCTTGGCTCAATCTGAAACTCAAAAGACATAAAATGCTGTGCAATGCTGTGCAAAACAAGCCCTTCGGCTTAAAATGTGAAACACAAAACAAGTCCTTGGCTTAAATGTGAAACATTCACACACCTATGCAGCCACATTTAGAAATAGTATAAATAGTAGACCAAATTGTCCATAGAAAGAGAATAACAATCCCAGTTTATCCAGTATCAAGAGACATCTCTCTGCAAACTAAGCTACTTAAAGCTTATTCTGACTTCAGTCAATCGTATCAACGTAAACCAGTCTGCACCAATTGCAGACCATCAGTATTGAATTATCACCAAAACTTCCTTGACAGACACCATTCCGTCTTATCGCACTCTGTCATCTACTTCCCATCTTCAACATCAATCAACTATCTGCACTTCCATTAACTGCCAAAGCAAACGCAACTACTACCAAGCTACCTGTCATAACTGTCATCGTCCTGTACCTTGCCGAAATATTCCACCATCTCAACGTCAAAGTAGATATTATTGTCATTGTGGAGATCGCCAGACAATAATTAGTCGAGTATCAAATCCCAGACAACATCAACATTGTCCACAGCAACCAACTTCAAGATCTTCTTCTAACAGATCTTCACCAAATCCGTCATCTTCCTTCCAACATCTAAACTTCTCCTTACCAATTGAAGTTTGAATCCAATTTCAACCTGGTAATCAAAGACCTATTGTCCAGTATCGAATCCCCAGGCATTAATTCTATGTGCCTATCTTAAGTGAAATATTACATTTTACTTACACTAATTGAAGACTATACAAATACTCTTCAATTACATCCTTATATCTTGGAACTTAGAACAATACTTCTGTCTAAGGCCCATCTACAAATATTACCATTCTAGTCGAAACTGATTAGTGGAACCTCCCTCATTGAACGATAGGAATATCCTGAACAAAGCAAGTTCTGGTAAACCCTAGTGAAAGTATTTTTCACGCTGACACCGTCAGGTATAATTCGCCACCATTCTTACGATACCATTAAAATATTGCAAGACCGATTACAACACAATACAAGCCAAGATGATCAAACCCCTGAAGTGACCATCTTGGTCAACATTCATGAGCTGTCAGCAGTGCAATGAATGGATCGTAAGCAGCCGCAATTGTAGGCTCATTTCATGAGTCATTCACATGATTAGGAGACCTCACAATTGTTAGACCAGAATGTTCAAAGTTTCGTGAGTTAGTATCACCATTACAATGGAATCGGAATGCTCAACAGTGAGTCCTGCTTCATTGTGATGGGTTCTTAATCATGCATTAGGTTCACAAATGAAGGTTGGTCACAACAATAGATTTTGAATATTCTACGAGCATATGGCATAAACGGCAATTAAGACTACAATCCCCACTCCTCTAGAAGCTTCATCCTTCGCATTGGAGGATGCAGCCGACACCACTCCAGGGAAGATCTGTCTGCCCAGCATCAGGATTATGGAAGCTAAATGAGGAAGGATACATACTTATTCCACCAGTTAAGAAGCTCCGGACCTTCTCTTGACATGTTGTGTTAGCAGCAGGGATTTCCTCAAAGTAATCAATGATGAACTCGTAGAATAGCTTCAGATCGAGGCCATGAATATTGTCTGTCCACTGCTTTATGGCGGACAATGCAAGGATAAGCTGTACAATGAGATGTGTTAAATCAAACACAGCAACACGAAGTTAAAGAGACATACCTGTACTGCAGCATATGCAAGTGCTCTTGGAGTGACATGCGTCATCTGGAGAGTCTCAGCAACACTACAATGCCCCTTCCTCCTCCCACCAGCAGTTCGTAATGCCTTGTTGGAAGTTCCTTCAGCATTGTCGCTGTCATTGGGATCTTGAATGTTGACAGTCTTTGCAGACTTCAGCAACGTGAATATAAACTTGAAGACCTAAAGGGGTGACCCATCTCTGAGGTGTCTCGGCTGTATCACTGGAACAATGTACCTTAACTAAGAGGGAGCTCTTGAGGAAGCCCTGCTCTGACTGGATCGTGTTTTCAGGGTCTTCAAATAGACAGTGCAGGAGGAAATTGCCAAAGTACTCAAATCCTGGGGCAGAACCTTGAAGCTTGGCCCGAATCCTATATGCAGAGACATAAGTAAGTGTTGGCATGTTATCAAGCAAATAACTCACTCTTTGTCTTCCCACTTGTACTTGACAGGGCAGAGAAGATGGCCAGTGACAGGGTGCTTAATGCCACAAGGTGGCATTTCATGATCGTCTGGATTCAAGAGGGGGTGAGCGCCCGGGAATGCCTCGTTGACCCAGATGGCGACACTATGCATCATGTTGCCTATGTCATCTCCGTGTGCAGCATTGCCTCCATGCTGTAGCTGTGTCAAGTGTGATTGGAAAGAAACCTAGTATGAAGAACAACACTCACCTCCGCGTAGAACAACTGAAGTTGTGCCGGCTCATCGTTGTCAATCTTTTTCTGGAAGTTGGGGATGAGTTGAACGAGCTCTTTGAAGGCTGTGTTCAAGCGAGCCCAACTAAAACGGGTAAGTCATGTGATATGCCAAGCGAAATCAACAAACTTACTCGTGCTTCAAGTTTCCTATTGCCTTTGTGGTCATCCCAGCAAACTTGGCATCGTCAAGCTCTCCGATAAGCAAGAGCTGATGCTTGTCAGACTGTCTGACCACCTCATCGACTCCAAGGAAGAGGGAGACTGCTTTGGGGATACCATGTCCCAAGCGTTTCATGGACACCCTGGAACTGAAGGTGAGCGACTACAATTTGTTCATGTGCACAACTTACTTGTCTTTCTTCCTTTTTCCTAGTGAAGACGCAACCTCCTTCTCAAGATTGTGGCACCTCCACTTATAGTAGTGCTCGCTACCTGAAACATCACCTGCACTACTAGGAGGCAAAGGCAAAGACAGAAAAGGCAAAGATGAGGATGACATGGCGATTGAGAGAAACCAGTGCAAAGGCAAGTGATGGTCAAGGAGAAAGCGAACTCAACATGGGTGGAGATTTATATGGTGAGCAGGCATCCCAATATGTTCATGCACGGAAAGACTGACAATGATCATTAGAGATTACATTTATGTACCTGTCCCTTTCCTTCCCTGTAAAACACGATATCCTTGGCCACTTCTTTCTTCCTCACTGCACTACACGACTATTCTACAAGCTCAACTGGTTATGGCCCACCAACGTGGGTCATGACTGCCACAACTAATTATTCTATTTGTGATTGCCTTCCTTGTTGCGATGCACTCTTGTATCCCAGGCTGTCCGAAATCATTCACCACCACTGTAAAGCAAGGTCTTACTTGCCACCAGAAGACATGCGAGCACTACCAGATGTCACTAGTGAAGGCTGCTAATGCATGCAAACTGGTTGGAGAGAAGAACAGAGTCAAGGTGGCTCGATTGAAGGACCGGAAGGACTGGATGCATGTCATGGCCGAACAGGTGCATTTCTCAACCTTTATTTTCTCAAACAGCATTTAGCTCATGAAGTTGTAGAACATGTCTGGCCCCTCAAGCTCATACAGTTCATCCACACAACCAAGCCAGGAAATTGATGTCGCGATGGATGTTGACTTAGAGTCAACCCATGAGCTGGCTGCCCATGACCAGAGCACCTCAGCTGACGACACAGAGCCCATGAATGTCGACATTCTGCCACCCATTGTTCTTCCGCAAGCCGAGGTGGCCCCAATCTTGACAACGGCTTCTGGGTGCCCACAACGCAATTATTGAATGCCAGCTCGATATCAAGATACCCTCCCAGAGCCTGCACCACTATGAGTGAGCACACCTAGCCCTCAGCCAGTGGTATCTCCACCAGTTTTATCTCGTATCACCAATCTCCTTCATGACTCAGTCAAGACTGCAGCAAATGCCTTTGGTCTTTGGCAGCAGTATGAGTACCGCCCCTCCTACGATCCTGACAACACTGTCGATGAAGATATGGTTCTGTCGCCACTGCCGCCTCCACCTGCTGGATTTACAACCCCAGCATCCACTTCCACCTCCTCTGACCTTGACAATGACGAGAACTCTGCAATCCGTCTCATGAACTGGCAGAACTCGGGAAGCGAGCTCAAGTCCAATGTGGAGCTGAAACGATTGGTCAATGAGGTTATTCTCCATCCCAAGTTCAACGTTGAACACTTCCACAAGTTCAATCCATCCAAGAGCAATCAACAGCAGGATGCAGCTGACGCCAAATCACCGCACCTCAATGGGTTTCAGGAGATGAGCATCTCAATCGAAGTTCCATCCAGGGACAAGAATACCCCACCTTGTGTCTTCGACATTCCTGGCCTACACTACTGCAACCTAACCTCTGTCATTCGCACCACATTCTCATCGACCATCGCATTGCACTTCCATCTTACTCCATTCAAACTTTTTCACAACCTACCAAGGGCAACAGAGTGAGAGACCACGGAGTGAGCAACCACAGAACAAGAGACCATGGAGTGAGCAACCACAGACCATGAGATGACAGAGTGCGAAGCAGAGGAGCGCGAGACGACAGAGCATGTCTTCTCCAAGGTCTACAACTCTGATGCCTTTATCCAGGAACACGAAAAGGTTCAAAGTGTGCCAGTCCCACTGGATGATCCAGAGTGCAAGCGTGAGAAAGTTGTCGCAGCTCTCATGTTCTGGTCTGATTCAACCCACTTTGCTGACTTTGGAACAGCAAAACTGTGGCCAATCTATATGTTCTTTGGAAATCTATCAAAATATGTGCGTGCTCAGCCAACTTCTGGTGCCTGCCAGCACATTGCCTACATCCCGTCACTGTCCAATTCACTACAACAGAAGATTGCTGAGTTTCATGCGAAATGGGGCACCCAGAAGAACAATATTAAGACCCACTGTTGCTGAGAACTGATGCATGCCGTCTGGAAATTCCTGCTCGATGATGAGTTCCTCCATGCATACCAATACAGACTTGTAATCATGTGTTTGGATGGTGTTGAGCGACAGGTATACCCCCGTATCTTTACCTACTCAGCCGATTATCCAGAAAAGTAAGTCACATATGGTTGCAATGAATTGAACTACTTCTAATGAGGTCCATTAGAGTTCTCTTGGCTACAATATGTGATAAAGGACTATGTGCTTGCCCCCGATGTCTGATTCTGAAGGACCAACTTGACCAAACAGGGCTGAGGTGTGACATGAACTTTTGCCTACACCATCTGAGAGAGTATCTTGCATACTTTGTTTGGTGTGCTCGCGAATGGATCTACAAGAAGGCAAAGCCTATTGGTGGTGTAAAAGTCGAACAATTGTTGAAACCGACCTCATCGGTACCAACAGTTGTAAGTGAAACAATTTTGTATGTCACAATAGTGAAATCTAATTCAAGAAATATGGCTAGAATGCCTTCATTGACCAATTAGGAGAATATTTTCCACTCAACCAGATATTTGTTGTTGACCTTATGCACGAATTTGAGTTGGGGGTATGGAAATCTCTCTTTACTCATCTCATAAGAATTCTCTATGCTGTGGCACCTGATGGCCGTCTAGTCACTGAGCTTGACAAATGGTAAGCCTGACATTTTTATTCTTTGTGCTGTGTGAGAGGCATTAATTATCTTGTCTCCTAGCTTCTGGGACATGCCCACTTTTGGGACCGATGGCACAATTCGACGTTTTGCGACAAATGCATCGGAGATGAAGAAGTTGGCTGCTCGAGACTTTGAAGATCTGCTCCAGGTGCATTGTATACTCTTTTATGTGTTTAATTCTCATTCAGGTTATTGTACAGTGTAGCATTCCTGCTTTCAAGGACCTACTTGACGAGCCCTATAATACTCGCCTCATGAAACTGCTCTATCACGTGGCAGAATGGCATGCTTTTGCCAAGCTACGCCAGCATACGGAAACAACACTCACACATCTCAAAGGTGTCACAACTGAGCTGGGGAAGCTCCTGCGAGAATTCCGAGACATGTCTGCATCCGAGTTCACAACCTATGAGCTGCCATGTGAAACCCAAGCCAGAAAGAGGCACGAGCAGAGAGCACCAAATACACATTCAACTGGCAGCCCAGGGCATAAGGAGAAAGGGCTAAATCTCTTTACCTACAAGTGGCATGCATTGGCTGACTATGTCAGATTGATCCACCTCTTTGGGGGGACTGATGGGTTTTCAACCCAGGTCATATGTTCTGCCCACCTGATCTCATCTGTTTATAGCTCTCATTGTTGTCATTCAGGGAGAATTGGCACATCGAGTTGTCAAGAGACTCTACAAGTTAACCAACAAGTGCCATGCTGAAAAGCAAATTGCCAAGTGAAGCCGACGGCTCGAGCGAGCCAGGGCATCCCTCAAGTGTCAAAGTGTGGGTCAGAAAGAGCGGTTGAGCAGGTGGCAACAAACATCTCAAACTTCAACCAGTGGTGACCCTGACCTGTGCTACTATATTTCGGACTCTCAGAGTAATCCAATTGACATCTACAGAATGCTGGCATCACATAGTAATGATGACCCAGCATACGAGGTATACCCCAAGACTTTAACTTCTCTTATGTGGAATGTTGACACAAATTCAGAAATTTCTTCCAACCCTCCAAGACCACCTTCTTGCACGTCTTAAGGGCTGTGAGTTTGATGGTGATGACCAGACAAGAAAATTTACCCATGAAGAACGCAACGCGGTGCATATTCTAGGAGGGAAGATATACTTGGTCAAGACATGCCAGCTCTTCTACACTTCGTACGACCTCCAGTGTAGCTCAGACACGATCAACCCCACCTCTCATCCTGACATCTTCATCAAGGTGCCCCCAGACCCTGAGAACCCTGAAGATCCTGCAAGCAATGCCTCAGACCTGTATTGGTATGGTCGGGTTCTTGGGATTTATCATGCGAAGGTGAACATGTCTCTCCCGGGGGTGCGGAAGGGCTCAGAGATCCGACGGATGTATTTTCTGTGGGTCAGGTGGCTAGGTACTGAGCCCAACTACCGTTATGGTTTCAGGCAAGGTTGTTTACCAATGGTTGGCTTTGTCCTGTCAACCCAAGACAGCACATTCAGTTTTTTGGACCCATCTCACATCATCCACGGTTGCCACCTTATGCCCACCTATGCCTTGGGTCGAACCTGCAGTCTCTTGCCTGTCAGCAAGAGTGATGCATGTTGCTTAAACCAAGATGAAGAGGATGACTGGACGAACTTTTATGTCAATGTGTACATCTTGAGTCCATTCCACTATTTCATGTTCCTTGGCTAACTCGTATCACCCAGTTTCATAGATCGGGACATGGTCATGCAGCACTTCGGCGGTGGGATCGGACACCTTGGCAATGCCCCATGTCGACCGGTTTGGTCAACTGCTGAGGGCAATGGGCCTTCGGAGCGCAACTTGGATTCAGAGGAGGAACAAGAGCCCGAGCAGTCTGTAGACACTATCGGGGCATCTAATGACAATGAACAGAGAGAACAGATCCACAGAAACAGCAAAGAAGCTTCAAACGATGAGCAGGAAGGTGATGAAGATGAAAGGGGCCAGGAGCTCGAGGGGGAGGGGGATAGTGAGGATGATGAGGATGAGGACAATGAGGGTGGGAATGAAGAGGAGCGCAAAGACTCCGAGCGCAACTCTGTTGATGACTCAGACGGATATGCGTCCCTATAACTCTAAGCATAATATAGCATTCTCATGAATGGCAACACATTCTATTAGCCAATCACAGTGGGATCGAGGTGGTGCCAAAATTTCATCCAGGACTCACGTTCTTGTGATAGAAGTTTTTATGAGTCACGATGACTCTCAGTTTTGTTGAACAGTTCACAGACTTAGTATGAACTCGGGACAACATTATCCTACTATCAGAACTATGAAATCATTATTGCTTCTGATCATGAGGCTCAAGATTTATTCTAGCACGGTCATCATGTCTGCAAAATATAGTAGATACCTTGCCATATCCTTGTGACATTGCAGCCATATCGTGGTGCATTGTGAACAATTGGAATGACTTGGCACTGTTGTGGGAAATTGTGGGCACCCATAACCATATTTCAGACTTTGCTGATGTCAATGGTTAGAGAGTGGCACCTCGAATCGAGATCATCCGAGTAGATCCGAGTCCAGCCGTTCAGCTTGAAGTCTACGAATCACGACATGCAAGGATCAGGGATACTTCTGTGAGTATGCGCATGTAAATGAGTTTTGTAGGTCCTGAAGTTCCCTTCTATCCTATTACTATCCCGTCGAGCCCGGGCGACCTTTCAATAGCTTATCTGAAGCTCGTGAGCGACACGAGAACGCATGCAAATGGAGAGAGGAACTCCATGCGTAGGAGTCTAGGAAATACATAGCAATGACATTTGATTACGGATTATTCCCACCACAGAGGCCTGCAACTAGAAAAGAGGATAACGGGTGTTGTCGTCGGCCCCCGTTGAGGGTCACCGTGCTTCAAGGGAAAATTGCATCCTGGGTTAAAATCCAGCTGTAGTCGCAGTTATAGAGCGAAGAGAATACGACCTGACTGGAAATTTTATCTGGCCGTTGTAGTGTCGTGTTTTCCTCGAACCCGCGCACATTGAATGAGACCAGAGTTGATAAATAAGTGCGAGACATCGGGCGTGACTCGCGATAGAGGAATCGCAAAGACACTTCGATGAGGGACTGGGAACCCGGAAAACATTGATTAGAAAGATAAACGAAGTGGATTACTTAGCATTATTGATCCAGCCAAACGAGAAGATAGAGTAAATAGCTCGTCGTGCTTCGACCAGCCGTGAAGGTTATTAATCTCCATTTCTCCATCGCAACCTCGTGCGCAGCACCTCCGAAAGCGTCAAAAAATGCTATATCTGCTCGATAAACAACGAAAAGGGAAAGGACGATCCTACGACTTGGCAACTAGGCACCGTTGGACGCTTAATCACTTCGCCCGATATGTAGGCGCCTATGTGAAAGCTATGTAACTGCGCAGTGAACCGCCTTGGAGCGCGTACAGACGGAACTACGCAGCGCCTATTTTTGCTAGACGTTCTGGTAGACGGCCAACGATGCCCTTGCCGTGAATTGTGGGCGTACGTCCTACAGGTAACATTTCTTTATGCCTTCCACTCTCAGAACCAGGGTAGGGTCCAGTCACGCCGCAGCTCAGTCATCTGGGCCCATTTGCCGCCGCTGACGACGGTCCTGATGGTCATCCAATTACTTTTCATTTCATTCATTTGTTCTCTTGAGGCCCATTCGACGGAGGCAACCCTGACTGCGGAAAGTCGAATGATGGGCGTTGACGCCGTTGAGGTGTCACTTGCTGTCGTACATTTGTATCTAGGATTGCTGAACCAGTTGGATTGGAATGTTGGTGAGTAAACCAGGTGAACGCTCGTGTGATGGCACTCCTTTATCGATACGGTGACTTTGAAGGTGCGCGAATAGAAGGCGCCTTCCCTGAAGAAGAGCTATATCTCGTGGATGTCGCGTGGTATGAAATCAGGGTTAAGCGACGTGGATCAGAAAGGATCTGCATGGACCTCTCGCCTGAATCCCTGCCTCCTGGTATCAATTCTGGGTGGGAGCCACTGGGAGAACTGACAAATCCATGGGCCCAGCTGACGAGGACGATGCAGCAGAAAAGGACCTCGTTTCTCAAAGTCTGCGCCGCCGACCTATTATTAGCTGTATTGGATGTGGGTTCTCCCGCCACGAAATGGACGCTGACGATGGCGGGACCGGCTACTTAGGGGGCGGGTGCAGATTTTTCGGAAATAAGGCCCGAAAAAGCTGAATCAAGCCTTCGAGATGGGGACAACTACTCTTGGCGTGAATATCCTGGCAACGTCGAGCCAGTTTAGTTGGCACAGAGGAGGGAGTCAGACACATGACGGAAAGGAGACTGAATTGATTTGTTTGTGACATGGGAGGGCGGCATGGTTTGCTCACGGAATCTCCCATCAGTCTCAAAGCGGGCGGAAACAGCGGTGCGAAATAAGAAGCTGTTCACCGTCCTCCTCGTTAGTATTTTCCTTCAGCGCGCATCATGCCTGCGGAACCCACGAAAGCGAAACTCAAGCGCCGCGCAAGCAGAAAAGAGTTGGAAGAGTACCGATTCGACGGCAGCCATGGGAGAGAGCTGGAGATGAAACGGAACAGAGGTTAGTCCGCTCCTCACGTCTTCGAAGCCCAGATGTCCCTGACATTTCCTTTCGTTTTTCGTGTTCCTCTGAGCAGGAGAGGTATGTCTGCCGTACGCGCGCCTCCAAGCATGCCCTTGCTCTAACACCATAACCTAGGTTAGCTGTGCCGAATGTCGCAGGTATGCGATCATCGCACACTTTGTCCCCGGACATGTAACTGATTCGGACAAGACTCAAGATAAAATGCGACAAGCAAATCCCTTGCCAGTCCTGCCAGGTATGTTTTCGCCTTGCAGATGTCGTTTTGTGCCGCCGACCAAGGAGGATTGTTAGCGGAGAGGATGCGCAACACTGTGCCCGAACGGTACGTGACCGAACTCGTCTCACATTCGTTCGGCTAACATCCAGAGCAGGAAGTCTCGCGACTGGACAAGGAACACGGTATTTCACCACGTCGACGTCCCTGAGTGCACGAGAGGCTCATACAACTACCAGATTCGTGTTGGCAGCCACCGAACATCTACATCGCCGCATTTCTCGTCTCAGCGGGCGCATTCGCCAGCTCGAAGATGCTCTGGCTGTTATACACGCGAAGCACTCGACGGAGCCGCATCCGCTCCTCCACGAGGATCTAATCGCCGCAGAGGAGCACGATGAAATGGAGGACACAGGCGAGGAAAGTTTGGTGTCGGTGACGCAGAACAAGGAGGTGTTGGACGCTTTCGGGACCCTCTCGATATCCGACCACGGCATCTCGAGGTTCTTCGGTCCTACAGGAGGCTCAGAGGTGCGTCCAGCTTTATATGTCGCCCAAAGATCCCCGGGTATTGATAATATCCGATTCTTCACAGAGTCTGCTGCTGGTGAGTACGCCATACGCCATGCAATCTCCGTATGTTGATTACCTCCCACCACAGACGCACACTGACTCGAACCAACCGTCGCCTGAGAGCATACATACGCCAGACTCGATGCGCGGATCGAAGAGCCCGTCCTCGAACAAAGATCTGTCCCTGTTTTCCCAGTCCTTCCCGTTCACTCCCATGGGTCCGACAGCAGACGTACAGGAGCTGATAGAGGGCCATTTACCGCCATACGAGCATACAATCGCCCTGTGCGAGATATATTTCGACCAGTGTGCATGGCTGTTCCGTGGGACGACCCGAACGCAGCTCATGGACGACATGGTGCCCACCATCTACAAGCGGCAGGCCGTCCCTCCAGGAGAGGATTACAGCGGGCCGCACGACCTCGCCTTGCTCTTCATTGTGCTTGCCATTGGGTCTCTGGTCGGCCAGGAACCCTCGGACGCCCAAGGCGAGCACTTCCACCAGATCTCGCGAGCGGCGCTCGCCCTACAGCCTGTGCTAGAAAAGCCGTCGATCGTGACAATCCAGTGTCTACATCTGATGAGCATCTACAGCGCGATGAGTGGGAGCGATGTGAAGAACGAGACGAGCATGGAGATGGCGTGGTCTCTGATCACCCTTTCGTGCCATTTATCCCAAACTGTAAAAAAATTCTTGCTATTTTCCATTGGGTGACGGACTAACTATATTGTTTCTCCACACAGATCGGTCTTCGTACGTCCTGATGACCTGCCTGGCTCTCACCAAAGGCTGATCATAGTGCTCCTACAGATCGTGACAGTGCTCGATGGGGTCTCTCGCCGAAGATGGTCGAACGGCGACGGACGCTTTTCTGGGACCTTTTCACGGCCGACGTTTGGCAGGTGAGTTCAATCCATTATCAATCTTTCATCGCGATTATTTATCAAACTTTCCAGAGCTTGAACAACGGACGACCGCCGTCCTTCTCCTTGGCCTATATCGACTGCTCTTTCCCTCAATACAAGAACGATGCAAATGGTAAGGATACAACCTTAGGGGCGACGTGTAAGTTCATTAACTCACGAAACAGAACCGACTGACCCGCTCCGCCATCTGTCTTCTAGTTGAAATATGGCAATTCCGCTTTGCGTCTGAGTGTGTTGCGGACGTCACAGCACGCACCCTCACCGCCGAAGCTCCGTCGTACGCGACTATCATGGACCTCGACCGCAAGGTTCGCGAATTCCCTCTACCTGAGGGTTTGGGGTCCTTGGACAACTTTGGAACATCGTTCCAGCGCTTCGTGTTGGAGCATATCAAAGAGACAGGTATGATCATTCTTTATTTTCGTATTCAAGACAAATACTGAAGATTCTTCCTGTAGTCCTCATGTACATTCACCGGAGCTTCTTCGCCCAAGCAATAATGGATCATCCGGCCAATCCTTTGAAGAGCCCGTACGCCCCTTCCTTCCTCGCGGCGTATCGCGCTTCGTCGACCATCCTCAAGTCCGTGCGAGAGCAGTTCAAGTTGTGGCCGAACTCGTGCTCTCGGTTCTGGACGATGTGGACGTTTGCCTTCTCCGCAGCCGTCAGTCGCCCCCATTTTTTACGTTGTCGTTGAGACAGTTTTTCCTGATATACGTTCCTCTCGCAGGTGGTGTTCGGCACTGTTGCCACGCGCGGTCCGCGATCTCCACTCGCCCAGTCGGCGATGACCGAACTCGAACAAGCCTGTGTATTATTCTCAAAGGCGTCTGCGACCTCTCTGCGTGCTACGAAGGCTCTGGTACGTTCCACTGACCCCCTATTTCGTCGTCATCGTCTCATCTTCGTTCGTCTTTAGCCTATTCTTACAAGGCTGAGTGAGAAAGCTCGCTACGCCCTTGCTGCTGCGCAGAAGGACCCAGACCCGCTTTCTGGTGACAAAGGTGGTCTCCTATGGAATATCAAGCAGGACGACGACGACGACGAGCTGTCTATCATCGCTGGTCGCACACGGTTTATCTCAACGAAGAAAAGCGACTGCTCGAACTCGACGCCGCCTCACTCTGGTCGCTTCGAGCCCAGCCCACCTCTCTACCCTGCCGCCGCCGCGCCTGCCCCGGAACCTATGCAAACCCAGCTATCTGGCCCCGTCCCCGTCGCAGGTTCTGGGTACCAAGTCCCATCCCACCCACCACCACCTCCGCCTAGTTCGTCGTCGAGCATGAGCAGCTCGTGGGAGCCGCAGTCGCGGGACGAGTACATGGCGCCGCCGATGGAGATGAGCTACTCTTACGCACCGTCGCAGAGGACCCAGCCGCCGCCCGACATCGCGGCACCGTACACCTGGCCGAACGAGTCTCAACAACGTGCTGCGGGGCCGTCTTCCATGCAGCATCGCCCCGTCGCCTCCTCGTCCTCGCAGCAGCTACGCCACTCCAACGTCCAACCGCCGCCCCAGCAATATTATATGCAATCCGCCCCTGTCGAGTTCCAACCGCCTCAAGGCCACTACGCCTCGCACTATGCGCCCCAGTCGCATGCAAGAGCACATCCACAGCCTCATATCCCGCCTCAGCACCAGTCCTACCCTCAACACCGTGCTGCCTCCTCGTCGCAGCATCCCTCACAGCATCCCTCACAGCATCCCCCGCAACATCCTTCACAACATCCCTCCTATTCGCTGTATAACCCGAACCCTGGCTATCCCGCCACAGGTGCCGGGCCAGCGGGATCGAACGTCGACCTTGCAGACCTCGGACTGGTCTCGCGAGATTCAAGGCTCGATGAACGATGGGGTTCGTTCATGGCAGATTCGGGATTATTGGATGACTATAGACGCCGTTAGATTTCTCGCATTTTGTCTTTCATTCTGTTACTAAATTCCGCGTTCGTCGTGCTCTCCACTCTGCTAAATTGTGTATTTACCATTACTTTTGCTTAATAATATTGCCTGTCGCGTCGTTTCGACGAACCGGCCCATACAGTACTGATACCTATACTTAACAGCCAGTCTACGCGCATATTTAGGGGAACTATGAAGGCAACAGAACCCGAGTTGTCATGCTCGACCCCGAGATATATTAGCATCGTTTCAAGACCCTCAGTGCACTCGATAGAGCCCCAAAACACAAGACCATTAGATACTCCTTGAGTCTCAAGTTCTACGCTGACCGTGAGAGGCAAATGAACCCACTCCGTGAGCTCTCCCTAACCCAAGATGCCGTGTGTGCTCATCCGGATTATGCACTTGCTATATGGGAGTCAAAGCGCGAGGGAAGTGGGCCGCTGCTGCTCGCTCTCACCATTCTCAAATGACTCGGACTTCACGTTGCTTTGAACGAGTGTAGCATGGGATGCAAAGCTGGCTCAACCCTACCAGAAAATACGGCGTACGACCGGCCTGAGACATCGTGTTCAATAGCAGATCATCCAGGGATAAATGCAAACGCAGATGGTCAAGAAGTGGGAAATGGGCGCGAAAAGAAGGAACGAGTGCATGACAGGAAAAGGTCACCGTATTAGGGGCTTATGAGCGAGGAAAAGGGTCAATAGGTCTGTCCGAGGAAGAGCGATGATGGTTATGTACATAAGAGGAAGGTTGGAGGTCTTCTCGGACATCACCGGCGGAGAGGCGCATTCCAAACTAGGTATCTGGAGGCGCCCATGCGCCTGTGCCATTCCGCGGTAGTGATGACTCTCAAAAAGCTGGGGGAAAGCTTCAGTTATCATCCATCCTTTTATATTTGAGCTGTTGTCGGAGAGCGGCAAGCGGCAGGTTCTAGCTCCAGATTTCGAATAATCATTTACTCATAGGTTTTCTCGAATGAACGGACTTCGGCGATGATCGAAAAACATTCCATTCACATATTCATGGAGACACAATGTGATTTGCGCAGACATATGATAAGAGGGAGAACCGGTCACACGGGTGTGAATGCGAGTGGATTGAGAGCGTTGAGCTTCCCACGTACATCATTATGAACGCAACTTGAGTGCAACTTGAGCGCAACTCCGGTGCGCACTATGGTACTCTGCGTTATGGATGGTCCCATCTGGCATGTAATATATAATTTCTGTCCAATTTTTGGGATTTGAGCTTGAAATTCCACTGCGCTCAGCATTCAATTTGGGGCAATTCTCTCGTTTCTCAATATGTGAGAAATGATCTTTAGTAGCATTCGTATTTAAACCCGAGTATACCTATTGACACAAGCCTCAAAGCGTGAATCGCTCACGAAGTCAAGACACGTGTTGCAGGCAAGCCGTAATTAGAAGTCCTAATAGAATCTAACAGAAGCGTACCACTTCATTCCCTTGAAAATTTCTTTTGATACTTATTTCTAGAGTACTTTCGACAAACTTTCGAAGGGACTTAACGCTCGCGAGAAAATATCCTGGCGTGATCGAGGATAAAGAGACACTGCTCTGATAGGACTACCTTTCAATTATTCAATTATTTTCCTTCTCTATTTCCTTTCTTCCGCTGCATTGGCCTGAATGAAAGAAGGCGGAACCTCGACAACGGAATCGGCAAAACTCGGCCCGGTTCCGACGGTGTGTATCCCAAGTCAACGCCAAGTCCTTACTCTCTTCCCTTCGCCACCATCAAGCCACCACGGTACAACGTACAACGGCCTCCTGTACGGGAAAAACACTGAAGATCGGACAGGTCACAGGGGAGGGACTGCATTCCTCCAGGAATCTCGTCGTGGGCGCACATCTTTTGCCGTAAAGCCTTCCTCTGGTCTCCTGGGTTGATCCCGTTGCACGACGAGCTCTTTTTATGTCTCACATCGACCAGGCTGCAGGAGGTCCGACTCGCTTATCGTCACTCTATCTCGTTTCTGTCTTTATGTGTGTACTATATCACACTTCTTTCTTCAGCGGCCTTCACTGTGGAGCCAGATGTTCTGCTCATTGGAGTGGGGACGGTCATGCTTAAAGGTTATCCATGGGATTCGAAGACTCCTATGTATCGTACCTTGGGTGGTGAGGCGTCCACGGGTGCCGCCTCTTCTTGACCCCGTGTGCTGTCCTTGTGTCTGAAACAATGGTGACGCGCGCAGCGTTCCTGCCAACGTTCCTGGCCGGATTCCTGGCTCTCCCGCCCAGGTGTGCATGAATGGAAGGCTGTTCGAGTCGTATATAACATGCTAGAGTGCCTGCTGAGACCCCCACGCCTCTTCGTTCATGATGACGACTCCTACTGTTACGATCGCAGACCACACGACCGCTTCCAACCCACGTCCTCACATTCTCTACACCATTAAGACCGACTTAGACGGTGGACTACTGGTTACTCAGAGGAGATACTCAGAGGTTTGTTGCATTTGACTCTGGAAATGCCCTCTAGCTAATTCTGTGTTCAGTTTGTCGCCCTTCATGGTATATTTCTGTCTCTCGTTCGTGGCATAACGACCGTTAACTCGCGACTTTCCAGAGGCTTTGAAGGATTCATACAATCTTCCTCCCAAACGTCTCATCGTTACGACTTTCATCCCCTCTGCGTGGGCCGACGATGCTCTTATCGCAGAACGCAAGGCAGGCCTTGCCGAATACCTCGCCGACCTGCTCGCGACTCCCAAGTACAAGGACAAGTCCGCTCTGTTCGACTTCCTCTCTCCTCGCACGGCCGAGATCAACCAGAAGTTCTTCCTCGAGGATGCCCTTCCGTCTACCCTCACCCGGACCAAGGCGATGAGTCTGGCCGCTGCTGCCACCGGCGGCGAAGTGAACGCCTCGGCCGTCATGATCTCGGGCGCCTACTACCCCGACTGGAGTGCAGGCCGCAGACCTCCTGAGAGCATCGATTACTCGAAGTTCGATATCCTTTTCTTCTGTAAGTATTCAACGCACCATCCCAACTGCTGTTACTGAGCTGCATCCAAGCGTTCGTCACCCCCAACTCGTCCTCGACCATAAGCTGGGGCAGCGGAAGCGAGGCCATCTTGAGGCGCCTCGTCGCGAGCGCCAGGAGCAGCGGCTATGGCACTCGCATCGTGCTCGCTGTTGGTGGTTGGCTCGGGTGCCAGTGGTTCAGTCAGGCTTGCTCGACCGCTGCCAATAGGACCAAGTTCGCCAACTCCCTCGCTAGCGCTGTCAATACTTACAACCTCGACGGCATTGATCTTGACTGGGTAAGTAGCGTCGCTATCTTTGTCCAGGTTTTCGTTGATGTTTCATTAGGAATACCCCAACTCTCCTGGAGCTGGCAACCCTTACAGCCCCAACGATGCTGCCAACCTCCTCAGTCTCATGAAGTTATTGAGGACTGCTCTCGGTACGCATATTCTCTAATTAACCCTTGTTTCACTGGCGCTCATCGACCATTAATCCGGATAGGCCCTTGCAAGATCCTCTCCGCCGCAGTTCCCCATTTGCCGTGGTTGGGAACAACTGGCAGGCCTCTCACAGACGTCTCAGAGTATGCCAAAGTGCTCACATACGTCAACATCATGTGCGGCCTTCGTCTTCTCGTTCTTCCTTCTTTTCATTCTTATCTTTCATAGGAACTACGATGTCTGGGGCTCGTCTGCCAACCCCGGTCCGAACGCGCCTATCGGAGATCTCTGCAAGACCTCGAAGCAGCCTCAGGCGAGCGCACAGGCTGCCTTCAACCAGTGGACCGCTGCCAAATTCCCAGCCAACCAGGTAAGCATATTATACTACGAGACCATACTCGATCCCGACTCTCTCTTCCAGCTCCTCCTCGGCCTCGCCCTCTACGGCTACGTCTCCAAAAGCTCCAAGACCGTCCTTACGGGCAGCTCGATGCCCTCCGATGAGATGGTCCTCCTCCAGCAAGAGGAGGTCAAGAACGACGACGACGAGCTGGAGGTGAACTTCCTCAACGGCGCGCACCCCAACCCGAGCGTCAGCGCGCCTCCGCCTACACCCACGTCCGCGTCTATCAAGGACGATGGGGAGGTAAGCGCACAGGCGACGCTGACATCGTGGTGGGGCCAGCAGATCCCGTTCTACGAGATCGTCAGGGCTGGTGCGCTCGTGAAGAGGTCGGATGGAAATTATGGGCAGGCGGGAGGTTTCACGATGGGTAATTCGTCCTTGTCTTTTCGCACATCATAAACTTACCCATTGATCGGACTCTAGGATGGGACAACTGCAGCAACACTCCGGTACGGTCTCACGTTACATTGTACGCGATGTTCGCTAACCTTGGTTGCAGTATCTTTTCAACACGGCCCAGACAACGGTTGTAAGCTACGACGGTGAGTTCGGTTGTCCCCCGTCCGCCACATAGTTTAACCTGCACTCTTCCATTAGACACCTGGTCCCTCACCGACAAAGCCAAGTTCGCCGTGTCTAGCGGGATGGCTGGCTGCTTCACTTGGTCGCTCGATCAGGTCAGCCTTTTCTTTCTCTCCTGGTCCCAGCTCCTCATTCTCCTCGTTTTATTTTTTAGGACGACGGGCTTACTCTGCAGAACGCCATCAGGAAAGGCCTCGGGAAGTAGATTGTTTTGGAGTTCTCTCAGCTTGCGCGTTGGTCTGCACCTGAATGTTTTTATGATTCTTGACGACGCTGGATCAGGTGTCCCCCTGATGATGTTTTATTCCTACCCAAATGAGAGCTTCACGGACTTTCACGATCGACGACGATCATTTACGTTTCATTACGGAGTTTCATGTAAATACACGTTTTCCGATTTCAAGTTTTACTGTTGCTAGCGTCATTTCTTTCGCTGGGGTGTGAATCATTTGTGACTTATCGACCCGCGTGTTGGGGCTGCGAAACTACAAGTCTTGTCTGGGTCTTCTTATTTTTGGGCAGATACAATTCTCTCAGTTTGAGTCAACGCTTCAAGTTGAAGAGGTAGTCTATGTATTCCAATTGCATCTAGCAACCCTAAACTAAATCAGAATGATAGTCCCTTAATTCCCAACAACTCCGGGGCAAGATCCATTTCGGCGTCGTCCCCTTCGGTTATTTTTTCCTCGGATTCTCCATCCGAAGCGCTAGCCAGCTCATCCTCACCCGAAGTAGCCTCCTTGTCGCTCAAGTTCCCTTGAAGAGTGCAGGACATTTTCCCTGTCGAGTCCACAGAGTAGTTCCCTGTTCCGAAATACTTATGGCTGGTCTTACTTCGGCTTCACTTTCGAGCTCTGCGTGAAGGAACGAGTAACGAACGGTGGCAGTGGGTTAGTCGACATGAGACGGTCGCTGTCACTGCTGGCAGGCCCCCCTGTTAGCTCATAGAGAATGTTCTGAAAATGACTCTTAGTTGCTTAAAGATTTCCCCAGCTGTAATTGTTAAGTGTTCGAAGAATTCCGATTGCGTCTCGTGTCGACCCGCATGCAAACAAAAGGAAAATTCCCCCCAGAATTTCCTGATCCGTAATACTTTTCGTGCTTACTCCGTTCTCCGTGTCCAGAAATGGTATGACCCTGTAAAATTCCTGTAACATTATCTCACACGGAGAATGTCAAATTTCCCCTACATTTTGTCATCTGGAATATGTAGATAATATTTATCATTTTCTATGTACCCGGAATCGTTGCATGCAAGTCCAAGTGCGTCACGATTCCGGGTTCTTAGAACACGAAAAATTTTCGCAACATTATCTCAACGCGGAAATACAATGGGAACTTATCAATTTCTTCTCTAGATAATTTGGATATAATTTTGCGTTCTATTTCCATTTGTAGAGGTGCATCATGTAGAGTAATGAGCACAAAAAGTGTTAAGTACAGATCAGGAAATTATGAGGGAAATTTCTCTTTTGTTTGCATGTGGGTCGACGCGAGATGCGATGGGAATTCTTCGAACACTTAACAATTACAGCTCAGGAAATCTTTAAGCAACTAAGAGTCATTTTCAAAACATTCTCTATGAACTAACAGGGGGCCTTGCCAGCAGTGGGTCGTGTGCTCATGTGCGAAGGCTTTTCGGCAATTGCCGCCAGCTCCCGTGGGAACGCTCTCGGTGATTGCCGCATCATCTGCTTTCCTAGGCGTCGCTCTTGCATTTCCTGTACTCGGATACATATGTTCCTCCAGCCAAGGAAACACTCTGAACCACGATGATAGGGCTTAATCCTAATCCGGCGACTACCACGTCAACAGCAGAAGATGAACGGACAAAGGGAGATCTTCGTCTGCCGAGAAGCGACTTTTACCGAGTGGAGACGGGAAACTCTTTCTCCGGCTCTTTCGAAGAACCCACGATTGAGGTAGACAAGGACAATGAGCGCTTGATCAAGCCTCAATCAGAGTCATTGAAAGCAGTAGATCTGATCAAGGACGGCGTGGATGAAATCCAGGTGCGCCTCTCGAGCTCTCTCGTGAAAAATTCTAATACCGGCCCAGGTTTCTTCATTCACCCCCGAGCTTCCTCAAGAAATCTGGTACTGCATTTTCCAACGAGCGATCCCACCCAGCTGGCTGCTAGACCCTTCCCTATCTTTGGGGCCTGATGCTCCCTGGTCGGTTGCATTGCGACTGAAGAAGAATATCGTGACAGTTTGCAAATCCTGGTACAGTGCCGGTCTTCCGTTCCTCTACGAAGACGTATGTATCCGTCGTCTCTCTCAATTCGAGAATCTCTTCCTTGCCTTCAGAAACACACGAATGCAGATCGGCTCTCTCGTCAAGACCGTGAATATCCTTTGCTACATTCCCACAGCCATATCTACCACTTTCGCGACGTATCTGGGAACCATTTTTTCACTTTGCCCTCGATTGCATTCTTTCGCGTACTCATCGCCGACACCCATCGACGAACATGCAGTGAACCAAATCCTGCTGAAATCCATTACCCACCTCGATCTATCAAGACTCCCTTCTCAGTATTCACTGATCCGCCTTCTGGCTGGCGTGAGTGCCACGTTGAGATCGCTGAACCTCCAAATCCCCTCTACCCCCCAAGAACTGGCAGTGCAGACGAAAGTAGTGCTCCCGAGTCTGTCATCGCTATTTCTGGTACAAAGCCCTATACCGGACGAAGGAGCCGGCCTTCGGTTTCTCACCCAGCATTTGGACCTTCCGAGCCTTTCAAGATGCACATTGGATTTTTCATATCAGCTATTCGGACACCAAGGCCGAGCTGCGGAGGCAGTCGTCGAATTCCTGATACAGCGTGGAGGCAATCTCATTTTCTTGAATATCGCGTACAGTTATTCGAACCTCTCCTACCATCTGCTTCCCTTACATCTGTATTGTCCACTTCTTGAGCATTTCGTCATGCCAGTCTCTGTTGTTGCCTACAACACCAACTGGATCGACGCTTTCAAACATCCCACCCTCCGGCATATCGACTTCATGCATCCCCCCATCGCGAGCGCAAGCGACACTCTGGGAGAAATCCCACTTCTACGCAGCAATCTGCCCGCATTACAGGGCGCTCGGCTGGTGGCAGAACTGCCTCGAGCCTCGTACCAATGGTTGCAAGAGTTCCCTCCAGGCGCAGTCAAGGCAGCTGACCAGCGCTTCGTGATCGACTTCTATCCCAACAAGCTCTTGCACGGGATCGATTATGTGTATCTGCTACGCCCGCAGTGGAGTGCATCTGGATGGAAGTGTCATGACGGTGTTACCCCCACTTTTCGAGAGCTGGACTGGCCTGAGGTGTGGAATGAGCGACGGGATGACGGCCTTGTACTCGTTCTTGCTGACCCAGAGTGGGACGACTATCACGATGACCGGTCCGACCCCGAAGATGGTGTGTATGTGTATGAAACTGACTCTAGTGAGGAGTCGTGTGGCTCGAGCTTCAGCGAGGAGAGCGATGGAGGCCGGGAGGACGATGATATTATGGAACTTTCCTTAGAATCTCAAGAATTCCTATAAACTATAAATCGCTGTTCTTACGTTGGATTATACGATGTACTGATGGCTTATTCCTCTCGCTGCGCGCTGCAGGCAATGGATACCGTAGTCCCTCAACACTATCATCCAACTGCGGCCGCAGACATTTCCACGGTGGCTTTGTTCTCAGATTGTCTCTTTACACACAGCTGTCAATGCTGGAACTATGAGTAAATCTGTCACCGAACCGTTTTCAAACCTTGCCTATTGGCCCTCGATTTTCGAGAATTGGAGGGGACGAATTATCGACCGCCTGCAAGAGAAAAAAGTAGACAACTTTGAACTGGTCTCACCGATTTCCAATATTAACTACTGACCACTACCATTAAAGACACCTACGAAGATGAGTGAAAGCGCGCCAGAAACGTTCAAAGGAGACAACCTCTGGCTGCGGAATGATTGTTTAGGCGAAACCGGGTTGTCCGGGCCGACCACTCAGACCTGCCCGCGCAGCATTAATTTGAACTAGCACCTTGGGGCCAACGTCTCACTTTCAAACTCTAGTCCTTGTCCCCGTATAATGTCCTACACTTCTGACCTGTTGGCGACGTCGAGGCGACAACGTGCTTGCGATATGTGCAGAAGGAGGAGAGGTCAGTCTGGTTCTGTTGCTTGTGCGTCTGTCAAATGAACTGATTCATTTCGAACTTTCAGCTCGCTGTATGTCGCTTCTGAATGTCTCACTCGTCCCAGGTTGCTGAATAAAGTCGAAGGCGATGGTACATACCAGTCGGGGTCCAAATGCTCCAACTGCACTCTCCAGGGTTTCTCCTGCACGTACGTGGAACAATCAACGGTAAGCCTCGTCTCTTGGGCTTGTTTAGCGGATCCCCGCTTACATATTCTTTCAAGAGGCGTAGCACTTCAAAGAAGTACGGAGTTGTTAGCTTTGTCGTGGTGTTTTGCTAATAAAGACGTGAAGATATGTTTCGCGTCTTGAAGATCGCCTGCACGAGTTGGAGAAAGCTCTCCAAGCGGTACGCATCCAATCCTTTTTGTCGCGAATTCTTGTCGACGCCGAATAGCTGTGTCCAGAAGAGACAAATTATGAAGAGTGGATAGAATCGTTATGCGAGGACCAAGACGATACAGTCCCTCGAAGCACGTCTAGAGCAAAATCAGAACTGCTCAAGAACATGGCCACTGCCCGAACATCTCACTTCGAGGACTCACCGCACTCTGGAGACGACGAAGACGATTCGGCTGTCCTCGCAAGCAGCCTACGAACCGACCGATTCTTTGGCAAATCCAGCGGAGAGGAGTTCGTTCGGACCGCATTGTCCATAAGGCAGCAGTACATCGGCAGAAACAACCGTCCGATATTGACACACCGACGCGAGGAGTTCTGGATCCCTCGACCGGCGCGTTATGCCCTCTTTTTTCTTTCGTTACATTTTTTCTGACACTTCTCTAGTGGGAAATCAGACCCAACATCGCCTCCACGCGTCGTTTCAGCTTTCCGGAGCCTGATCTTGCGAAAGAGCTTGTCGAGCTTTACTTCGTACACGTCAACCTATTTACCCCCCTCCTCCATCGACTGACCTTTGATAAATCGCTACGCGATGGACTACACTACTCAAGAGAGGGCTTCGCCGACGTCTACCTTCTTGTGTGTTCCAACGGTGCTCGGTTTTCATCCGACCCGAGGGCACGCTCTGACGGGGAAGATTCGCAATTGGCGGCGGGGTGGAAATGGTACAATCAAGTTGAAACCGGCAAAACGTCCTTGCTGTCCTTGCCGTCTTTATACGACATACAGGTGGCGTGTGTACGTAGTCTTTTATTTCTCTCTGTCATAGGCAGGAACCCAAGTTTTGATGTAGCCTTTTAGCTGAGGATGGTGTTTATACAAAATTCGACTTCGCCGATGGTCGTTTGGCCCCTCCTCGGAATGGCTATTCGCTTAGCACAGGATGTAGGCGCTCACAGACGCAAATCTACCACTCCGACAGTTGAGGATGAGCTCTGGAAGCGGGCCTTCTGGTGCGTGTTTTGGTCTTGAGCATCCATTGACGCTCGCGTTAATTGTCCGTTTAAGGGTTCTCTTCTGTGGCGATAGACTTATGTCTCTTTCTATGGGACGCCCGTTTATCATTCAAGAGGAGGAGTACGCCCATGAATTCTATATTTTCGTTTACTAATTGTAGCACCCTTCAGTTTCGACTTGGATTTGCCTATCGATTGCGATGATGATTACTGGGAGCATCCCGATCCGCAGAAACGGTTCAAGCAGCCCCCCAACAAGCCATCTTTGATCACTGCATTCATTATGGCAATCAAGCTCACAAGGATCTTGGCCACCTGCGGTCGCGCTATCGTGCGTATTCTGAAGCTCGCTTTGTTATGGACGAGTTGAGGTGAATGTCGTTCTAGTATCCTATCAGTAAAGCGTCGATCTCCTTGATCCACGGCGACAAGTACCGTCGATCCGACTTCGTAGCGGAGCTGGACGCAAGTGTGAATCAATGGCTCGCGTCAATGCCTCCTCATCGTAAGCTTCCATGTTCTCCTCTCCCGAAGATGCAGCCACTGACCCGGAGTTATGCTTCCTCTTTACAAAACAGTGTCTTGGGACCCGTTGAACCAAACCAACGACAAGTTTTTCAATCAGTCAGCGATGCTCTATAGCATGTGCTACTTCACGCAGATCTTTATACACCGCCCACCTATCCTGTCATTGAAGGGTCACTTGTCTCCGCAAGCACTGAAGTCGCTCGGTGCATGCACGTCGGCAGCCCATGCGTGCATTGATATTGCAGAAGCACAACTCCAACGGGGACTCCCCCAGGCCCCAATTGGTCAGGTGCGTCCTGGCCCAGATTTTTAAGCTCTATATCTTCTTATCTTACAATTGTTTGAAGCTGGCAACGTTTAATTCCTGCCTCGTCCTGCTCTTGAAGGTGTGGGGTGAAAAGGCTGGTTCACCAACTCAATCCCCGTCGACGTCGACAGATGAGAACCCCGACCTGGAGCAGGTTCGGAAGGGACTGCACGTCCTCAGATCCCTCGAACGTCAGTGGATTCATGCAGGCAGATTTCGGTAGGCACTGTAGTTTTCATTGTCAGCGACTGAACCTTTTAGATCTGACCGACCTTTGGACTTTTTTGCAGGGACACACTTTTGTCCCTCTTTCCAGGGTTCGAAGCCCCTGACTGCGAGTCAGGGACCACGGATACACAATCGCCGGCTTCTCAGCTGGACATTCTGTTGCATTCCAATAGGCCTCGTTTGCCGCATGCCAATAGCAAATACAGTGGCCTGCCCGCTTCCCAGCAAGATGCGTACACCGAATTCGCTCTTGCCGGGATACCCTTGTCCGGGAATAGCCCCTGGAACCACGTCATCAGCGGCTGGCCAAACTCATATATCGCAGATGAAAGCGATACGCATCCACCAGAGTTTCAACCTGTTGGATTACCTTCGTTGTCGCCCGGAGGAACAACCCCAGTGACTGCATCTACTTGCACGCCAAACGGCTTCGGTGAGATGGACGTCGGACAGACTTCTTCGAACCCCGATGTGCTGGGCCCCGCGGTATATCATGGTCTTCAAGGCAGCTTGCATGGCGATGAATGTTTCTACGAGAATGATGTGTTCGGCATGTGGGTTAATGATGCGCCACCCGATGTTGAGTAAGACAGCCGGAAGAAGCATGGGAACTTACCACTAGCTAGATAGACAATAAGGACGATTCCCAAGTGAGAACATACGTCAGACTATCAAAACTTTCTGGATGGGTCCTAGAGCCAACCCCCATACCTCCCCTCTAACCAAGCTTGGATCCAGCAAGGAAAGGAATTTATTACTCTCAAATAAAATAAAATAATGACTCAGGCCTGTGGAATATGGGGTTGTCCTGCTGCAGCGTATGCATGCGGGCATGCTCTTGTTACAGGTTATCTGGTTCAGTTTCCGAGTCCCCGACCTTCTTGACGGGCCGGTGCACGTGATTACTAACTTCAAGTTGAAGAAACTCAAGTGCCACATCGTCATTTTGCACTTCCGGCTGGATCACGCAAATACACAAGCAAATGGATCTCAGCCCCCAAATACCTGTCATGAGTGAGGCAGAAAAGACATCTCTTCTTCAAGAAGTCGCACGGATGCAGGACGAGATTGCGAAGCTCACTGACAAGATCGCTACTTTACAGGCAGAAAACGAGCGACTTCTTCGAGAGCTCCATCCGACCCAGGCATGTATTTATATTCTTTATCCCCGACGCGTCTCTTACCTTCATCCTAAGGACGAGTTCTCAGACGACGGAGCGACACATGTGGGCGATGATACGGTGATCAAGAAAGACCTGGTCATGAAAGTGGAAGGAGAGCAGCCGACTTCCGCCACAGGCAGCCTTCGGGCTCAGGTGCGTCCATCATGGACTCGTACTTACTATCGAAATATTGACGTCTTATGCTTGCTTCAAGTTCACCCCCGAACTTCCTCCGGAAATATGGAACTGCATTTTTCAACGATCGATCCCCCCGAGCTGGCTCTTAGATCCTTCGTTATCTCTCGGTCCTTCTTCCTCTTGGTCTGCAGCACTACGACTCAAGAAGAGCATAGTCGCAGTTTCCAAAGCCTGGTACGACATGGGGCTTCCATTTCTCTACGAAGACATCTGCATTCGCCGTGTTCAGCAATTCAAGACGCTGCATACGACCATTTCGCGTTCTCCCACAAAATTTACCTCGCTGGTCAAGACCTTGAACGTTATTTGCTTTGTCCCGGAAGTGTTCCAGGACAACTTTACGAAGCAGCTCGTGGCATTCTTTTCGATTTGCCCTCGAATATCGGCGGTTGCATTCGCCTCCTTCGCGGTGCTTCCGGTTAAGGTAGATATCGCAGTGCTGCCTTCGTCTGTCACCCGACTGCGGCTGGCAGGTTTGCCCAACTGCGAACGGCTGGTTGACGCCTTGAAGCAATCCCATCAGAACTTAAGTTCTCTATGGCTTTGCCTCCCCTCCCTCGACTCCATCCCCGTACTCGGCTCGAAGGTGGCTATGCCTCGCCTGGATTCCCTGATCCTGGAGCACAATAAAGCGGGCGAACGTGGGGGAGTAAGATTCGCCTTTCTTACTCGTCATTTTGAATTTCCAAAGCTCTCAAAATGCACGATCTATCAGACTTCCGAAATCAAAGCAAGCGACGAAGGATTAGCAACTACAATTGTTGCCTTTTTATCCAAGCACGGCGTTAACCTCAAATACCTGAATTTTCACCATACTATGCTGCGCCTTCTCCCTCCTGGTTTCGCCTCCAACCTGCATCGTCTATCGCGGTATTGTCCCCATCTCGAACATCTCAATATGCCGATATCTATAATCACCTCCAACGCAAATTGGCTAGGCTCTTTTGCTCATCCTACCCTCAAATGGATTGACTTGAGCCATCCTCCCCTCTTAACCGCTCGCGACAGCTTGTCGACGATCACGCTCTTACACCGCAACATACCTGCTCTCGATGGCGTACGCATGTTATCGGATCTTCCCATGGTCGCACACGAATGGCTGCAACGCTTCCCTCCCGACTCGGTACGAATTCCGACGCAAGCCTTCGCGATAGACTTCGCCCCAAATCAGCTCCTACATGGCACAAACTACGTGTACTGGCAACGCCCGCAGTGGAGCGCAGCTGGGTGGACCTGTGACGATGGCTTCACCGCCAATCTCCGTGACCTCGATTGGCCGGACGTGCGGTGCGAACGGCGCGAGGACGGGTTTGAGATCATCATCGGTGGCCCGAGTAGCTCGCGGGACGACCAGTCGGATTCGTCAGACAAGTCGTATATTGACGAATCGGACTCGAGCGAAAGCTCAAATGAATCGGGGTTGGATGGAGATGAGGACTCAGAGGAGGACGATCGGCGTGAAGGGATCAGGACACTCGATGATGCTGAAATGGATCTTGCGCTGGAGTTGCTGGCTGTAGATAGCTCCTAAAATACTTATGAGGACTGTCTTTCTCGATGCGTCGCCATTTTTGGATTGTTTCGTAGAGGGCTCTCGCAATCTCCCACACGACTACGCGGCCACCTTCGCCGTTGAGCCTGGGTCCACGAGGGCGACTGCAGTCAAGATGGATTATCCGACCAACTTAGAATCATCGAGTTTCCCTGGCAAAATACATTATATCATAACTCCAAAGATTCTAAACATATAATTAGTTAACAGTTTTCATGCCTTGATACCTCCAAAAAAGAAAGGCCAAGAGGCGTGCCATAGTATGTACAAAAGGGTGCATCCGGAGAATGTGGAAAAGGTGCAAACGGGGAGTCCCGATGTCCATAGCCCGTCGACCCAAAGTTTATGACCGACCCTTCTCCAGCTCGGTAAGCTCCGAGGTGGGTTGTTGAACCTTCTTGAGGTCCTTCTCATCCTCAGAGTCTTGCTCCTCTGAGGAGGCACCGTGCGCGTGCGATGGCGCGTGGAGGCCGACGTTGCCGATGGCTTTGGGGTTGAAGGCGAAGGCACCCCGAGGGATGAATGTAGAGGCGAAGATGACGGCAGAGGCAACGGAGAAGTGAACACTGGCCCAGACACAATTAGCATCGAACAACGATTGCAGCAACAGGAGGAAACTTACCCTCCGACGGTCCTCAGCGAGCGGATGATGTTACCATTATCGCGGAAGTCGTGATCGATAACCCTGCCAAGGACGGAAGAGAAGACGGCGTTGAGGACGATGTACGTCGAGTACAGGAAGGCCATGACAGCGCCAAGGGCGGAAACGTTCATGTGGGCTGAGGGATGCCCCATAAGATAAGAAAAGTGGAGTGAGAGCGGGGCAACATACTGAATTGGGAGTCCGAAAGAGCAGATTGGATGTAGGCAGCGAGAGAAACATCACCAGCAGCCCAACCCTTTGAATTTAATTCAGTCCCACAAGGAGAGGACCAAGGAGGACCACAAACGTACAAAGGAGACAGGGATGAAGCACCCAGCGACCTTCCATGCCCAGGAAACGTTGTGGGTGGCTACGCGAGCGAAGGCAGGAAGGACCCAGACGATGTTGAGCTGCGATTCATGTTTATTAGTTCGAATTCTCTTGATAGAAGTAAAGAAGGCTTACAGCTAGGGCGTCCAAGCGTAACCAGGGAAGGGGAGTGGTCACAACGTCGGAGAGGACCAAGACAGCGAGTGCGCCGAGCAGCTGAACACGGCGTTAGCTGATCGTGTTGTGAATTATAGATATGGTACATACCTCGCCAAAGTTGGAACCACCAACAATGATCTGACTCCAAGCGGAGACGCCGAGGACACGTTTGGCAAAAGCAGCTCCGAGGGAGCTCTCGAGGAATCTGTGCATGTAGAGAGCGACAGCACTGAGAGAAAGAGGGAGCGCCCGACGTCAGTGCAGGTCTGTCGCGAAGATGAAAAGCGAGACGTACTAGGATGGGAAGAGCCAGATGAAGCGCCTGTTCATGAAGACGAGCTTAGCGCCGACATAGACCGACTCAGCGAAGCCGACAGCGCCCCAACCGATCTGAACAAAGTAGTTGTTAGAGGCCCTCCTCTTTCCATCGACCTCTGCGAGCCCGGCTTGCTCGAGCTCAGCCTGAATTTCCTCGGCGCTCTTGAAACTCAAAGTGCTGATAACGAGCCACAGACCGCCGGCGGCGACGAAGAAGACTGAAATGTCGAACACATAAGAAAAAGAAAAGGTCAGGAGGATGCTCTACGAACTCGGCGTCAAGAAGAAGCTGTAGTTGTTGCCGAATCGGCTGATAGCGGAGGAAGAAGCGAAAGCGCCGGAGGTTCCAGCGACTTCGTAGAAGATGTGCTGCACATCGAGGGGGTGAAAAAAGGAATTGGGGGGATTAGAATTCACATACGACGGTGGCGTCCATGCGACGAAGCTTGCCAACGTTACCGCCAACGATATCCGCAGGGCTGGTCATGGAGATGAGTAAGGTTCGAGGACGAAGATGTTAACACATACATGACACGACGGATAAGCTCCACCATACCATAAGAAATACCGGCCAATGTCCAAACGACGAAAATCTTGACGATTCTCAATAAAATTGGGAGCAATATATCGGGGCAAAAGGCGTACAAGATTAGGATTCCAGTCGCCGTAGTCTGGGGTCCTTGCGCCGACAGGCTTCATCCGTCCACCTACCGGGAATTAGCCGCGAAGCTGAAAGAGAATACGACGAGCGTACCGGTGGCAGCATCGACGATCAGGAGGATGACCGTCATGAGGGCGAACATGAAGATGGCTCCCGATAGGACGGAGCGAGTGGGCCACTTCTTGATGAGAGGGGCGATGAGGATGGCACCAACGCACTGTGCAGCTTGATTCACGCCCTGAGCGGCACCAACTAGTCTTTTGGTTAATCATACGAATAGAGGTGAAAGTGGGCGCACGAACGCTTTGTGAACGTGTTCGCAGCATTGAAGCGATCGGTGGCTAGCGTTGTAATGGAGCCATTGAAGAACTCCAAACCGAGCTTGTACATCATGATACCAGCGATGTAGAAGGCACTTCGTTGAGGGTAGACGATCGTTAAGTATTCGGCAGCTCTGAAAGGACATTAACACTCACATATTGCGCTTCTCAGCAGCGGAATAAGCTAACAGCACGAATTGAGGCCTCTACACCCGCCAAGAAATCGATAGAGGAGCTTACAGTGCCAAATGTCGTTGATTCTGCCCATGATTGAGATCCTGCAAGTGGCGGCGAGGATTGAGGGAGAAGTGGGAGTGTCGCTAAAGCTCGGGTCCTAAAGGAACGGGAGAACATCTTTTGTATATCTGAGTGGAGGTGCACGTTCGTGAGCTGCCCCGCCGACCACACGTAGCTGTGTCAATGTTGGGAGTGCGCCAAGGCCATCAGGGACGAGATGGAAGGGCTTGGCCACTTGGCCCTGCGGCGTGAAAATGCGTCGGGAAAGCATCCCGCAATGAGCGCACGAGATAAAAGTTGCGGCCAACGTTCGACGAGGCGGGATTAACTTGCAATTTCGAGGGCTACCTTTTCTGAGACTTGAATGACTGAAGAGCTGGATTCAGAGTGCGCCAACAGCACGGAGACTCAGTCGTGTGCCATGATATAAACCTTGTTTCCTAAAGGTCTTCACCGTGAGTACGGAAGCCCCGCGAAGTTTGAAGGGCGTTCTGGTTGCCGCTAGGTAGGAGTTGGGGTAGGCCAAGAGCGAAGTGGGCAAAAAGAGGAAGACTTGGCCAAGAGCCAAGAACTTGTAAACTGATAATGTATCGCCGTGTTTACAATGTCGCTACATTTGGAAATCCTCCATTATTGGTCCCCGAAGCACGTTCGCAAAGCCGAAAACAGACACCTCTCGGATCGAATACCGACCAAACGCTCTGGAGGTGAGGAAAAAATGCAGGCCTAAGACTATAAACTAGACACCGCGCATGGGGCTCCAGACTTGTCTTTATTTCGCTTCTTCTGCCTTGTAATCACCTGCAAATTCGACGCTCAAGGCACGGCAATTCTCCTTCGCGGCCGTTGGATTGCACACAGATTGTGTACACGTTCCAACACCGCCTCTCGATAGAATATCCACTCACGGAGCTCGCCAATGTCTATTTACCAAAATAGCCAGTAAGTGCCTTAGGCTATTATGTTTCGCCCAGCCTTTACGCTTACTACTAATCATAGTTGCCACCGTCCGTCATTTTGAACGTTTGTAGGCTCCACATGAAACAAGGATGAGAGCGGAACGGTATCTGGACAGAATTGGAGTGAAGTATCGCTCCCGTATCACAGCCTTGCACGTCTTGCGATAACATGAGCTACCGTGCAGCTTCACGACGAACGAGCCTCAAAGCAGACACCTGGCATCTCAGCGACCAACGCATCTCTGTGATTGCAGCGGACTCGCCTTCGAAGGTGTCAAACGCTTCAACCATTCTATCCAGGTCTTCTTTGCCCACGCCGGCTACACACAAATGAACACATGCCTGTACTCGATCCGACAATTGGCAGATATGAAGAAGTTTTCGCTTCTCTTCTCCCATTCTGAATTTCAGAACCTCCTTCCGGCCTGGATGTGACAGTATCTGTGCCTGAAAATGGAGAGGCTGTCCTTGCGTGTTAATTTCAGACCGGCGTGGTAGAATGACGGTTGTGTTTTGGAGCTAAACGGAGTGCTTTATGCCTCTGGCGCTTTCTGCACCCAAATGTAGCGTAGTAACCTCAGCATGTCTCAACAAATCGCTTCACAGGTATTCAAGGGATCTCTGACAACGGCGCTAGCTGCCGACTCTCGTATCTGTTGAAGAGTCATGTTCAAATTATTTCTGTGGATTCCCTTCCATTGTCCATGTCACTAGCCACTACTTCTTGCAGCTATCTTAACGTCTTATCCCGACTTAACATAGAAACCCACTCTTCGTGGATGATAGGTCAAATGACTGTCGGCGCCTCTACCACAGGGTTAGATATTTTAAGGCCCTAGCATCATGAAATCAAACTCTAACAGAATGACACTGCAGCGCAGTCATTTATCCTAGGTATGCGTTCCAACTGCTATGGGGGACCTCGGTTATGGCGCTATGGGAGACTATGTGACTCTATGGAATGCTACGTAATGCCCTATAGATCCCGCATTTAAGCTTTTCAAGGCCAAAAATCCGAAACTTCTGATGCCAGTGAACCATAAGCCCCTATGACCCCGTATCCATCGCTTGGGCCTGCGATCAGCTTCCAAAAATATGAATATCCTATAAGAGGCGAAGTTCAGGCCACGTTGCGTCGCGTACGCCTCAAAAGCTAAAATTAGCCATGCTTGGCGCGTAAGTACTTCTCTAAAGGCCATCGGGGCCTAGGCGAAATCATAATGGCCTTCTAGAGACCCCGATATATGTATTAGGATCTATTTTTAAAGCAAATGAAGTGCGATTGTCATGGAAGGTCGCGTCGGTAAGCGTGCTACGCCTCATTAAGGAAGCTAGTGGGAAAGCACAACTTGGGCGGCAAGCGTACTGGGCCCTGCATTTGTGTGGTAGACTTTATTACAATTTGAGGGAACTAGAGGTTTGCCCGCGCATTGCTGGGGGTCTTGGGGTATTCCCAGAGATGACAGACCCACCGCTTACTTTATTGCTAGAGCTAAATGATCCGGCACGGTCACCCCGCATTACTTTGACAGTTCGCGCTCTCATCTAGCTGATTATTCAGAATAGTCATCATCCATGATGGCCAGGAAATTCCTCTGGATCTGTTTGCATAAACGACAAAAGCGAAACAAGTGCAACATGTACGAACTGCTCTTGTACCTTCGGTCGCCGGTGACTGAAGCTTGATTAGTGCTGAACTGTGAAGCCTGCTAAAAACTGAAGAGGATAACTAAGCACCTACATTTAGCTTATGTACACTTCATGCTAGGCGAAGAGGCTGGTGGGGATTACCCCTGCTCTAGCGTGTCCCGTGATCGCCTCTAGGCGCCTAGATTTGGGACGGCTATAAATAGCAAAGGATTGGCAGAACGACAAAACCCAACCTCCCTCAACCCCTCTTTCACTCACTCAAACCTTCAACCTTCAAAGGTCCTCTCTTACAATCGTTTCCGTACGAAGCACAAAATGGTCCTCAAGGTCTACGGTAGCCCCGCCTCGATCTGCACTAAGCGCGTCGCACTCGTTCTCCATGAGAAGAAAGTGTCTTTCGAGCTGCACGTCATCGACCTTGCAAAGGGAGAGAACAAGTCGCCCGAGTACCTCTCAAAGCAACCGTTCGGGCAGATTCCGTATATCGTACGTCTTCACTGCCGTCCATTATTCTTTTTTCTGGAACTCATCACCATGATCGATGCATCATCTATAGGACGACGACGGTTTCATCCTCTACGAAAGCCGCGCCATTGCAGCTTACATTGCCGCCAAGTACCCTGAGCAAGGAACGAGGGGATTGATACCCAAGCCAAAGCGCTTTTCCTCCAGGCCGCGTCCGTTGAGCTCGCCAACTTCGATGTGCATGCCTCGAAGATTATTTGGGAGAAGATTTTCAAGCCGTCAGTCTCAATAGGTTTTCCTCCCAAACTCAATTATATGAGAGACTAACGTCGCATCGAAACATATCAACAGGATGTTTGATATGACGACGAACCAGGCGGTCGTCGACGACCAAGTTGGTCAGCTCGCTGCCAGATTGGACGTGTATGACCAGATTTTGAGCAAGCAGAAGTACGTCGCCGGAAATGTGAGTTTTATTCTGCTTATACTTCCGAAATATGGTCTTCAAATCTGCGATTCGACACAACAGGAGCTCACCTTGGCTGACCTGTACCATCTCCCTTATGCCTCCTTGCTCGGCGCGGCAGGCTCCGACGTCCTCGAGAAGAGGCCCAACTTCCTTAGGTAAACCTGGCTTTATTTTCCTGGAGATGTCTCTGACTGGGTGAGAACATAGATGGTACAAGGTCATTTCTTCCCGGGCATCCTGGCAAGCCATCAAGGATGGCGTCAAGGGCACTGCTTGAGAAATTCAACCTCGACAGTCGACCGGGAGAACAACAGAAGAAAAGGAAATAATTAGTCTGCGATGTCCTGCAAAATTTGTAAAATTGATTGTGCCTTTCCTCCGGAAGAACCCATTTTGATACTTCGCCTTCCAAAGTAAGCTCTTGCGACACTCCAGCCAGGGATGACCCCGGCGATCCGGGCCGAAGGATTTTTCACAACTGCATTGGCAAGCGACTGAGATGGGTTATCATGAAATGTACAACAAAATATAAGGTTTCCTCCCACCGCGACGGAATGCACTCACATAGCACCCCTGCCGCTTAGCGGTAACCTTTGCTTATTCTCCTTTCTGGAAACTCGTCAAGTATGTTTGCCAATCATCCAACCTATGATGACGGGTCCAAGGTTAGTCGTGCAACAATGCGACGAATGTACACCAAACGACAAAACGTACTCAGTGCCAATGGGAGCGTGAAGCCACATGTTCATAATGTCGTCCCCATTCAAGGCACTATCGTTGGATCCTGTCAAGTAATGCTCTGGCGTATCCGCTCCAGATAAGCCACCGTGTGCCTCTGCGTTAGGCTGGTCCCCCTGTCCCGTGCCCATCATCAACATCACTGCCGGGTTGTCCGTCAGGTGCACCTCCGAGGGCCATGTAGATAGACCCTGCATCGTAGCTGGATCGACCGACGGAGGTGCGCTGGGGGACGTCGACGGTGCCGGTGTCCCGAACGAGAAGAGATCAGGTACTGAAGGCCGACGCTCGTCGACGAGGTCATCAACGGACCAATCGGCCCAAAAATTCTCGTCGCTGGCGGAAGGCCCAGAGAGGAGGCTCTGTGCAAGAGCTACGCTTGGGTCTTCATCGAACCACATGGCGGTGTCGTTGATAGGCGGTACAAGATCCACTGGCGGCTCGCGACCCACACCAATGGAATGCGAGGTGGAGGCAGCAGTGCCTTCGGAACCACAGGAAATCAAAGAGTAAAAAGCACCCTGTTCAACTTTGCCACCAGGACGATGCTCCACCGACGAAAGTGAGGCAAGAATGTCTCTGGTAAAGGTTGAGAAGATTGAGTCATCGCCTGATCTGGGAGATCGGTCGTACTCACACAAGCTTGCCTGCGTGTGGCCACTGTTCCTCGGCTGCCTTCAGAATCTGTAGGGTCTTCCGCACATTCTCCATGTCAGGACTTTGCTCGAGGGCCGCCGAGCGTGCGCGCGGCGTGCTCTTCCCATCCCACACGCCGAATAAAAGCATTATCGCCGATGTAAAGGCAGTAAACTGTGAGATGACAAGTATCAACGATAACTCAGTTCGAAAGAAAACATGGGACGAACCTGTACGAGGGGCGAAATTACCACACCTCGTTGAAACAGGACTTCCGCGACCCGAATGCAAGCACGGGCAGCAGTGGTGCAGATAGCCAACGATGGGAAGCCCAGTGGAGGGGATTTGCCGGGCAACGGGATAAACGGGCGGTGTATGAAAATCTGGGTAAAGTAGCATATCGCGTAGAGGGACGCGGACTGCTGGAAGAATTTGTCATTGGAGTTGCCTGGGTCCCAGAGTACTGTGTCGTCAATATGGCCTTCGTTAGCGATATTCTAAACGAGCGTGGCGGAGGGGTACAAACAATGCTCGGGCATCGACTCCAGCCATCTATTCAGACTGGAGTCCAGCTCTGCCACGATCTTTAACTTCCATTGATGGCCCACCAACCCAAGATGCTTGACGACCTTGTTCAGCGGGTACTAGGGTGATCAACCACTTACTTGATCAGCAGGAATCGAGTGACACGAAGACAACACATACAAGAACTTTACTACAGATAGCCAGAATCTTGATCATCTTTAATTGATGGATGAAACCAGAGATCAAGGAAGGCTTGTTGGGTGGCTGCTTGAATCGCTGCTCCTGGTCAGGATGCTCCCAATACTCGTCGTCGCAGTCAATTGGCAAGTCTTGGTCGAAGCTAGTTGATATTCGGGATCAACTCTGGGGCACGTAGGCTCAAAAGGAAGACGTACTCCTCTTCCTGAATCGTTATTGGTCGTCCAAAACCAAGACAAACTACTCGGTCCATGTAGATGAGGACCCTATTATTGAAAACGGCATGCATTAGCATTCAATCATATTCAGATAACAAATTTAAAACATACCAGAACGCCCGCTTCCAAAGTTCATCTTCAACTGTCGGCAATGTTGCCTTCCTTCTATGAACACCGACCTCCTGAACCATGCGTATAGCGATTCCAATCAGCATCCAGATCGACTGCGGAATGCTCGATGCTTGAATGAAACTTATGGTCAGCTAAAGGGCGAAAGAAAGGGTTAGCTCGCCAGGAACGAAAGTCGAGATAGGAAGATATCACGCACACAGTACGCCTGAATATCGTAAAGAGATGGTACCGTAAGGAGCGATGTCTTGCCAGTTTCCACTTGGTGAAACCACTTCCACCCAGCAGAACGTTGTAAACTGGCGTCGTCGGAGAGTACCCTCGCGTCACTCGAAAATCGAGCACCGATAGCACATACGAGAAGATAGACGTCCGCGAAGCCTTCGTTGCCGTAATGCAACCCGTTGCGCACCAACCTCTCGAAGGTCGGCCTATGGAGCAGAGGCTGGTACAGATTTACGTGCTCGAAGTACAGCTCGATAAGGTCTCCGGCAAGGTCGGGCTCTGGGAACACATAACTCGGACGCGCGTCGCGGACTTCGGGTGCTCTTTCCCACTAAACTGGCAATGAGTTAGAGAGAAGAGACGAAACCAATTCAACGTACCGGCCGGATAGTCCAAAACTCTTCTCGTCTCTTCGACAGGATAGGGCCTTTGCTACCAATACAGTCATTCCTCATAGACAGCGCTTTCCTGACCAGCCCCTCTCCGCTAGATTTCCCATAGAACCGGTTCGTGTCGATCGTGGTCGGAAAGGTGTGTTCCATGTCGTCGTCCTCTTCAAGGGGTGCGCGGAATTCATAGGTATGAGACTGCCGGATGGTGTGCGTGATACTCTCGATAGGTCCTGGTCGGAAAATGCTGAGCGGAGGGAACTGCATGATGGGTGGCGTGGGCGGTGTTGATTCGAAAGGCTCGTCGCTCAAAGAGTTGATCCAGGCGTCATACATCTTCTCGTCTGGACATAGCTAGAGTGTATAAGTATTGGGTTGATTGCAAAAGAGGGTAGACGCACGCGTCGAAGCATCTTGTCCAACTCCTCCACCCTGTGCTCAAGATTGGCAATATATCTTTCGGGCTACGTCAGCGCGAGTGAGCTCAGCCACGGAAATCGCCATACTTCTTCGAGGGAACGGTCCTCTGAGAAAAATATGAGTGCCGAGCACACGCAAGCAGAAGTCGAACCTCACACCAGTCTGCTCAGTATAGCTGCAGTCTAACCCTTGCGAAGTGCATCCAGAACATTGCATGTCGGGCTTGTACTGGCCATCGCCTGCAATGACTGAGCCAGTGTGAACCTCAGACGTTTCATGCCAACCTACAGCGTGCTAGGTCCCTAAAGCTCAACGGATGACCTATGGGAAATTCGGACAGCGACGCACCTCTCTTCCGCCTGCAGACATCACACGCTCGTGGGCGTTTGGATGCCTTCACCACGTTGGCCTGCCTGCCTTTCTCCCCTTCGCTCGAAGACATAAGATGAGAAAGTGAAAGAGTGTTGTACTGACAAGACGCATCCTGATAGGTGGTGGATTTTGGGTAATGGACCTGATCGAGTCCGCAGCCGGGTGGGTACGTCACCTTAATTGCCGCGTGATGGCCGGGCTTCGGAGATCGACCCTGACACTGAAAAGCCCTGAAAGACTAAAGTCAGCGAGGAGGCGATTCGGATGGCGAGACAACCGCCGCGTGAGGTGCCGCTTGAGCCAGGGATCTTGCGAACGGAGTACTTGTACTCAACGTCGATGTCTGCGAGCGGGGCATCAGGCCCATTGGTGTGTCAAGGCACCCTGCAGACGGCTGAGCCCTAAGGCCTTATCGGCGGCCGAATACACTCAGCAGAAATACCAAGTCTGCCACTCCTGAGTTTGGTCGACACATTTTTCTTGGACACAGGGTGCACTTTCGCCCGAAAAATGCAGGAATTTAACGGACCAGAGCAAAAGATAATTCAATCAGAATTATAAAGGAATCACGGTGGCATTCTGGAAGGAACAAACACATTTCTTTCATGATTCCTTTGTTTCCTTTATAATTTTGGCCTGCGTTATTCTGCACGAGGTCCCGATAATTCCTACTTACATAAATTCATGTTATTTCAGACAAAAGTATTTAATCATGCGCCCGGTGGGAGTAACTTCCTAGTCGGCTTTCGATTTCTGGGAGGCAGGTTAATTGCAAGAGAAATTCTATTCATCCAGACATGGTCCTGAAGTTTTTCATGCTATCTAGATTTAACGGCACAATGACCTTCAAGATAAGCTCCCAACACAGCCACATCTTATCTTATCCTACAACACGCAGCTGCATTGATGCCGGGCCGTCATTGCTTAACAAACTACAAAAGTGTCCTAATAACCACTTCCATTCACCACATTTCTTTCCTCATGTCCTCCGATGACATTTCTATTCGTCAAAGAGCGTGCGAAGCTTGTCGAAGGAGAAGAGGTAAGTCCGGTGTTCACGTTGCACCATTCCACGGTGTCGTAACAACTCTCTGCAGGTCGCTGTATGTTTAACGCTACGAAATGGCAACCATTTACTTTCTGAGCACTCGAGAATATCATAAGCGATGGTTCATACTAGGCTGATATGCAATGCTCAAGCTGTGTTTCCCGTGGCTTGACTTGCGCGTATGTTGAGGAGACCACGGTCAGGTATTTCGTCTGTTCCCATTTCCTTGACGCTGAATTATACCACAGAGACGCATTCCTTCAAAAAAGTAAATTTATTTCAGAAGTTTACTGTATGCATGCTAACCTCCGTATCAAGGTACATCGCTAGACTCGAAAGGCGGCTGGAGGGATTGGATAAGGTGCTTCGACAAGTGCGTTTCTTTTCGGCTCTCTCCAAGATGTTTCTGAAATTTGACAGCTATGCCCAGAGGATAATTATGAAGAATGGATTGAATTGTCGATGGACCAGCTGAGCAGCCGTCACATCAGAACCGCCACGCTGTGATCGTCAAGAATACCGCCGACGTCATTCGTTCGTCCCGCGATCAGCCTCTACGTGCTCCTTTGCCAGAAGATGACGAAGACTCGTCTATCCTTCCTACTTTTCAGCAGCTTACAAACCGATCGATTCTTTGGGAAGTCCAGCGAAGAGGTGCTCGTTCGGAGGGCACTGTCCATGAGGCAGCAGTACATTGGTGGCTCCTACCGACCCATATTGGTCAGCCGTCGCGAAGAGTTCTGGAGTGCTCCACCAGTCCGTACCTCGTACAACCTCTCCTCTTGTTTTCATGTCTGACTTCTTGCTAGTAGGAGCACAATTTCAGGATTTCCGCCCCTTGCAGATACACATTCCCTGAACACGACATCGCGAAAGAACTCATCGAGCTATATTTCAGTCACTTCAACCTGTATATGCCGTTCCTTCATCGTCCGTTCTTCGAGAGATCTCTGACGACACGAATCTCCTTGCACGATCGCCGACGTTATTGATACCCCGGCAGCGAACATATGTAGGTCTCGTGAACAATTTGTTGGAGCTGATGGAGGGGTTTTCAAGTTGACAAACGACGACGACGTGTTGGACATGTGGTTCAATGTTCCGTAACTTTATCTTCATCGAGGCAGCGACTAACAATTTAGTCATCACCAGGTCCATTTGAGGGCGACCCATGCCGGAGTCCAGCGCTTGCTGTGGACAAGGCGGAAGTTGCCGGGATGGATGGGCGCCTTCCTTTAGGGTACTCCAACGACTCAATCACGAAGATATAAACCGTCGAAAAATCAATTCACGTGTACAAAGGCATTTAGACAGCCGGTGGCATTCCAAACTCTCGTTTCATTTTTTTGTATTTTCGTCTACTTCCTTGAATAACCTTCGTCGCACTTGGGATATGAAAGGTTGAAGTCAAGTCAAATCTCTGCGACGAAAATTCAAAGGAAACGTACTCACTTATAATGGCCACTATCTTGGAAAGGTAAGCATCACGAGTTGGTTTCCCTTAAGTCATCCTCATTGTTAATACAGGAAAGACGAAGTTTAGGATAAAGAACGCACTCGTCTAATCGTTGTTGTTGATCCTCGTGTTCCCATTGGCGTTGTTATTGGCGTTGTTGTTTCCGATGTTCCCCCTAGCGATAACACGGTCGCTCTGGCCATTGCCGTCGACAGTGTTGTCCTTATTATTTCCGTCGACCCGGATGTTTTGACCATTGCCGTCGGTGTTGCGATCTCTGGCGTTGACCTCGACGTCGTTGTTGCGAGCATTCCCGTTGACGTTGTTGTTCCCGGTGTTGCCTCTGCCGATAACACGGTTGTTTCTGGCGTTTACGTCGACAGTGCCGTCCCTGTTGTTCCCATTGACGCGATTGTTCTGAGCATTGTCGTTGGTATTGAGGTCTCTGGCATCAACGTTGATGTTGTTATTTCCGGAATTGCTGTTAATGTTGCTGGTTTCGCGACCGTGAAAGGTGTCTCTTCCGCTGGCGGCATCGACGACGTCGTTGCGGGGGTTGTTGTTGTTTGGGGTAACAGGGGGGAGGTTACCGATCCTGGCAGCCTGTGTGCTGGTGAGGGCGAGGAGGATGAGGGCGATCACTTTCATGGGTGCCATTGCGAGGTATGTATAAAACTGAAATGTGGAGTTGGTATGAGGCTCTGAGGCGCAAACTGAGTTGAGGTGCTTGTTGAGTTTAGCCTAGCTAACCCTTCCAATTTATATCTTCGACTACGAGCTATTTTGCTGCCTCATGTACGAGATAGAAGACTAGGCATTTCTTCCAAAGCTGAGTTCATCTCTGTGTCCATCTTTTGGTGGACAGACTCGCGGCCGTAGCAGATGCCCTGTCGTGTGACGGATAGATAATCTCTGTCTTCGTTTCGTGCTTCTATGAGGTTATTTTCCAGATATCACCGCGCGATCGTGCTTGCCCCGAGTCTGACTAACAACAGCAAGCCATTGAGCAACATTGGGGTAATGAACGCCAAGCGAACCTCGGGAATCACAGAAACAGTTTGCCGACAGTCAAAATGTCGCGACTTCCCGCCTTTTGCACCGGATCGATCTGCTAGGACTTGGCAGATGGGATCCACTTGGATATGCATAACACAAGCTTAAACAAGAACAAACAACTGAATCAGGACACTGCGCCGCACTACTGGCTCGAGGAAGGTTGATGGCATCTCCATTATCCATACGTGCAGCGACGGAGTCGGAGAACAGATCGGGAAGCTGCAAATTCGACATATCAACAACATATTTACCCTCGATAGGGCAGAAGATACTTTCGAACATCTTGCCCGAGTCTGCTATGTCGGAGCCTGTCAGGAACCTGGTGTCGATCCCAAGAGTAGAATTATGAGAGTCAACGTACCTGTAATGAAATGATCTCAAAATTTCGGAAATAAAAGGGATACTCTTCCACAAGGAGCTTCAGTTCGACAGTATTTGGGTTAACGGGCGTACAAGATAAACAACTCGTGTCTGTTAAACTGTCCTCGAGCCAGCGTCTGTCCTCAAGAACATCGTTCTGACCTTCAATCGATCTGCTGTCCGTGTATCAAAAGAGTCTGTACCCGCCTTCTGTACACCCAATCTCTGGTCCATATGCGAGACTGACAACGTAGCTACCTATATCCTGAAAACGAGCCTGTCATATACGCTTGCCAATCATCCGCTCTGATGGAATGTTCGAGGTCAGTGATGCTACCAATCACAAGGAAAAAGAAGCTCACCCCAAATTGGCACCTATGTGCGTGTGGGCCCACGTATTCACCATCTCACCGTGATTCTGCGTACCCTGTCCGGGCAGGCCAGTGTATTGTTGACCTCCAGTATTCCGTCCTTGAGGTGCACCGAGAAAAGACGACGGATCGAACGACGAGAGCTGGAAGGTCGAGTAGTGGTGCTCGGCCGTAGGACGATCAGATTGCGGCCTATCGTTAGAGACGGGCTCCTCGTTCCAGAGCATCTTGTAAAGGACGTCGCGCACGAGAGACAGATGAGCGTCCTTGTCAAGCCATACTGCCGGTGCAGTCGGTTTCCTGATATTCCTCCTTCCGAATCGCTCGTGCTCAATCGAGGCAGCGTATGGATGTCCACTATCAGGCTGCTCGCTCATCGAGGAGAGAGCAGAGAGCATGTCCCTGAGAATGGCGCAGGCGACGAGTCTCGTCAGATGGAAGGCAATCGGCGTACGCAGAAGTGCAAAAACTCACCTGAATTTCCCGGCCTGTGGCCAGGTCTCTTCAGCGGCTGAGAGGACTCTCATACCCGAGCGCACGAGCTCCATGTCCGGATTCCGCTCCACCGACGACCGGTCTGACTCAGATGTCCTTTTCCTGGCCCATACACCAGTTAAGAGCACGATAGCGGAGGTCAAGACCGCGAACTAAGCAAAGTTTCAACAACGTTGCACCCTTAAAGCACTACTTAGGAGGATGACGCCAACCTGGAAGAGGGACTGCGGTAGAATGCCGCGTTGAAGTTGGGCCTCCGCAATGCGTATGCTAGCACGCGCGGCTGTGTTGCATATCGCGTGGGATGGGGATGACGAGGTGATAGAAGGCCGGTGGACCAAGATCTGGATGTGGTAATACGTGATGTATAACCTTGCCGACTGACGGAAAAAACTATTGTGCGTGTTTTTGGGGTCCCAGCGTACTGTTTCGAGGCAATGAGAACAAACACCAGCTCGTTCAGAAAATGCAAATGGCAGGAGAGGGATATTGGCTGCTTACAATGCTCAGGCAACGCCCTCAGCCATTTGTTTAGACTGGAATCTAATTCTGCCACGATGTTGCCTTTCCACTCTTCATCGTCTAACCCCAGGTGCGTGGCAATTTTGTCGAGTGGATACTACACGGTCCTGCTCTATCAGCAACAGAAGCGCTTCACAAAAGGGAGGATCGCACGATTAGACGTATACACGTAGACAATATGTTCATCAACTTCAGCTGTTGGAGAAAGGCGGTTATTAACGAGGGCTTGTCCGGCGGCTGCTGAAATCGCTTCCGCGGATCCGGATGTTCCCAATATTCGTCATCGCAGTCGATGGGTAGATCAGCATCGATGCTAAAAGAAAGTAACAGAATTTCATTATTGGCAAATTTGGATATGGAAAGGGAAGGAGCGCACTCCTCGTTTAGAATATTCAACGGCCGGCCGAAGCCAATTGATGCCAGCCTATCCATGTGTACAAGAACCCTGGAAGAATTGTAAGCGGAAATTCTGAGGTCTGAGATGTGGAGTGTCGCACCAGAACGCTCGTTTCCACAATTCATCCTCAGCATTAGGCACTGGGGTCTTCTTTCTATGGATTCCGACGTCCTGGATTAAGCGAAGGGCAACACCGATGAGCAGCCAAACGGCCTGCGGCAAAGTCGCAAATTGGATAAAGAGGATTGTTAACTTAAGGCAGAAAAACAGGATCAGCATTCCAAGAGCAGGAGATCATCGGTAAAGGTGACGTACGCAGTAGGCCTGAATGTCGTATAGAGAAAGCATTCCAAGGATAGGGTCCTTACACGACTCGACTTGGTTGAACCACTTCCACCCCGCTGAATGTAGGCTATCGACACCGTCGAAGAGCACCCTCCGGTCCGACGAAAAACGAGCACCGAGCGCGCAAACGAGGAGGTAGACTTCTGCAAAGCCCTCGTCGGTGTAGTGCAGCCCGTCGCTAATGGACCTCTCGAATGACGGTCGATGGAGTAGAGGAAGGTCCAGGTTGATGTTATCGAAGTAGAGCTCGACGAGATCTCTTGCGAGATCGGGTTCTGGAAAGGCGTATTGACACGGGGAGGGGAGTATAGCTTTCTGTTCCCACTAAGCGATATGAGAATGAGATAGGAAATTAAAGGCATAGAGCGAACATACCGGTCGTAGTGACCAAAATTCCTCACGCCTATTAGGCAATATCAACCGCTCTGAGTTGTTTTCCCCTCCAACATACTGTTTCTTCATCGACAATGCCTTGCCCGCGAGCATCTCTGAGCTGGATTTGCCGAAGAAGTGGTTTGTGTCGAGGCTGGTGGCGATGCTTTCCGTTCGATCGTCTTCTTCTTCGAAAAGGGGTGGTTTCGGTCGGGTGTAACCATGGGATGCGCGGATGGCATGGGCAAGGCTCACAGCTGGCGCTGGTCGAAATATACTCAGAGGAGGGAATTGCATGGTAGGCGGCGGCGGTGGATCAGGCTCCTTGCTCAACGCGTCAACCCAAGCATCGAAGATACTCTCGTCCGGACACAACTATATGTCGTGAGCAATACTTCGACCAGGAAATGGCTGGAGACGCACCTCATGTAGAGCCTTTTCCAACTCCTCTAGCCTGTTCTCAAGACCGGTGATATACCTTCCAATCCAGATCAACATCATGAAAAACCTCTCCGAGCGCGACATACTTCTTTGAAGGAGCACGCCTCTGCATACCAATGAGAACCTCATAAAAGAGAGTCAAAGACAGAACTTACCGTCGATTCTTGAAGATACGTGCAATCTAGACCGAGGGAAATGCAATTCGAGCATTGCGTGCTAGATTTCTGGGGACCATCGCCTGTTACTCTTCTAAGCGAAACACGAATGCAAGACCTCCACAGCCTACATACAACGAGCTGCAAGGAATAAGAGTAGATCAGGACCAGAAGCCGTGAAACCCACCTCTTTTCTTTCGACAGTTATCACAAGCCCTTGCACGTTTAGATTTTCTTCCTGCTCTTGGCCGCTTGGTGGTCTCCTCTTCGCTGCTGGAGGACATGGTGGTTGGGGTTGATACCAGTTGAGGATATCGAAGCCCACTTGAGTCTCAGGGCGGTCTCGGCCGCAGCCGCCGCCAAGAAAATGGGCTGTGTGCGGCAGCGATTGGAAGAGTGCCATGGAGCGAAGAGGGGTCGGACATTGGACAACGAGCGGAGCTGAAACGCCTGCGGAGACAGCTGTCTCTACGTCGAGGATTGAACCTCTTATGCGTTCCGAGATGGAGCACCAGCACGGTGGGTCCTAGATACACCCGTGTCCGAGCCGCTCACTGGGAAACATTTCAGGGACGCGATTCAGTGTCAGACTTTATATTTTGCTGTTCCAGCATCGCCGGCCGCCTACCTTGATAGATGACGATATGACTCTTCCTCATCATATGAAGCCAATGTCGACCCGTGGCCCTCAGTGTCAGCCTATCTTCCCCTCTTTCGCAGTTTGGGAGTGCATTACGTCCTCGGCCCCTTCTTGTCGGTATGATCGCCTTCAATTGGCGAGAGGGCGCACTCATGAGGCGATGAAAGTCGCTTGCCCTGTCTCTTGGGTCCTTCGACTTGAAAACGAAAGCTGAATGGAAAGTTGAATAGAAAAGTGGGCATTTTGCTGTGGATCGTGTGCAAAATACTGCAAACTCACCTTTCCGAATTTACATCTGCAGTTCATTCCTGCATCCCACTTTCGTGGTGCCTAACCGTCGCTCATCGTCGCATCACCCTCCCTTCTTGCTCAAGATGGTTTTCTGGGCAATCTCCAGGTGTTGGGACTCGATATATGCGTCAAATAGCTAAACGAGAGACGACTACGCGCTAGCGCGCGCACACTTTCTAGGCGTCCTCGCGACAACCAGCTGCCGAGAAAGACCTGGGTTCTGGCCTGGAAAAGCATCTGGCGACGTCGACTTCAATCAAATTCACGGTCCCTTTGTTCAGACCGCGTTCTTGAGTCACCTTCGTGGATGTTTCCAGTCTTTTATACTCCTCGACACGACTTCCTGAAGGTCGTAACCGAGCGCAGCTGATCACGAGTCTTCAAACATCTGCGTAATGGCCTGAGCTTATTCATCCACCGTTGACTTCGTCCTCTTCAACCTTCAAACATGGAAAGCGTAGTCTACGGCGGTTTCGGCCCCTGGTCTTGGCGATGGTCGGCTCAGCTCTATCCGAGGCCAAAGCATTTTATAAACGGACTCGTCCACGTTTTCGAGGCTATCAATTTCACATCATGGCCTCCGAACAGATGGCAGAGACGACGAAACCCTACGTGCGGGTCGCGACGCTCGACGACCTCGACGAGTTTGTGCAGGTCGCCAATCGGGCGTTTCTACACGACCCCGCGTTCAACTATTCCGCGAATCTCCAAAAGGTCGGCACTCTTTGGTCGTCCTCTCATCATGAATTCCTAATGCTGATGATTTTTTTCTGGATGCACCCAGCTCATCGACCCAAAGGTGGACGCGGACGAGTCTAGAAGGCGAGGGGACCTCCATCTGTTCCTGGCCAAATCATGCTTCCTCGCCGGTGGACGCGTCACGGTCGTCGTTGACCCAGAAAGCAACGGCCGAATCGCAGCGGGTGCGCTATGGATGCCACCACGAAAGCGGCTGGCGATATGGCAACTATACCTGCTCTTCAAAGCTGGCTTTGGGCGTGTGTTGCAGCACTGGAAGTTGACGGGGTTCCTGGTGCGTTCTAATTCATCTTGCCACTTTGTTCATGGCTAATGGCATGAGCAGAGGATGATTATTGAGTATCACGACGGTGCCGAGAAGAAGATGAAGAGATGCTTTCAAGAAAAAGGCGTGAAGGAACCTCCCGAGGACGCATGGTATGTCCAGCAGATATTTACTGACCCGGACTATCAGGGCAGAGGTCAGTCAAACATAACTTCCGCTCCGTCCTGTTCTCTAACTTTCGAGGAGGCCTGATGTCGACGCTTATGCGAGAAGCATTCGCGAACGCACCTGAAGCAACATTTTGTCTCGAAGCCAGCACGGCGAAGTCGCGAGACCAGTACGCCCACTTAGGATTCGAGGTACGTGGACACGGTTGCCCTCCTCGTGCCACACTGCTAGATATCGCTTCATTAGAACCCCATACCAATACCAATGGGTGTTGGAAAGTGCAATACTAGTGGGCTCCGAGCTACCGGAAAGGACGCGACGGGGGTCGAAATCTATGCGATGGGAAGGGTGCGTTCTATCTTTAGTTCTATATGAGGACCTCATTGAATCTTCTTGCTCTTCAGTGGCCATCGAAGCAATGACGGATCTCTTTGCGTTTCTTCCAGTTCCCTTAATGCATAGTTCAGCTACAGCAATTACCTCTAATCCTAATCGAAGAATTAATTGACGACTGCGTGCGGCCAAACTGGTAAGGGTTGGCGGCGCGTTGAACCATGGGCCCATTGACTCGTTCGCCAAAAACAAGTTAGTCCCTCCCTGATGCTGCAAGGGGGGCTAACAACCTTTCCTCCGAGTCACCATGACCTTCCACCAGAAATATCTTACTAATATCTCTTGGCCTCAAAAAGCGTGACAATATTTGGAATGCGAATACGAGGTATGTAATTTCGAGAAAAGGAAGTAACGAAGACGGCCGTCCGGCTGCAGTGTCAAAAAAAGAGTTGATTTCAATCTCAAACGCCGCGATTTCCAATCTCGTTCCACGAGAGCTTGGCTAACAACTCCATCGCCTCGTTACGGAACGTGTCGGAGGTAGTTCCAATCGCCGGCCACCCATTCTCGAACGTGAACAGAGGCGGGTTACCAACGGACGATCCATATGGCTCCCACTTGCTGTTTCCAAGCAGGCTAATGGACCCTGGTGGTGCATTCGGGTTGCCTGTGTGCGTGAAATAGACTATTCGTCGAATATGATCAGGAATTTAACGCTACCAAGGCATGAGAAGGTAGAGAACGTACTGAGAGCGTCGGTAGCGATGAAGTCCGTGGTGTTGCTCGTGCCGCTCCAGTGGACGAGGTCGCCGCCATGCACGGCTCCGACGGAAGAGTTGGTCGAGCGCTTATCCACTGCCAGCGGTAAAATGACGATGGAATGAGCTTCACAGATGGCGGGAAAGAGGTATAACACGCACAGTAGCCATAGACAGGTTGGCGAAAGGCAGCGACACGGGAGAAAGAGCGACGAGGCGAATGGAAGAGGAGGTCTCCTTGAAGGGCTGCGAGACGTTTGTATTGCGGACTGTCGAAGAAGAAAATCTTAATCGAACAGAACAATGGATAAAATTTGACAAACGTACGTTACAGCGTATTCTGTTCCCGTGTTAAATGGGGATCCCTTCAAAGAGAACGGGTTAGGCGCCCAGCTAGAAAAGGAGGAAGATAGCAAGGCAATCCGCACTTGCGTAATATCATCGGGATAGGCCTGTTCTAAAGCCTCCAAGTCGGCGTCCGAAATCCCGTTGAAGAAACTGGTGAATGTGATTAATGATTTGGAATGGCTCGCTGATCATATCCAAAAACCTACTTGAATTTCATGTATTCGAGGAATTGCGCATTGGTTCTAGTAGAGAATAAGTAGGTTTAATTAAGGTTAGACATTTCTGCTGGACATACGTTATGTTCAAGGTCGACAACGACATCAAAGTACCTTCATCCTCCACACAGCCAGCAATCAATGGGATCTGTATGTGTATTCCGGAGGTTAGCAGAAGCACTCGTTCAACCGACATGCATGACTTACTTTCGCGAATTTGCCACTTTTCACAGAAATCTGAGGATCGCGAACAATAAGGTCACCGTCGACCATGGGCTGCCATGCGAGCCGGATGCTTTGGTAAGAAAATAGGTCGGGCGTGTTGTTGATAGCTGCCATTAAAGTGTCGAAAGGCGCATCTCGGAGGCACTTCAAACGGTCCACAGAGGTGGTGCAATTGGTATCGGCGACGAGGCTATCGAAGTATTGCTGCTGGCTGATGATGTTGGGGAGAACCACCGGTCCACCAGAGTTCTAATGAGAGGTGAGCAGGGGACTAAGATGCAATTGAAATTTGAAAGTGTCAAGACTCGCCATGACTGCACCGCGGAACAGCCCATGAGGGTTTCCATCGTCGAGGAGTGTGTGAATACCCACGGAGATTGATCCGGCGCTAATACCCCATCTAAAGGAAGGGGTAGATCTTCAGCTTCAGCCGGAACCCAGCGTTAAAGTATATTGTACGGCTGACATTGTCACTTTGCTCGCATCTCCTCCGAATGCGCTTATGTGTTTTTGGACCCATTCCAGTGCGAATCGTTCTGCAAAAAGAAGACAGTTATAGACCTCTGGAAGAAAAGAGGCGCTTGTGGAGAACTTACGATCACGTATACCAGTGTTGCCGATGCGGGCGGCTTTCACTTCCTTGCCTCCTAAGAAGCCAAAACCTAAAGAAGTTCAAGATAATGGCAGTAGTCAGACTGAGGGAGCACACCATTGAGGCGATATGCAGCAGTGACATAGATAACGGGAGTGTCCAGCGTGAGCGAACGATTTACTAAGGCATCGCCAACGACCTGGCTAGTGTCGCCAATTTGGAACCCTCCTTCATCGTTGTATTAGCCCTGGCAATCTGCGATCAAATCATGGATGGTGCTTACCTCCGTATACGTACTAATGTAGAAGATCATTTAGCGCCAATCCGCCAGTGAAATTAGGAAGATACTCACGAAAACTACAGGTAATTTCTGCCCGGTCTTGATGTTGGCCGGTTTGATTACATTCAGGTACAGACCTAAATAGTACCTGAATTAGAGCACGTGTAAGGCGAGGAACGACTTACAGTCTTCAGAGAAATTGGACAAAATAATTGCTCCTGGTGGAGTGAAATTTAAGGTTTGCTGAGGACAAGGGGGTGCGAACTCGGTGGCTTGGCGGACTCCTTGGAAGGGTTTCGGCGGAGTAGGGGGTGCGAACCTAAGGTCACCAATGCTATACAAACGTATTTTAGCGACAGAAATGCACAAAGTCAAAGTTTAGTTACGGACGGAGGTGAAGCGAAGGGGATCCCAAAAAATTCGACCAAATTTCCGCTAGATTTGCCTTCAAAGGATCCATACGAGAGCTTGACCACCGTCGCGGGACTAGCCTTCGCCACACAATTCAAGAGCAAGTATGACAGAAAAAGCGCTGAAGATTTAAGAGACATGGTTCAGTTGCGGTGGGGAAGAGAAATCTGACCTACCTCACTGCCCACCCCAATCCTTATAAACGCAAACAAGGTGTCCAGGCTCCAGGACAGGAAAGCAGATTATTGTCTAGAGAGAGGCCGCCGTTTCGTGCATAGTAGCACACTAGTCGTAATTTGCTGACCTTATTAGGGTTGCCGAAGGCCTTTACCATGAGATGAAGTCTGCATCTCGGCCTCCGGTCACGCATAAAATGCAGCTCCTTCGAGCCAAACCGGGATGTCGCAGATAGAGCCTCTCCTTCTCCTTCTAGGATGATAATCTCCGTAGGGTGTGGGATGGCATCTACAGGGAGAGCTAAAGTTAAACGTTACACGTTTGCTTTTCTTGAAGAGGAAAAGCCCGAAACTTGAAAGCCTGGCTTGCGTATCCAAGAGAGGTGATATGCGGCACATTCCGTGATTCTGCTTCGTATCTTATTCTATCTCTTTCCCTACACTTCTCACACTAACGCCTTCGGATTTAAACTGGTTTTCTGCTTTGTGAACATACTCTGTGGTACTCTCCACTCAATGGTGAGAGCCACATCAAGTTCTGGAGGACAATCTTTGAAATGACAATCGGTCTACGTTTCTGGTCACTGTAGTTCGGTCACGGCACATTCTATCGTTGGTCTGTCTAGTATAGCGCGAGAAATGGCGTCGATCCGGAGGTAACGCGCACTTGTCGTACGACTTGATAACGTTTTCCCAGTATGTTCGCGCTAAGTTCTTCGGACTGTGACATAACTACAGTCAGACCCATACTCCTGATAACCCATAACCCCTTATAGCCCATAGGATTCTCGATCCACCAACTTGGTGGGCGGGGATTTGCACCCCATAACCCATAGGTCCGTAATAACCCATACTCCATACCCCCTCGCGGGCAAAACCCATAGGTTTTACCGGCCATCAGGCCATATTTGGTGCCACTTACCGGCACTTACGGGACATCATTTCGTCGCAACGCTCCCAGTTTGATGGGAATGCGCTTGATTTCACCAAAAAGCAGCCTAAAACTGATGAATAGGGTCTTAAAGAAGCGTGAGAGCGAAGAATTGCTTACAAATTAGACATGAGTGCTCCATATTTGGTAACCCATAGCGAACACTTGTGAAGGCTCAAATTGATCAGGCCGGTCATACGCCCTCTAAACTGTGTTCGTTTGCACGAAAATGGCCCTCGTACACTCATTGGACAGAGACAACCATCTAGATGAGATCGAGAGCGTGATTTTGCCTCAGTCAAGACCAATTTTGATGCCGATCTAACGTCCAAACTCCTCTGGATAACTTTAGTGATGTAGAACTGCACTATTTTACCCAGATATCGACCCTATTTTCGGTCTATTTTTAGCGGTCCCCCATAACCCATACCCGGGCCGTCCACGGAGGGGGTGGTTAAGAGGGGTCCGACTGTACTTACCAAATCCGGGATGCATTCTCCCATAACAAGACATTTCTCCGTCCGGTTCTGCGGCAAGAGGTACATCTGTCACAACATATCATCCGCTCCGACGTCGAAGGACGGAAACCTCGCCAAACGTGATCATAATACACGGAGATCTGACGGAGACACTGCGGCTGTTTCTTCTTTCCGGGCGAGAGCGGGCATGAGCGGACTTAAGGTGAGCACAGCTTGGCGGCATTCGGGTGACGTAGCCGCGTAGCCACATGTTAACTTGATCTTCAACTCTCATCTCGCGCGCGAACATGTCTTCCAGTGAAGAGGAATGCGCGACAGCCACTGCAGAAGGAACCTCCAAACGTCGAAGGTCCTGCGATGCTTGTCGGAAGAAGAGGGGTGGGTCGTTCCGGGTGGTTCGGAAAAGCGCTAACAACGTTCTCGACGATAATTCAGGTAGATGTGCGTGCGATTGAAGAGTCTGGGTTTTACTTGCTTAACGATTTTGTAGGTGACGGTAGAAATAATCCGTTCATGCAATGTTCAAATTGCCATTCTCAAGGTTTACCGTGCACGTATGTTGCCGAATCCACGGTAAGCCCTTTTCAACGTACCTTCAATGGTTTCCTCACATATTGTCAGAGGCGGGCCACTTCGAAGCGGTACTGTGATTTTCGTGGATGGAGTTCCTCTCACTGACGCGTCGGACAGCTACATCAGCAGTCTCGAGAACAAAATAGAGAGGTTGGATGAAGTTCTCCGACGAGTATGTCGTTCGCTTTCGCATTTCGAAACTTTATTCAACCCGTATAGCTATGCCCAGATGACAGGAACTACGACGATTGGATCGACTCCTTGAATGAAGATCAAGTCCACCCCCCAACTCCAGCCTCCATGGCATTTCCTCCTCGGAGTCTGTTACAACCAGAGCCCTTCGAAAGCATAACCAAGGTCATCCGTATCTCCATCTCTCACGATTCATCTCAGCCCCCTGGTCGCCTGGAAGAGGACGACGACCCGATGGTCGTTGCATCAAGCAGCCTTCACACCAAACGCTTCTTTGGCAAATCCAGTCCGGAAGTTCTCATCCGCACAGCACTCACCATGAAGAAATTGTATGCCGGGAGTCATCATAGCCCAGATCAACCTATCTTGTCGAAGAGACGGGAAGAGTTCTGGGCGCCGCGGCCGGTACGTCGCGGCGGTGAGCTGAACTTCTTGTTATCTTGACTCATGTGCCTCTCCAGTGGGAAAGGAAGGCGGACGCGTCAGTTCCGCGACAGAAATACGACTTCCCACCGACCGACCTCGCGATAACGCTCACAGACCTGTATTTCGAGCACGCCAACCTGTATCATCCCCTCCTTCATCGGCCGTCGTTCGAGAGATCGGTCCGGGAGGGCCAGCATTACAATGATGAGGGTTTCGCAGAAGTCTATCTCCTTGTTTGCGCAATTGGATCGCGGTTCTCGGAGGACGCTCGGGTGCGTATGGACGGGGTCGGTTCACAGCATTCAGCAGGGTGGAAGTACTTCAACCAAGTCGAGTGCAAAACGTCCTTCCTCGCACTACCATCCTTGTACGAAGTCCAATCGTATTGCGTATGTCATGACGTCTGGACCCTCTTTCTGGGGACAGCTGACCCCTGTTTCTCTTTAGTTGACCATATATTTCATCCTGTTCTCTTCAACACCGCAAGCTACGTGGCCTCTGATCGCCATCGCCATTCGTCTGGTCCAAGATGTTGGTGTTCATAGATGGAAAGCGACGGCACCGACAGCGGAGGACGAGCTTTGGAAACGGGCGTTCTGGTGCGCGAGTCTTCTTTGAGACTTAATCCTGGGCCTGACAATCTTCCTAGGTTTCTCCTCTATCTCGATAGGATGGTGTGCCTTTACCTTGGCCGCTCGTTGACCCTTCACGACGAAGAGTAAGTCTGACTCTGCTTTCCGTTACATGCTCGCGGATTTGACACTGCCTACTCTCTGCAGTTTCGATGTCGACTATCCCATCGACTGCGATGACGAGTACTGGGAACACCCGGATCCCCGGCGCCGGTTTGTGCAGCCTCCCAACAAGCCCTCCCTGGTTACTGCCTATATCTTGCAGCTGAAGCTGATCAAGATTTTGGGAGCTTGTAATCAAGCGCTGGTATGTCCTCACCATCGTGGTTCTCTGTGTTTATCGCTAATATATCCCGCTTGGGCAGTACCCGCTGAAAAAGATATTCAACCACCTTGGACTGGCCAGCGCGGACGTTAGGGCGCATATTGTGCCGGAGCTGGATTCAAGTGTGAATACCTGGTTAGAAACGTTGCCCGACCATCGTAAGTCATTTCAAATCATATACAAATGCTGAGTTGTTTTGACGGTCGAGTGCAATTCGCAACAGTTCGCTGGGACCCAAATCGTCCGAGCGACAAGTTCTTCCATCAGTCCGTGATGCTCCACGCCTTATGTTGCTACACACGGATTTTTATCCATCGTTCTTTTTTCACGCCACCCAACGCACAGACGTCGATACGTTTCCCGTCGCTCGCGATATGCACTACCGCAGCTCGGTCTTGTATCAACGTCGCGGACATCCAGCTTCAACGAGGTGTTCCTCTGTCCCCGATAGTTCAGGTCCGTATAGTCATGCCTCTTTTCTGCACCGATGCTTATTTTAGAAACTATTTCATAGGTAACCTCGTTTACCTCGGCCGTCTTGATCTTAGTCGGGATTTGGGCCGGCAAGAAATCTGGAAGTTTTGGGTCATCTTCTCTGGAGGAGCACCCTGATATGGAGAGCGTACGCACGGCTATGCGTATCTTCAAACAAACGGAAGGGGTGTGGCTTCAGGCGGGGAAGTTCTGGTGAATATACGTCACGAAATGAAGCCCGAATCTAACGAGAACCCGAAAGGGACATCCTGTCGGTACTTTCCTCCACGAGGGAACACGCCAATCAGGAGTCGAGTCCGAGAGACGTCGGGATGTCTTTATCGTCGTATTCGATGACGGGGTATCCCCAGGTGCCTGGTCAGGACGTCCATATGGGCCTCCTCAACGACCTGCTTACCAGTTCGCCAGGTGGAGACGCGGGATTATGGCACTCTTCGGGCAGTTTGCCTTCGGAGACTGGCCTTGAGGATCTTGCAAAAGATTGGCTTTTGCCTTTCGAGTTATTCACGCCGTCGTCCTGTATCAATGACGCTGACGTGCCCGTGACTGGCCTAGAGCAGCAACGCCATCTGGGTGCAGGAGGTAACAGCACGAATAACTTCGGTGTCGTGGAGAACGAATTGGATAATCTGTTGGCCGCCCATGGGTAAGTGTTGTGTTTTGTTTCATGTTAAGACAAATCTTCCTTGAAGACACCTGAAGTTCGCAATTGTACAGGGAGGTCGACTGGCAGGCATATGTGGCACGTTTGTGGCAATAGAGTAGACAGATATTATGGGCCAGTGGTGATGGGCTTGCTCACGCACTTCTGCGCCTGGTTTTGGTGCTTATCTTGAGGGCTGGCAGTCCTCTCGTGCTTTCCATTTGTATCGCAATATTTATATATGAAGAACCACATGTAGCATTATAATTTTTCTTAATCTATTACTCCCCTCAAAGTAGGAAAATGGCAAGTGAGATGAAGTTAAAGTTCATTTGTTTTTGAGCGGCGGGCAGCCTCGAGGCTGGAGACAAGATAGAAAGTTGTCAGAAAGAGCCGTATGATGCCATGGTCACGAGAGCACTCGAGAATGTTCTACTGCAGCCTGCTTCAGCGCAGTGAACTTGTGAGCCACTTCGTACGACTTCAGAAATCTGACTCTCAAAATAAATCAATATGTTACACTCTCTGAAAAGCGCAAGAATCACACCTGCAAATTGATAGGCCGTAATTATGACCAGTTTGTGTAGCCACCCCCGGTCCAGGACTTCTACCTACGAAATTCGGTAAGCGCTCGTCCAAAAATGGTATTTCTCCGTCCGTCGCCGAGAGACCCGAGACGCCGGCGGCATTCGGCATTGCGTGACGAAGCTGAGTGCCGGGTCTCCTTGCGTTTCCCCTCTGTCCTCCTTCCGTCCTCCATCGATTCGACTTGGTTTCTAGTTTATCCTCTGAAACATGTCATCTAGTGAAGGGGAGAATCGAAGCTCCAACAAGACCCCTGCGTCAAAACGGCGACGTGCGTGCGATCCCTGTCGAAAGAAGAGAGGCAAGCAAGTTTCCTCGACGTTCCATTCATTGCGTACTGGCTAATTTTGGACTCAAATGCAGCTCGATGTATGTTCACTTCGGATGTATTACGTTGGTCTCAAGGAGATTTCAGGCGATGGTCCTGAAAAGCCTGGTGCACAATGTTCGGGCTGTGCCTATTTCCGTTTAAATTGCACGTATTTCGAGGACTCTGATGTAAGTTTCACCGTTTCCAATCTCCTTGGGGTGGCTCTCAAATTTCCCTAGAGACTCACTCAATCAAAGAAGTGCGGTGTTTCTCGGGGATTGGTTCCCATCGACTGACCTGTGTACGTCCTCAGGTATATTGCCAAGCTTGAATGCAGAGTTGAGCAATTAGATAAAGTTCTCCAACAGGTGTGTCTCCTCTAGTTGTTCTATTTAAATCACTATCAATTGCTTGAAGCTATGTCCAGATGAAAGTTGTTATGAAGAATGGCTGGATTCACTGGAAGAGGCCACCGGAGATGACAATCGCTCGCCGACTACGTCATCATCGACATCCACAATGCAATTCCCTCCTGTGCATCTATTCAAGCCTGAAATTTTTGATTTCATGTCTAAGATCCTACGTGATACTGGAGGCGACAGTACGATTCCTCCGTCTCAAGAAGACGATGTCGACCCTGCGATCGTCTTCGCCAGCAGCCTTCACACCAAGAGGTTCTTCGGCGACTCTAGCGAAGAGATGCTAGCTCGTACCGCGCTGTCGGTGAAGGAACAGTACAAACCCAGTGGAGAACGGCCTGAGCGCCCAATATTGTCTAGCAGACGGGAGGAGTTTTGGACTGCTCGCCCGGTGAGTTCGTGTTTTTGATTTACTCTACTGTTGATGACTTATGGATATGTCCAGTGGGAAATGAAGATTGCTCCACGTCCAAAGTACACATTCCCGGAGCCAGACCTGGCCAAGGATATTATCGACCTGTACTTCGAGCATGCTAATTTGTACCTGCCCCTTCTTCATCGGCCAACTTTCGAGCGCTCAGTACGAGATGGCCTGCACTATACCGATGCAGGATTTGCGGAAATTTTTCTCCTTGTTTGTGCTATCGGCGCTAGATTTTCTAAAGATCCCCGCGTACGTATCGACGACCTCGAATCGCAGTATTCTGCCGGTTGGAAGTGGTACAATCAAGTGGAGTGTAAGAATTCTTTCTTTTCCTTGCCGTCCCTATACGATCTCCAAACATATTGCGTATGTCCTCCTTCTACGTTTTATTACCCGGGTTAACCGCTTTATTGATCCATAGCTTAGCATTGCCTTTCTCCAGTTCTCGTCGTCACTACAGGCCGTATGGGTTATGATCGGCACCGGCATTCGCCTGATGCAGGAAGTCGGGATTCATAGACGCAAAAGAACTGCCCCAACAGTAGAAGATGAACTTTGGAAACGTGCTTTCTGGTGCGTTTGTTGCCCCGAATTCAGCTGTTTCCCAGGGTCAACGAAAATGAGCAGGGTTCTTATTTATATAGATCGCCTCGTTTGCCTCTCCTTCGGCCGACCATTGACCCTTCATGACGAAGAGTAGGTCTTTCCTTGCTTTCACCCTAGCTCTCGGATACCCAATCCCGCCTTTCTAGGTTCGATCTGGAATTTCCGATTGAATGTGATGATGAATATTGGGAGCATCCAGATCCGGAGAAGCGATTCAAGCAACCGCCGAATAAACCGTCTTTGATTAGCGCCTTCAACGTACAGCTCAAGTTGATTAAGATCATGGGTCTCTGTAGTCGGATGGTGGCGAGTATCCTATGTTGTTTTCATTGATCTGTTGCTGACAGAAGCTTTGACCTCCTCAGTATCCGCCAAGCAAGATGCTGAACCATTTTGCTATTGCAGGCACGCAGTGGAAGGCCCATATTGTGCCTGAACTGGACTCCAGAATCAACCGTTGGTTGGAGATGACGCCACAGCATCGTAAGTCCTTCGCAGCCTGGTTCCGACAGCTTCATGATCAAGTTAGCTGACTTTCTTCGGTTTGAAAAGTTCGTTGGGATCCTAACCAACCCAACGACAAATTCTTCCGCCAATCGGCGCTGCTGCATGCATTGTGCTATTACACACAAATATCTATTCACCGGCCATTGCTTTCTTCGAATGCCAGAACCGACTCTCTGTCGATCCCATCACTTGCGATCTGCACGACAGCTGCGCGTGCCTGCATCCGTGTCGCGGATGCTCAAGTTCAGCGAGGCGTACTACAGCCTCCGATTGTCCAGGTTCGTCTCTTCACTCCGATCCTTCCTTCTTAACGATCGCCTAACTCAACTATGAAGATGGCAGCCTTCACATCGGCCATCATGCTCTTGTCTAACATCTGGAGCAGGAAGAAGGCGCCAAGTCGCAGACAGGGCGTTTTATTACGAGAGAATATTCCCGACATGGAAGACGTACTCAGGACCCTGTCAATTCTCAAAACGAATGAATATATGTGGCCACAGGCTGGGAAGTTTTGGTGAGCCTTATTCCAGCCTCGAGAGCACGTCTGTCTTAAGTGTGTCCCCGCTCTTCCGTTAAGGGACGTTCTCGCCGGACTCTCCTCCATTAGTGAACAACCCAACCGGCCACTGGGACAAGCAAGCGACTCTACAGTACCTTCATTTTCACTGCAGAGTGGTCCTACCATCCCGCACTCGCCTTCCTTGGGGCTTGGAATGCCTGAGATCGCAGTCAGTCTAGAGTCAAACGGAGTTCACGAAAACTCTTCAGATGTGCATTTCTCTTTTTTGCAGGACCTACCTCCCGTAACCCTTGGTGCTGACGAGAGCTTCTGGAATTATGCAATGTCAGGCCTGTCGCCCGAGTGGATATTCCGGGAGAACTACCCTCCGTTGCCAGAGACTTCGCTATCCGCGCCAACATGGCCCATCGTGCCCAACCCTGGGCATAACGCATTTACTGACGTAGTATTGGATCCTAGTTACATCAAATTGAGCGAATCCAATTATTCCAGAGCGTCTAGGGCGTCATTGCAACCTGGAACGAATGTTTCCAGCCAGCTGCAAACACCCGATCTGCCTTCAGACCAAGAATCCAGGTAACCCCTCGCATGTCTCGTCCCTTCAGGCTCTGACTGGAGTGCACCCTCTAATTTCCTCGTAGTTCGATTGACTGGAAAGCCTATATATCGAATATTTTACAGTTTGAATGATGATGCGCTTCCTGCAAAGTCAGATTCCATAAATTCTCCTATACTTCTTGAGGTGGAAGTAAATATTTCTGTCAATCAATAATTGTAGCCACAGCAGTACGTACTAGTCTAATAGCACCTTTTCACACTCAATACATTGTTGAGGACACAGATGACGCAGAAGTCGTGTTGCCAGCTTTCGATTTGTGGGCATCGCAATGCTGCTCGAGTTATCTTCTGTCCACGTTACTTAGCATCAAATGATGAACACAAAATGAACAACGTAGGCTGACGAGGCTGGATGACGGACGTTTACATGTGTCCATGCACAATCTATCGTATGGATGGGACACATAGGCGCTGCCAGGTATACAAGTTGCGCATGCTGAAGCGACCAAAGGCTTCCTCGGACACGTTTCGCGATGTTAATAGCGCTGTGCTGCCTCTGCCAAGCTCTTGCCAGCACATGGCTAGTGAATGAGGCGGCCGGCGGTGGACTAGATTTCAATAGGTGGATTACCTCCCAGGTCACTCTCTGGAGGCCGCGAAACACATCGAGGAGGCGGCCCGACGCGTACAGGCCGGGATAGTCGGGTTCACGAGACAACCATCGTGAAGGTGGTTGATTGCGTCAGTCATGAGCTTGAGGTTGAATTACCCCGCTAAATTTCCAACGTAGAGGCTTCAAAAGAGGCTTCAAAAACGCTGCCAGGCACGCATCTAAGCTCTTGACGCTGTGCACAAAGCAAGGGGGCAGCTTTCAGTATTTAGCAACAGTTATAGAATTGAGCGCTGAGTGCCGAATACAAGTGTCGAGCATGGTCAAGCCTTCATCCTGAAATTCGCTTGTACACATGTTGAGGTGCGGTCCTTCATAGCCGCCAGACAGAATGGTTGCAAATTTAAAGGACAAGTAAGAGAGAGGAAGGTGAGCTACCGGTCCTGAAAAATGTTGGAAAAATGTGTCACTGACTGATGTTGATAAGATAAGATTGTAGATAACTGCCGAAACCATATCGTAATGATCCAAGAATGTAAACGCACTCTTTGGTGATTTCGCGACGAAAATATATCAGATGCTGACGCGCTATTAGCTCGACACGTTCCCACGCTTAGCGCCCACTTTCGTCATTCCTCTTCGTGTCGCGCCCGGCCCCTGGTTAACCGCACAACACCAGAATTGCTCCTTGTACCTCAGAACCACTCATACGTTTGAATATGTCATCATTCGTTTTATCTACAAGACCACCCCTTCGTAGGCACATCAACAGCGATCCCATACTCCTTGAAGCGAGAACTGAGGCGCCTAGCTAATTCACCCTTAAATAAGTATTTCACGTAATGTTCGCTTTCGAACTTTCCCTCCGGAATCTGCCAAGGAAAGGTAGACCTGTTAAAGTCGTATCGCGTGTCGAGCTCCGGAAGGCGATACTTGCGGAGGTCCCATCGTACGACCGCGAAGTACCAGATGCAGGCGAAGCAGGGCTGGTGGCTTGTCGCGATGTATAAGTCTTCTTCCTCCATTCTGTCTGGAGGCTTCGCCATTTCTTGGGCTATCCCTTCATCGTAAAGATATGCGAAAAGTTCGAGCTCGCTGTGGCAGCGAGCCGGAATAGGGGCGCGGCTAGCACCATGAGGATATGCTTCCAGGAGTAACCGGACGATTTCTTCGGGATGCAGGAACCGTAAATTTTTGTGATCTGAGTATCGTTCTAGAAATGCGGTCCATTCTGCTGGCGTGGTCGGCAGGGAAGCTGGAGCTTGGTAGCGTGGAGGGGTAACAGTAATGGAGAATTCACGCCAGAAGAGGTAGCGATTGTCGGAGTGCTTAGTCGAGATACAAACAGCTTCGAGAGAAGCATTGATGGCGCCGACCCTCGTAAGGTAAACGCCCAAATCAAAGCCTGAATCTAAGTTATTCGTATTTCTTGTTATATTAGGGATTTCGAGGACGAAAGAATGCAAAACAGACTCACTGTTCCGATATTCGACCAACAAAGGTGCAACGAGCTCCTTGAATTCTGTTTTCTTTTGCAAGAGGTAAATGTGAGCGATCATCGTATACAGGCCAAGAGTACGTCCAGTAGCGTCTTGAATCATCTCGCCGTCCAGTATAGCCGATAAATATTTGCTGAGGTCGTCGGCGATCTGTAGGACTGTCGCTCGGTGTTCCGCCTCCATATCAGACGCTTTTTTCCTCAGAAAGGAGAGGCAGCTCTGGAAGTCTTCCCATTGACGCTTTATCTCGTGGTTCAATCTTCCTCGACACCTGGCGTACACCCGGTCTCCAAGTTTTACATAGAGCACGCGCCCCTCCTTCGCAAATTGTGCGGTCCTCTCGTCGTTCTTCTCGTCGACGACTTTGGTCTCGGTGTCGCCAGCATTATCAAGTCGTCGTTTTCGCTCGTGCAGATAGAGAGAGAACGCCTGGCGGAACTGGGCGACGTCTCTGAGGATCACCCAGAGTCCCGACAGGTAGGCATGTAGTTCGAGCGGATCGCAAGTATCATCGGAGCTCGTGACGAAGATTTGGATTCCTTCTGATCGCACGGCCAGAGCGATGCGCTCTTTGGGGTGTCGGGGCAAAAGGTTGGCGATCGCGTCCAACAGTTTTTGTTTGTCAGTCATGTATGGCGAGGGCTTAGAAGCAGTCTCGAGATCGTCCTGGAGCATTGTTGGGTTGCGCATGTGCTTGTCAATAACAGCGGCGATCGAAACGAGGACTTCGATGTATGTTTTGTCCGAGTCGTATGAATTTGTAGCCATCTTGGAGGTTTGAGTTTGAGTTTGAGGTGGCATGCTTAGCCAGGGGCAAAGAATTCTGCACCTGACTCACTTCCCGAAACGTCAGTAGGGCGGGATCGTCCAAATTGAGAATTCCAATTTGCCGCGAAAACTGAGTGACTCAAATCCCTGGACAGCACGGGCCATTCTCGGTAAGGATTTCGTTCCGTGGTAAGGCAGTAGTGCACTGATATGCGGCTGCCAGGGCGTAACCATGATCTCGAGCTCGAAGAGATACCTATTTCAGCATTCTAAATGATGACCAGGACGTCGGGCTATAAAGAGTCAAGACGAAAATGAGTAGGACTGAATGGTCCGTTTTACTTCAAGAAATATCAAGAGAATCTAGGGAAAGGTAGTGTGATAACTTGAACTACGATTACCTGCTGAGTTTCTCCTATCTTAATCTCTATCCAGTTCTCGATAAATGGACTCTTCATTCGTCAGCGTCAATGGCACTGGTGATCTGTCGATAGGTCGCAATCTGGTCTTTGAAGCGTGCGATCTGGCCGGGGGTGAAATGCGTCATGCACGCGTCGTCCGAGTAGTCCATGAAGTTATCTATCACCCCTACGCGTCAGCTCAAATCATCCCAGACATATTCAAAAAATCCAAGACATACGGATAGGATCAGCACCTCCGCCAGGGCACGTATCCTTTCCAACCGGGCACCCCAATACCCCATACCTCTCGGATGCGGTGTCCTCGACTTCATCGCCTGGCTCCCCGCACCCGCCTTCGAAGGTATGGTACAGTCCGACCCAGTGCCCGACCTCGTGAGTCAGAGTACGCCCGAGGTTGAATCGGTCGAAGCTCCCGCCTGGGAGCGTCATGTGTGCGAGCACAACTGCATCTTGGACGGGGAAGGCCTCATAGTAGGCGGGCAGCGAAGCGTACCCTAAAAGACCTGAGGCAGCGCCAACTTCGAACCTACAAGTGATGTTGTGATGTTGTGAGAAAAGCAAAGGCAAAGAGGGAAGGGAGACAGGACGAACCCGACGGTGAAGATGTTGAGGTCTGCGGCGCCACCACGCCTATAGAGCGTCTTCATTTCTATGTCCATATCTCTGGAGGGATTCGGTTGTTGTTGTTTTTGGTTACGAAGAAGCCGAAAGGAGAACGTACACGGTGGAATACGGACCGAGCCTGCTGAACCACTCAGGATGGTGAACGCGCCTCACGTCTTGGACGGCAAAGGTGAGACCAGATGGAGAAAAGTCGTCAGTGAGGACCTGCATCTGATCTTCAATGAATTTGTCTCTGAAATGCGCGATCAGAAGCAAGCACTTCACCATCAGTGGTCGAATAGATGAGAAGAGAGGACTAACGGAAGGTAACCTCCCTCTGTGGTCTCGTTCGTGTAGATGAGGGTCCAGTAGACGTTGAGAGGGGCGGCCTTGAGGAGACCAGCTGGAGCGTGCTTGCGGTGGTCAGCGAAGCGCTTCTCATTCACTAACTTTTCCTCAGCACTGATGCTTGTTCCACAACCACGGCCCACCCTTTCCCCAAACACCGTCGAGGTTCCGTAGAGGAAAGCAAGAGCCAGAGCGGTGAAGGCGACCATTGCGAGGGTGAAGTGGGGAAGTGGGGATTGACGAGGTGCATTTCAACTTCTTAAATCATCGTCGACAAAATGTGATCATGATGCTAGCGCTGGGATCCAGCTCGGGGTCTGGAGGACTTGCATGTGCACTGTAGCACGGCCGCGCGTCAAGTAATCATCATCAGTCAAAAGGGACTTCTTTCGAGGCGTCTTGCTAGGTCGATAACCGTTGTACTTGCCAAGCCCTTGTCAGCATATGGCTCTCGAATGACCGTGCCCACGCCGATAATAATAAGCGTCGCTTACCTCTGATTTTGTATACAACGACGCGGTAGATCGACGCCTAAGTATGTACAAGGGTTGAGGTCGAAGTCGGGATGGCCAGGAGGACGAAGAGGGACGAGGGGATCATCAGAAGGAAGGGCGCCCGAAATTCGAATTGTTTTGATCTTGAACTTGAGGTGAGACTCAGAAATTCATTCATACGTGCGTCCCACTCTCCTCGCCTTCCTCGCCTTCCTATGATTTTCCTCCTCCATTGTGTCGCTAGCTATATCCTTGTCAAGCCAGCTTTGGGTTGCATCTGCCTTCACTGGCAGTGGGCCGCACGCGAAGACGATTCGAAGCTATCGTTGGAGCTCGTGGTGGAAAAATCAATTGAGTTCCCACTGGTTATAGACGTTTGCTCTCGAGAGAGGAGAGTTGCGATTGAGCCAGGCACGTCCTCCTGTCAAGGCTTGCATGTAGTCAGGAAGCATGGTCTGGGGTGGCATGGATAGTGGGGGCAACGATTAGGAGGACATCTGAGGATGTGCGGCCCGGAGGTACCGTGAGAACCTTTCATCTTATCTTATCAGCTCATGCTTATCCAGATACGAAACGACTGAACCAGTCATTCCAGACCGCCATCTATTGTCTTTGCGACCCGAATACAGACCATCAAATGCAGGGATAACCAGAACGGGGAGTCAAATGAACGGCGCTCCGGAGAAACGTTTCCCCCAAAAGCGCCGGAGATCGACCATCCTGGCTCAGCAAACTCTCTAGGGAACCGTTGAACTATACGATCTCTCCTCAACCTTGCCTCCAACCATCATGTCCAACACTGCCACCCACACCCCTTTCACCCCCAAGAACGCCTCAGAATGGACCCAATCCGACCTCTCATCATACAACATAACACTCATCGACCAAGATCGGACAGCGTTCTTCGACTTGGGCGGCCGCCTGCCCGGCTTGCCGATGTCGCTCGACGCGCTCGCTGACACGGCCGATCGCGAGGCGGCTGTGGACGTGGATGACGATTACGAGACGGAGAAGTACCTCCACATTTTGGAGCTTGCGTGGGGTGCTTCTCGGAATGCTGAGAGTAGGGGAGATGGGCAAGGACGAGGGCAGGGAAGGTGGCGAGGAGCGCGGCTCGAGTCGGTGATGACGACGTTCGTCGAGCGGCTACTGCTCAAGCTGGGATACGACACCGAGCGCAGTCTCCTCCTACACGGGGTTGGGCTTCCCCTCGCCATCGCCGGCACCGAGCGCCTCACCCGGCCCTCGCTATCAATGTGGGACGCCGACGAGCTCGTCACTCTGCTCGTCCAGACCGACCTCTCCCCCTCCCCCCTCTCCCCGGGGTCGGGGTCGGAGAAAATCGACCCAGAAGCTGCTCTCATCGCCTCCGCTATCTCCTCGTTCCAGTACAACAACCGGACGCGTGTTGCCTCCCAATCTACGCCGTTCAGCACGATCGTGCTTCCAGGGGTCGCGTTCACAGGGACGACGCCGACTTTCTATCGTATCGCCGTCACGGAGGCATTGAGCAAAGCTGTGGAGAGTGGGCAGCCACCCGAGGAGGGTGTGGAAGTGCAGCGATACGTTCCGGAGCTCCCAGGGGAGAAGAGCGAGGGGATGCTGGATGCGCAGAATAGGCATTTGCTGCTGCAAGAGTTTTTGGCATTTACGGTCTGTGTTGAGGTGAACAAGGAAGAAACGATGGCGTATGTGTAGCGCGTAGATCCTACGCTCTCTTTGCGCCAATCCTTGACAATTGCAACTGGAGTCCTTTAGGTCGGGATCATCCGCTAGCAGCCCTTTAACCCAATGACTCTTTGAGCCCCAACCTGCTCCAGTCGTCTGAAAGTCTGTCCCTACATTAAAATTCGTATGATACGCTCACTCTATGAAAAGACGACAACATAAGGAAATTAGTTGCGTAGTCGCGATTGAAAAGGGTTCGTTCGCGATGAATTTACCAAAAGGAGACGACGACAAAAGAAATATTGAATGATGTCTGCTCATTGTGTGGATCCCAAGACTGCGAACGGGTTACGTGTGTCCTCGCAAGTGCCTCTACTTGAGCAGTGGCTGGTGCCGGTGAACACTCTAGGGAGCTGTTGAAGTCCTGATTGGGTGTTCTTTACTTCAGAGAGTACAAGGAGCGTCTATAACAAGGGAGTATGGCGACTACGAATACCTGCTCAGTTTATCCCGTCTTCTCCATCCAGTTCTCGATAAACGACAAGTTTCTTCAAGCATCAGTTCCAACATCAATGATCTGTCGGTAGGTCGCAATCTGATCTTTGAAGCGAGTAATTTGGCCGGGGGTAAAGTGATCCATGCACGAATCGACCGTGTAGTCCATGTAATTGTCTATCACCCGTACCGTCAACTCAAGCCCTCCCAAATACTCCATAAAAATAGACTTACGGATAGGATCAGCGCCTCCTCCGGGGCACGTATCTCTTCCAACCGGGCAGCCAAACGCCGGCTCTTCCTCGGGCGCGGTGTCCTCGACTTCATCGCCTGGGGCATCGCACCCGCCGTCGAAGGTGTGGTACAGTCCGACCCAGTGCCCAACCTCGTGGGTCAAAGTACGGCCGAGGTTATATGGTGCGAAGCTCCCGCCTGGAAGCGACATGTGCGCGAGTACGACGCCGTCATCGATCGGGAAGGCCTCGTAGTCAGCGGGCAGCGTAGCATATCCGAGAAGACCTGAAGCTTCGCCAACCTCAAACCTGGAGGTTGTTTGGAGGGATTTTTAGAGAAGCAGAGGGGAAGAGGACGAACCCGACGGTGAAGATGTTAATATCTGCTGCACCACCCTGGCGATAGAGCGTCTTCATTTCTGTATCCATCTCTCTGAATGAATGCAATCATTTTCGGTTACTTATGAGAAAGTTTATGAATGAGCTCACATCGTGTCGTATGGACCAAGCTTGCTGAACCACTCGGGGTGGTAAATGCGCCTCACGTCTTGGACGGCGAAGGTGAGACCAGATGACGCAAAGTCGTCAGTAAGGACCTGCATCTGGTCGTCGATGAATTTGTCTCTGAAATGCGCGGTCAGAAGCAAGCTCTTCAGTAGCTTTGGCCGAATAGATAATGAGGAAGGACTCACGGAAGGTAACCTCCCTCTGTGGTCTCATTCGTGTAGATGAGGGTCCAGTAGACATTGAGAGGGGCGGCCTTGAGGAGGCCAGCCGGGGCGTGCTTGCGGTGGTCAGCGAAGTGCTTTTCATTCACTAACTTCTTCGCAGCACTGATGCTTGTCCCACAGCCGCGGCCCGCTCTCGTCGCAAACGCCGTAGAGGTTCCGTAGAAGAAGGCAAGGGCCAGAGCAGTGAAAGAGACCATTTCGAAGTGGGCGAGTGGGGAACGACGAGGTCCATTCTCGTTCCCTTAAATCACTGTCGACAAATGCAATCAACATGCTGGGATCCTTGAATAAATGTATGGAGGTCCTAGTACCTACATGTGCACTGTACTGCACGGATCTATGTAACGCATGAGCGCGTAAGCGTTTCCAGTAATCATCATCAGTAGAAACACCGCTTCTTCGACGTGTCTCGCAAGGTCTAAAACGTTGTACTTGCCAAGCACTTGTCAGCATATGGCTCTCGAATGATGACGGCGCCCACGCTGATATGATCGAGAGTTGGCGTACCTCCGTTTTTCTACACGACGAAGGGGTAGAGATGCGCTGATGTACGGAGACGAGACACGGGTCGAGATGGTCGGCGTCACGAGGCAGTCATCGCAGGAGAGAAATCAGACAGTCCGATTGTATTGATCTTGAACTTGAGTGGCATCCTGATCCAATGTCCTGAAGCTGTATGTATATACGACAAATAGGCCCTGAATGAAAATCTTGGGAAGCGGATGGGCACGTCTGAACATACCACCTTCAACTTCTCCCCAAGGTACTTGCCGCAACAGCGAGCACAGTACCTTAAATCGGAGCCTTCGGAACCAGTTTCACTGAGGTCACCAAGGAACCGCTCATCGGAGGCGTTTCAAAGCGAGGAATTTCTGCATAATTCTGAGGGCGAGTTAAGGACATGGTGGTAGATATTGAAGTGACGTTTTCGGGTGATTCAACTTCAATCTTATCTTATCTTATCCGAACTCTGGCGCCGGACCAGAACGCTAGTACGCCTCGACCTCTCGAAAGGTCGCTCTTGCTTAGCGATACCAGGAGGAGAAAAATAACCAAACCTTGTTTATCTACACAATGTAAGATCTCAGGATCCGTACAGCCTGAGCCTCTGGTTGTGTCGCGTCACAAGGAAGTCCAATCGCTGAACAAAGAAGATTCATACGTTCACAGAACTAGTGGGAACGGGGGAGCCGTGGCTTTGATTCTGCTGCCCTCAACTTGACTTTCGATAAGCAGTAGAAAGTTGTTAGACGAGAGATGTAGGATGGTCGCCTGTGTTTCGCGACATGATACTGACTTTGGGTGGGTCCACTAGTGGGCATGACCGTTCGTCAGTGAAATATCCCCGGGATATCCCGAGGGCCGAAGAGCACAATCATTCCCTCATCTACGTTCTGCGCGACACTATACATGTAACTAATAGAGCAAGGTAACCCAAGCGCCAAAAAAGTGGCTAACTCTATCCTCTTGCTATCCTTAAAGATACAGCTACGTGTGCAGATTGTGTGGAATACGAAAGGCTAATGCATCGATTTTTCAGGGGGAAAGGTTCAGCGCTGGCATGATGGCGTCCGATCCTGCATTCAAATATCCCTTCGTCCATGCATTATTATTGCGGCCAAGGGATTGAGAAATTTCGGATCAATCTTAACATATCCATATCCTTTGCACGGGCGCTTAACCGTGACCTCGCGGCTCCGACTCTGAGTTCGCGTCACTCTAGACACCAGTGTTGGCCGATATTCAGCTTCCGGGCATTCCCGTTCCTCGGACATCTCTCCCTACTTGAAGTCGATGTAATTATAAATTAGCTTTTTGCCCCGCACCGGTTTCTCGTTCGCAAACTACCTTTCGCCGGCGATCTTCTCAGCCGCCTCGCGGTAGCCACGGTGAACAGCATTTCTCAACCAGGCTATATTGCATTCAGGGGATTGAACATGCACTCGACGGTGTTCATATATAGGCAGTGCTGTTTCTTGTTTTGCCGACGACTGGTATGTCATCGGTGTTGTATTATAATCCCGGGTGAGATAGATGGCGGAGACCTCGCAACATAGGGCGTTAAATAGACGAGAAATTGGTGCATTATTGCCTTGGCCCATCCCCCTTCGTGAAGAAAGCGAAATGTCCGGTCCATGCTACAGAGTAGAGCCGGTCAGATAATACGTATTGCGACCCTCAATTTTAGTTGGCGCCTAATCGGTGAGTGTTCTTCTTTCTGCTGATGTCTATGTTAGGCAATGGTGGCCAACTTTAGAGGAATACCCGCCCCTGGTCGATTCTCCCACTCCAACTCTAAGTAATTGAACACGCGCTTTGCCCTTCCTTCGTCATCGCAAACCTGCAGCAACGTGCCACCCCCCTTACTTGGCTTATGTATCGCATATTGTGGAAGGGGGCAAGGAGGGCCGAAATCATGGGGGTTTCCCTAAGAGCCGTGTCCTCCGTAGTAGTTTCTTGGTGTCACATCTAAGTCCACTCCAGAGAGCAACGGGTATTGATTTCATGCTGCGGTGTTATGTTTTGATAGAATGAAAAGTGAGAGAGAGTCCATCTCTGGACATTGTACCTCCTTCTAAGGGGCGCCTCCTCGGTATTTCAAAAGCGGTGTCATGATGTACATTGGTCTTTCGTATTCCGACTTGGACGGTATGTGACGAATAAATAATTCCGAGATGCTGAATAATTGGAAATGGTTTGAATTAATCATCGTACAGGCGTCTTCACCCTTTTCGAAGCAGGTCATCTCCTTTGAACCCAACTCATCGGAGAATCGTAGGGCAGCCGTGGAGTCAATTAAGCCACCTTAGGCAGTCCCGCAGTGCGTTCGACTCCGTTGATTCTGCTGAAGAGATCGAGGCAGAGACAGGTTGGTATACCGGCAAGTACTGAAATTTAGTAGAATGAAAGCGCATGTTCCACTTAGGAGTTCCGTTAACGTGCAAACGGTTGGGAAAAGGGCATACTAGACACGAACCCTGCTCGTGGGGAGATGAATTAACAGTCAGGGAGAAGGCGTCCGCGCATTGTGACGCACTTATTTGCAAGTTCAGAAGTCGAGGGAGTCCTGGCGATTAGTGGCCTCAAATTCAGTTAGCTCAATTCAACTTAAGCGATGGAGCACTGAGTGCTTGTTTTACCGCATCAGAATATGTGGATTTTTCTTTAATCGAGAAACGCTGAGACCAGAGAACAGTACAACTTTTCAAATACAGGGGAGTATTCCACGATCCTCGCAGACACTATGCCGGCGATCATACGCGAGGCTACACATGCACTCCGACTTGTACCGCAAGACGGGAATGGAAACGGGGACCCGTGTAGTGGGGTCTTCCCAGAAAGCCAAGGGGTCTTCAGCCTGCCGGTTGGTGCACGGCCCAGCATTCAGTGAATAGGCATACCCATGTCAACAGTCATTCATAAATACCTACGATTGGCTCGCCATCGGGGTGGGACTGCATTCGACACCGTGATACCCTGACACCCGGTGACGGGCATCGCCGTCTACATGACGCGCGTGGGTCGCAGGAAAGGATTCCGCGATCGATGGGGGACTCCGAAGTCAGCGAAGAGCGAGGGAAGGATCCGCGATGCTGTCGCGGAACCTGGAGGCCAGGGCAAGGGGGACGAGGAGAAGAAGAGGACAACGTGCTCGATCGTAAACGTGCATTTTGGCGTGTCAATAATGACTTCTTTAAGCCCGAATTCGAGTTTATGTGGTGCTGAATTTCTTTCGAGTTCAACATCGCTCGTTGACAAGGTTTAATTCTGGTCCTTCTTATCATACCGGCTCACTCACCTCAAAACGGAATAGAGTTCCTCTCTGGACCACACTTCCTTCCTTCCACGTCATAGTCGAGTAAGCGGTGCGCAGTCAAGTCACCGCTCCCTCTCCTTACATCGCCCAAATTAGAACCCTTAGCTCAGTTTCCTGGGTCCTCGGCTCGTTGTGGCAGGTGTACACGAGAAGGCTGGTGGCCTTCATTTCCGAGAGATCAGCGCTGTGTCACGGTACATGTTCGACGAGGAGTCACCAGAAGAGATGGAAGAGAAATGGGAGATAAGGCGGTGGAAACCTGACCAATGTTATTGTTGGACAGGGCCAATGAAAGGAGAAGGAGAAGGGATTTGGGGAAGTCGTGTACCGCCACATACACGAGCTCCGTGAGGGTGAGTTTTGAATTAGGGAGACGATATTCAGTACCTCGCACAATGTAGTGTACGGCGAGAACATTTCTTCCTCTGAGAAGTAACCAGTCTACGTTAGATACGAAGTTGGAAACACATGTATCGTTTATGGTTACGATCTCTTTGGGTTTAGCGTCTATTCGGTTCCCATTTCTCCTCTTAGCACTCGGGGCGATCCATAAGGCCTAAAGTACGATAAAGTACGAAATCGAGGAGTGGTCCTTGGGTAAAGTGATTAAACGGAGATACACCCCGTGGGAACCTAGTAATTCGGCAAGATATAACCTCTAGATAGCGGTTTAAGCTACGCCCCAGCAGATTTAGAATAATACTAATATAAGTTAAGCGCTGGAATAGACGTCAAGGTAAAGCGTGAGATTCCCGCCTTGCCTCTTCCTATTGTCTTGTCCGGCTTCATTGAAGGAATGATTCTGTGGATTTGACCAGGAAAACAAAAATGAATGCTCGAAGAATCTGCCAGTGGGCGCTTATACATACATATCTCGTGCTTGGTATGAGGTGGCTGCGCACCGTTAACTGAGGGTGGGTGAGACGGTCTCCCTTTGGAATCCCTTCTATCCAATTCTACCCAAGTAGCGCCTTTCCATTTTCATCCCATAACAATAAGACATGTGAACGACGAAGTAAGCAATTATGCCTCCTTAGGCAATATGTTTCGTGGACCTCCGTCGGTGGTGCCTCGAGGCCGTTGTAATCTCACTAATCTTTGACCAATGGGAACTCAATTATGATAGGCTCGAATCAAGAATAGTTAAAAACGAGCTCTCCAGGTAGACATTCGCATAGTAGTCTCTAAATATTTAACCCGCGCTCAATGGACGGAGGAACAACCGAAGTCACCTAGATCTAGCGGTATGTGAGCCAATGATAAAAATCAGACATGAACGGGGAGGCCAACGGAGACCCGTGATGTTGGGATATCTCCATATTGTAAGTCTTCTCTTTCTCGTAATATGGCTCCCCGAAACATTGAAGAACTACAGCCAGG